GATTGCGTGTAAAGGAGAGTTATTTTTTTACCCCACCTAACCAGGTTACCTCACCTACGTGGGGTCCCCCACCTCCATGTAAACAGGTCCTTAGTCTGTATTGTTTTGGGTCACCGCGGCGTAAATTTTCTAACTATAGTTAGAGCGAACAGAAAAGCGGTCACATTACCGAAATAGCTGACTATAGTTATCCCCGTCTTAACCATAGTTAGTAGCCCAGATGTGACCACAGCCATCGTCAGATAGACACCATGATAAGAATTTTAGGATAATACCAAAAACACGAGTCACTCCTAGCAGCTCAGAAAACCATTAAGGCACTGTTTACATGGAGTTGGGGGACCCCAGGTACCTATCGTGTAAACGTGATCAAATTAAAATGAGAGATTATATGGACAAACGGGTTACCCCATCTAAGCGGGTTACCTCGCCTACCTGGGGTCCCCCACCTCCATGTAAACAGGCCCTAAATCAACATCGTTCAGGTCGTTTGCATAATCTGACAAGTTCACGTAATTTCGTTTCTTACGTTAAGTGTTTTGTATTATGTGACTACTGAGCTGCTCATTCTGCTATGACTTTTTAATCATTTGACGTTACTGTTTATAAAGCTTGATCAGAGAATGATTAGAAGATACTAATGAGGCCAAGTTTATGGACAATAGACTGTGAGCAGTCTCTTATTTTTTTGAAAGTTACCGGAGTAGAACGCGCGAATCGCGAGAAACGAGGGCGGAGACGGTTCCCGCGTACACCCTTTTCCTTTTGGATAAACGCGGTCACTGTGACTGAGAAATTGACCGTTATAAGAGAAAAGGCGGACTGCAAGCAATTTAGTGAACAAGAATTCTTCTGTTTTAAGGTGGAAAGCGCGAGCTGCTTCAACGGTGAATCCCAACATGCTCAAAGTTACGAATCGAAGCGTGCCTTCCTCCGCCGTGTCAGACGGAAAGAAGAAAAAAGAAGGGTTGGCGGATGTGGTGGAAAAGGTTGACAGCAAACGAAAAAAAGATAAAAAAGAAGAAAAAGATGACAAGTTCTGTAAACCGGGTAAGTTGAAGATTGTTATACCGTAAAATTCCGAAAATAAGCCCCGGAGCTTATATTTTTCAACGGGCCTTTTTGAGGGGCTAGTTCAATTGGCTTATCTATGGAGGGAAATTTGCGTTTCAAAATCGATTGTGCTAGCCTTATAGTTGGAGGGAAATTTACCGTTTTTACTTTGTTTTACCTTGTATTTGAGGGCAATTTCCTAGTACAAGCCCCCGGGGGCATTATATTTGGAGGGGCGATTTAACGGAGCGTCTTTTGCGTTACCGGTTTGGGGGGCTATCCATGGAGGGGCCTATCCATGGAGGGGCCTATCCATGAAGGGGCCTATCCATGAAGGGGCTTATTTTCGGAATTTTACGATAGACTGTTTCTTTAATTATGGCGAAAGGATTTGGTGGTGGAAGAAGGCGGGAGGGGGGTGGCTTTCTTTAAAAGACCAAAATTTTGGAGGTAACAACGTACACTGTTGCAGACCACGCAAATCAGTTTTCCGTGTTCAGCTGCCCGACATTTACAATAGGCCTTCTCCGAGTTCCAAAAACCCTCACTTTCTAAACGATGGTAAGTGCAAAACCTCTCTTGTGATAATGATTTTTATTTACATGAGAATAAAAAATGGTTTTCTCATCAATGGCTTCGCACTTAGCCTCACTTTGAAACAGAGGCTTCAGGCAACTCGAAAGTGGCCAAATATTGCGTATTGGTTCTCACTTGGCGAGCTTGATTCCGAATCAAATGTTTCCTTGTGGAGCCACTTATTCAGAAATCAGTAATGTTTTCTAGTTTAGTTTCATCCTAAACAGTCAAGAACAAAAATTTACAACTCCCTTTGATAAGCTTCATAAATTAATTCTGTGCTTTTTTTTTTAATTAAGTTTTTGCTGGACCTGTTTTTGTAAAATTAAAACTAACCTTGCTTCGTTTTTTTTTCCCTTGGCAGGTGACTATGTAATAATCGTGGAAGATGTTACATCACCGCCATTCCTCGATGTCACCTTAGCTCCAGCCTTTCTTCACGTCAAAGTGACTCAAAAGAAACGAGCTCGAAGCAAAATGGAATCACGGAGAAACTAAAACCTACTTAAACTAACATTTCTATTAAGCTTGTTCTTTCAACACAAGCGAAACTTTACAGTACATATAAAGTGTGAGAAAATCAGTTTTTGATCTGATCGCAAAGAGAAAACACTTTCAGAAACGCCGACATTTCCAATTTAACGTTCAAAGGTTAACGCTGTCCAATACGCGTTGAGAGAGTAGAAAGAGTTGAACGTAGAAAATAGAAAGGGATGGTGACAAAGCGTGGTAAAGTTCCTTATCTGATGTGTTTATTGGTACAATGGAGTACATATCAACACCTTTAATTCTCGTTGTTCAAAGTAAGACGTCCCCGTCAAGTTATTCAGTCAAAAAGTTTCCTGCGAATACACCCGCCTGGATCCTGTCGCTAGGGACGTTTAGCGAATGTCGCGGAGCGATAACAGGCGACTGTATCCGTAGGCTTTCATATAGTGGCAGACCCCTGAGATAAGAGTTTGCGGGCTTCAAAAACCAGTCTCCTCTAAAGTTATTCGACGTATCAAAATACTAAATTTGTCTCGCATGCTGTGTTTGATTTTTTAAAACTGTACAGAACGTGCTTCAACTTGAAGAAGCGTTTTTGATATGTTGACTTTTTTTCCAACTATCAGGGAATAAACACGATTGGAAGAGAAAATTTTTTATTCTTTCTTTTTAGTTTCTACATTTGCATTATGTTCCAGGTATTTATTTTGTACATTTGTAAAAAAAATCCTCTTTCAGGCAGAGTCCGAATAAATAAAACTGTACATAACATGACCAGCGCCGTTCTCAAAGCATTCTGTATTTTCGCTATTTACAATATTGTTTCTGAGCTAATATTTAATTAAAATGGCCTTGTTGGGATTCTGTGTTTATCATTTTGTAACTAGCAAAACATTCAGCCAACGCGAGAAAGAAGAGAGAGACCATGACTACAATCTCATTTGAAAACTGATCCACTTGCGAACTCTTCGATGGGTTGCCTGTGGCACTCCCCAATCAATAAAAGGGTGCCGTCGGAAATAGCTCACGTGATCGTCATCGAGGAGCTCTCATCGACCCGGGGCAACTGGCGCGTTCTCGCGGTGAACGCCCAAGCGGCCGCCACAGTTGTTTTCGCTGGATAGCGTTACCGCTGCTCCCAAGATTTACGTAGGGGTTCTTTTTTCGGAAATACTATCGAAATTGAAACTTTGAGATGCTACAACATTTTTACGTTACGTTTTTACGTTAAGTTTAGGTGTCTGTAAAATTTGCGACATTGGCCAAAGAATTACCAAGGAGATATCCCAGAAAATGCGGAAGATTTCATGCTTTTTTGGATTCAAATGCGTCCTCTCATACTTAGCAAATAAAAACTTCCGCGATAAAGGAGATGGTTGTTATAATCCGAGTGTGAGATAAAAACAATTCTTCTCCGTATCAAAATTCGCTTAAAATCATTATTTCCTTCAAAAACTAGTCTGTAAATTTCGGCCATTCGCCGAGTCTTATTCTTTCTACAAGACCATCGCACCATTTTTCCAGCCATCCACTTAGCTGTTTCCGTAGCGATAAACTCAAAACCTTCTGCCTCTTTCTCTCGTATTCTGTTTGTGCATCTTCGTTAACGTCTGCATCACTATCGCTATCATCAAAACCCATCAAATCTCCTCCTTGACTTTTGAAGAACGCTGTCTTTGTGAGATCACTGGGTTTGAAGATCGATAAATACTTTCTATGACCGTTCAAAGCCAACACAATCCCGGGAGTAACTTCGCCAAACTTGTCTACATCCATAACTTCAGCGCACCAGGCCAGGTTGTCAGGAATCGTCAGCCAAGAGAACGTAAAGTTTGGGTTGCTAAATATTTTAAAGAAGAAAAATAAAAGCTGGTTAACCGTTGCCTACATTTTTTACTTGTTCTACGTGGACAAGTCCTTATTAATGGCTGAAACATCAGTCAGGAGCGTTGTTAAAAATGGATAATCTTTAATACTGGGTGAAATGAAATGTAAGCCACTTAGCAGAACAAGATAAAACTACTAAGCAGTACTTTCCAGTGTACTGTTTATTATGCAGTACAAGGTGGTTCTAACTTTTGAGTTCGTCTGTGGATAAAATCCCAAAGTGTGCGGACCATTTAACTGAAAGCTACTGAACAGTACTTTCCTGTGGTGCTGTTTTATTATGCTGTACAATATGGTTCTAGCTTGTATAGGAAGAAGAAGGAGCTCACCGTTTGTACGGATGGACCACATCTTTAAAAGCTTGTATAAGAGGCGATTTCACTGCCTCATGCACGTTCAAAGCATCGACTAACAGGGTGAAGGTCACGTGACCTGGGGGCGCTTTCGACACCAAGGTTCTTTCATTGGAAGGGTCCAAACGAGTAAGTCCCAAAATCGTGTCGCTCTCTGGTGTCCCTGAGTTCCTTTTCGAAGATTTATGCACTCTATCTAATGATTCGCTACCGAAAAATTAAAAGGTAATCAATTAGAAGATGATTATTTTAACTACAATCTTAGGAGCTTAGAACTTAGCACAGCTTAAATAACATTAAGCCCAATGCACTTGCCCATAAAATTTTGGCAATATTACAACTTTGTTACATGTCTGAAGCTGGAAGTTAGAGATATTTGTGTCTCTCCACACAGGCGACAAAACGGTTGGGGACTGCTTCGAATGCTTTGGTTTGCTCTGCTAATTCATTGGATGAAAAATTTCGCGCCAATTTCACAGCCAAAACCACTGACACCAAAACCAATCACGGCCAGTCGTGAGTTGGTCACACGCGCTTTTCGGTGCTTGGACCAGACAAGTGTGTTTGATTTGATATCTGATGGGTACATTTGAATTTCTGCACGTTTCGCGATTGGTCAGAGGTAATTTGATGTGTAGATGCTACTCAACTTTAGCAAGTCAAGGATGAGTGTAGGTAACATGGAGCGCTTTCCATTTAACCAAAACTTTCGAAAATTTGGAAACAGCGGCAAATGGTACAGAAATTTCTCGGAAAAGTTTCCAGAAATTCCGGAAACTGGTGAATTTTCGAAATGCAAACAATTCAACCGAAAATTCCGGGAGGAAAGTTGAATGGAAAGAAAATTTCCGGGAAAAATTTTCCAAAAATTTGGGTATTTGTCGCAAGCTTGTCCTTTGTTTTGGAATATTTGGAAGATGCTGTTCCACTCGCTACTGGAAGTTGCCGAAAATTCACACTGGACGTTTTGGTTGAATGGAACGCGCCCAAGGGACGTTTACCAATTACAAAAAGTTTCCAGAAATTTCGGTGAAAAGTAAATGGAACACGGCTTTTCGAGTCGTTCCAGTGGAAAATTTCCGGGGGCAACGAATAATCTGAAAAGGTAGTCTTGTTTTTCCGGACGGAATGTCTTAACAGAAATTAGTGTTCCATTTATTAAAACCCATTGTTGGTGTTTCAGGCTTTCGTGGCCGTCTTAAGAGATAAAAGGAACTGATTTTTGAAAGTGGCATACGCGATTCCGGAATGAAATTTACCAGTCTTGAATTTTTCTTACCATTTGCCCAAAGCGATAGCCGACCGACTTGATCATGTAAATGGTAGTCAACCATTTAGTGGGCAACACTGATAAATTGTAGGGAATAAAAGACGTTACGCAAGAAATTTAAAACATGTTGCTTACCTTGCATCGGGTAATAAGATGCTGAAGAAAATAATAACTCCAATGCCGCATAGCAAGGAAAACAAGGAAATAGCTTCTTTACTACAAATAGAAACAAAAAGAGACGTTTTTTTTCCGTAACATTCGTAAAAGAAAGTGAGATAACGCAGCAAATTAACTCACCGATACATGGAAGATTTTATGTAGTAAATTACATCACTGCACCAAGTGAAGATATGAGATATGAGACCCTGTGAATGGAAATACAGTAAATCTATACGTTTCATCTAAACATCAGATAGTTTCTAAAATGTCAAAATGGATACACAGCTGAACCTCTCTACAACGGCCACCTTGCGGACAGAAGAAAGTCGCTGTTGTAGATAGGCGACCGTTGTGAAGAAGTGGCCGTTAGTTTGGGTTCGACTGTATAGTACGGACTTGAAGATCCAACGACGCGACGGCACCGAGAAAGTCGCTTAAAAAGTGAATTTGCGTTCTTTCAGTCTTGATAGCGATTATTCCCAGGGCTAGAAATTAACGCTCGCAAACTCGCAAAATGCGAGTGATTTTGATAATCTGCGAGTGAGAAAAACATCAACTAGCAAACGTTTGCGAGTTGGAATCATCCATGTCTCCCAAACAAAGCGAAAGAATTTGCTAGTGGTCTCACCAGTTTGCTAGTGGAAAAAAATCTTTCTAGCAAAACTTTGCAAGTGCACTAAAAAGTTAACTTCGAGCCCTGATTCCTACCCACTTACTTTGTCAAATGTAGGCTAACCCTCCTGAAGCTGAATTTCAAGCGACCATATCCAATTTCAGAAAGAGAAATAGATTTCGTCTTTGCTTGTTTACGTCCTCCAGAAAACGCGAATTTAGGTATTTTCACGTCGTAGTCGTGAAAAAACGGGAAAGAAATGTACAAAAAGTGTGATGCACGTGCAAAGTTGTTGTTTTGCTTATTAAACTTATTGCTTTTTTGACGTTCTCGTTCCCGTCCGCGTCGTTGGATCTTAAAGTCCCCAGTATGTAACCTGCGCCGCCGACACCCTAAGCCGCTGTATGGACTGTACCAATGGAAGCGACACCCAGAAACAGGTCTTGTGTAAACTTAGTGACTAGAAAAAAACTTAGAATATCGCGAAAACTGAGTAGTGAACTCAAGCTAAATTACGAAAGGTAATTGGTCACGAACATTCACTAGAAATTTTCTGTAATGACGAAATAACAAAATTGTCGGGAATCTGTCAAAACGTTGTTGATGAAGGTTATACAATAACTCTCCCCGAACACAACACCCCTGGTTTATTACTTAAAGTTGTGCTAGGCGGGGTGGGGTGGGTGGGTGGGGGGCTAAAATGATATCCTTTCTATAAGGATAGCCGGTTTTCCTCCAGTGAGAGTAGCGTGGGGACTGCCGGTAGAGAGGAAGTACGGTCACCGTCCGATTTCATTCCGACTTCCATTGATGCAATCAAATCCTTCTTGCGAGCAACTAAACAAAAGAGTAGAACTCTACTGTACCACAAACAAAGCGTGACGGTATGTTTTCATCCCTCGCTTGCCACTTAGGCTAGAAATTGGAAACGGGGATTCCTGATCCCGCATTACGGCTTCTTTTTCACGAAAATCCCGCATTTCGAACTTCTGTCATCGCTATCCCAAACATAATTCTCTTTCTCAATCCGCATCCGTGCCTTTTGGCAAATTCCGCTTCCCGGCTAGCAGTCAAATCCCGCATCCGTCAACGTTTTCCCGAATCCCGCACTGTCTTTTGGTCAAATCCCGGATTCCGTCAACGTTTTCCCGAATCCCGCACTGACTTTTGGTCAAATCCCGCATCCCGTCAATGTTTTCCCGAATCCCGCATCTCGAAAATACCCTTCCTGACCCTAAAAAGCGTACAGCATTTTCAGCATTGTTCACTATCATGTGATGATATCTTTTCTCACCGGAGCGTGCTCATTGAAGATCAATGGTATTCTTGACGTATAGCGCAGCTTCCCCTCCCCTGAGAGCAAATCATCCAGCACCATATTCAGTCGCGCTTTTGTCATGGACTCTTCTTCTCCAGAAACACACCATCCTCTGGGTAACCAGTCATATCTGATCTGTTTGTTGCCTTTGTTCCAGATAATCACCACCTATGGAAACATTAAAAGCTCGTTAGTCATGGTTAGTGAAAGTTATTCAGGATCAGCCTGCGTAGCTGAAAGAAAACAAAACATTTACCTTCGGTGCAGTGGAATTATCAGTGCATCTGTCATCCTTTAGTCCTTCGTTCAGTTCTTGAATGACTTCCTTTTGTACATCTTCGTAAAGATACAAAAATTGCACTCGATGGTCACGTTGGAACATTTTGTCTTTTGCTAATAATCTGAGTACAAGCTTCTCCTTTGCCTGGTGGCCTTGCTTAGTAAACAAAACAACACATAACCTAAAACAAAAGATAAACAGTTTAGAATGAATGAATAAATAAAGAAATAAATAAATAATGATTTGGAGGTAGCACATCCACAAAGTAGTTCTTCATCTACCTGATTCCTGGTCAAATTGGAATTTGAAGGAGAGGAGAAAACCGGAGTACCTGGAGAAAAACCTCTTGGAACAAGGGAGAGAACCAACAACAAACTCAACCCACATATGGCGTCGATGCCGGGATTTGAACCCAGACCACATTGGTGGGAGGCAAGAGCTCTCACCACTGCGCCACCCCTGCTCCCCAACTGATCTGAACTGATCCACTGCATGTCTGTTACTTGAGTGTTGAGTCAGTTCACACCAAGAATGAATGATTCCACCTTGAATGGATGGGACCCTTTCACAGTTGACAAGAAGCAATATGCTAAACTCCATGGGAACAGTGGGAAAAAAGTTTCTTAAGATCAGTTACCGAATTTGAGATGGTGAGGAGCAATTTCTTTGTGGAGCTACAACGCTTACTTCAAGGCTTCAAAATCCGTTTGATGAGCTGAGAATAAATTACCAACCTTCGCTGAGATCTAAACCTCTCCTCTGGGCACAGCTCATCAAACAAGCTCCGTGATGACAGCCTTGGAAGATGCAGGTGCTTGTGATTTGCAACAACTTCACGTAGTTTGCCACCTTTCAGTTCTGAAGTCTGCAACAGGAAGTGGAGACTAAAACCGGAATTCATGTACACACATTTACCAGATAATGGTGTCTAAGTAGCCTGAGAAAACAGCCAACATTTTGTGACGTCTCCAATGGTTTCCCTGTGAAATGACGTCTGAGAAACAAGCGCAGAAATACCATACTAATAATGCGTCACTTCCCAGATCTGGGTCATGCTTCTGATTGGCTGACACAAATTACCTGTGCAGTACAACCAATCAGAAGCACTACCCAGATCTGGGTAGTGATGTCTCATCAGTATGGAATTTCTGCACTCATTTCTTAGACGTCATTTGGTGTGAAAACCAGTGGTGGCGTGGTGAAATGTTGGATTGTTTCACAGGCTAGTGTCTAGGGTACTTTTCTTGGAAGTCCCCTAGGGCTTTATATGACAGTCTATCCCAGAGTTAAATGTTAGAGTGAACTTTTAAAGGAACATTGACATAACAGGAAAGATCATTTTGTATAAATTTACCAAATACGCTACAAAACACAACAATGACAGAATATTTGGGGCAAGCCTAGCTGAGAGTTGAAGGCATAAAAAAATAAGCAATATTTTCAGTTACCCTGACAACAACTTCAGGAGCTGCTACATCATCCTTAAAAATCATGACTGATGGCTCTTTAAAATCAGCATGAAATCGTTTCCTTAGAGGCTCAGTAGAACTGTGCGTCAAAGACACAAAACCAAATGACTGCCATTTGTAACTGTTGAAAGCCACAAGATGATAAAGAAGTGTGGGGAAGGATTTTGGTGAGAAGAGAATCACACTGGGTTTGTTGCGTGCACTTGTATCCAGGAAAGAATCCAAATTCTTCTCTGTTACCTTAAGGTAAAAAGAATCAAATGTAAGTTAAAATCAATAATCTCTTGAGCAATTATTCCTCAAGCCCGAATGGGCTCTGAGTCAATAGCCCATGAGGCCGAAGGCTTTTCACTACTAGTAGGCTATAACGTATAGCCAAGTAGTAGCTCAACCAATCAGAACACAGCATTGATAATAGACCACTAGTTGGATTTTACTAATTTCTTATATCCTTAAGTAGATGGATCATGATCATCTGAGTAAACGCAGCCCTGAATAGGACAGTAATGTTGTTCACAGTGACTGACATTTTGACAACCTGTGTGGTAGTCATCTTCAGAGTCAAAATGACTTGTATCAGGTCAGTTGATGGCATTAAACTGTGGTTATTGACCTTATTGGTCAATTAAGTCGTGACGTTATTAGTCACCTTTCAGTGAAGCCATGATATTGTTGGCTATGAAGACTCTTAACCCATTCGCTCCTGGAGATTTTGCTGAAAAACGCGTTTTGAAGCTAGTCGAATGGTTTTCTGGTCACTGTCGTTTAAAGAGACAAACCTGTGTGCCCTTCTGATCCAGATGCAAAATATCCTCAGTTCGGGCATGCACAGAAAGCAAAATTCGAGATAGTTTTTGGGTTTAAAAGTGACACAGCAGTCTTGACTTTTACTTTTCGCTTTCTCTCCTCCCTTCTTTTTTCAGCTTTTCTTGCCTCATTTTTTTTTCTCTTGCTGGGCATTTAGTAATTTTGGTGGGAAGAGTTTTTTAGGAAAGCTTTTAGGATCTTGGGATTAGGTGAAAGGAAAGGTAGGTGGGTAATGGAACAAGATTTTCATGGAGATTTTCAGGTCCTTGTCACGTGGTTTTTTGCTTCTTTCTCCGGTGTCCTTGACTGAATTGAGCTCATTCTGGTATGGTTTGAAAGATCTCTTCACTCTGCACAAGTTAGCGAAGAAAGTTGTCCTTGACCGTTAAAACTGATGACGTCACAAAGGGTAGAAAGGACCTGGATCCGCACGGGTGGTTACGGGTGGTTCAGGGGCGAATGGGTTAAATGTCATTCATGTGTTTCGATCAGTCTTTTTGTCACAGTTGAGCAGTCATCCACAGTTAGTCAAATTGTTGGTGGCCCAGTCAGTCTGTCAGTTTTGCTTGAGTCCATCAATAAGTCATTTGTATGGTGTTGGTAATTGTTGACTGTGATTCAGAGGTGTTTGTTCTTTTCTTTTGCACATGCTGTCATTTAAAAAATTTGATATTGACAATGACTTTTGCCCCTCAAAAACTTACCATTTGAATTAAATCACTAGGAAATAACCCACTGACAAAATCTTTTAATCCTCGAACAGTAACTGTGCCACTATAGAATGTAACATATCCATTTAAAACACCAATGATGCTTGGAACACGTCCAACACTCAGACTATCAGCCAGACGAGGACTTCTATTGACATTGATGATGCCAATCCCCACCCCTGCTTTTTCCATGCTTCTTGAAGCTTCTTGCCAAGTCTCTTCAATCTCGGCACCTGTTCATGAACAAAAGACCAAAATAACCCACATTCAAAATATCAAAATTCTAACATGACTGCATGGCTTTCTGGTCAGTTTTGTACATTTGGATGGGTTTTCTTTGTTTTGAAGTCTCTTCTGGAAATTGGGAGACCATGGAGTCGATAAAAATTGGCAAGTCTCGGAGTCATGTTAGAATAATTTTAATATATCAGATGTCGGTTATTGAGACAAAGTTTCGTAATAGATACTTTCTTTACCTCATAATTTAGTACACAAGCAAGTGCAGGAAGTACATTTTATAACCATGACAACCATGAGGGCAGCAAATAGAAATTTTCTAGCTAGAATCACATAATTTACTCACATGCAAAACACCAATCTCCAATGATTTCTATCAGGTATGGCTTCTCATAGCTTTCTGGTAACACAGACTTGTGATATGATCTATAGTTGATTTGTCCTGGTCTTGACCAAGCGTTTTGGAAAGGCATTCCATTGAAAAAGAAGCTGAAGCCACTGTGTGGGTCATAAAATGGGCTGCCTTGTTGTCCACCATTGCCTGGTCGGCCTGTGGTTCCAAACATGTCAAAATGTCTTTTCTTCTCGTCATCTGACAAAATCTGAAGAGAAAAGCGTTTAACCCTTTCACTCTGATAACACATTATGGTGAAATTAAGGCCACTTACTACGCTTTTTACAAACATGCAAATTCTGAAGTTCAAAAGCCAACTGATGATTGCATTTTTTGCTGCCGTCAATCATCTTAATGGACCTCTTAGGAAACAAGACTCTACTTTAATGGGTTCAAAAGGTCAAGATTTGTGATTTGTGATTGGTGGATTTTTGATCTTGTGGTCATAATTATGATTGACGGCAGTGAAAAACGCAATTGCGAAGGTGGTTTTTGAACTTTAGAGGTCGAATTTTTATGAAAAGCACAGTAATGAATATCAATTTCATCTTCATTTAATCTGTAACTTGCACGTGTGTGTGCACTTCTACACAGCTTTACGACAGTTTTGTCTACAGCATCTCACCTCATGAGCTTCATTTATTTTAATAAACATTTCCTGTGCTTCTGGATCATTATTCTTGTCTGGGTGCCTAATGAGAAGACAAAAATTGGTCACTTAAATGAGTTGCCCGTATCCTAATTATACTGTAATAGTCACTCCTCATCCCAAACTAAATTTGTGCGTTTTCCATAGGAATTCATCCAAAATCTCCTAACCTAGCTTGTTGATTAAAGGGAACCTATCTTTAACAAACAAACTCTAGCTTACTGAACACGAACAGCGCGTGAATAGACAAAATATATAAAATATATATTTCTTTTGCAAAGCGGTTCTTTTAGAGAGTGCTGTTCTCCGTGCTTCTCAGTATGAGTTTAATATACACATTAAAATATTTCCCTGTTTGGACAGCAGTATGAATAATAAGTCAAGCAAAGAAGTTTTTGTGAAGAATTTACCAGTTTCTTGCCATTTTCTTGTAAGCTCTTTTGATTTCACTGGAGCTTGCTGAGCGAGATACACCCAGAATTTTATATGGGTCTTCATCGGGTGCCAGCGAGTCCAAAAACAGTGGAAAATAAAGAAAAATCAATCCAAATACGAGGATCATCTTGAGGCATAAGATCGGCGCCATTTATCCTGGCACAAAACAGCAATAAACGGTGAAAAAGAAGCACATGCACGTTCCTGGAGTCGAGTTCTTTTACGGCAAGATGGAAGAAAAATTTGGGTAAAACCGCTGACAAGGTAAATATTTCACGCCCGCAAGTCTGCTGCTCAGCTGTTTCCTCCTTGAGATTATGCTCAGTATCCCGGATAGGGAAATAACCACGTGATCAAACTTGTACATTTTGAGGTTCGCCATTTTTCTCTCATTTTTACTCACAGGAGAATTTTGCAAGGCTCTTGTAGCATTGAGGATAAAGATTCCAAGGTACTTTTTTCATAACACAAGAGCCTCTTTGACACACTTTATTTTGCGCTTTTGAAATTGTCAAAAAGTACAGCCTCCGACCGCACAGCTGATAGATTGAGGACCTACTACCTCCAAAGCACCGTGAATTTTTAATCGCTGAAACGTATTTGTTTGGAATCTGCATGGGCATAATTTTTCCTGTGTTGGAATTCTCAGATCTAACATTTCGAGATCCGTTGATTTAAAGCTAGGCTTACTGATAGCAAAATTCTGGTCTGAGATTTCACTTTCTCTTGTACGTTTGCAGTTCAAATCAGGATGTCGGAAACTCTCACATTTGGACCCGAATGGTAAGACTAACGTAGTTTCTGGAATTGACCAGCATTTTGTTGAACAACTTTCTCCTGCTTATTTTTAATGTGATCGTAGGTCAAGGTAATAATTAATAGTTAATTATGCACTGTACTTTTACGTTTGTGAAATATTTTTGTTTAGACGCGTTTCTCTTAGAGTTCGCATCAGCTGATTTACAGAGTTTCGCGGTTTAAGGCTCATGATTAGTGTGAAATCGCTTGTAATCGCATTTTGCATTGCACGTGTATGCCAGCAAGAAATCATTTATTCCTTCAGTTCTACAAATCTACGTCTTCAGTAATGATTGAGAATTAATTTAATACTGGAACCAGATGGCTCTGCTTCTGTATTGTTTTGCGGTACAGCTGTTCATTTTCTGTGGTCGATTGTTCAGTTGTCACGTCCCATGTACAGTTTGTACGTTTTTTATATAAACATTAAAAACTTATTATTCACGTGTTCTTTTCATAATCTCTTAATTCCTGAAGATTGATTACAATGATTTTATTTTGATATCAAGCAAAATAACACTGTTGAAATTTTTTTCATTTATTTTTTTTGTGTTCCTTATGACAAAAATTTGCTGTAGTATGTCCCCTAGTGAGAGTGTGTCGAGCTTTGAACTCTATAAGGGCTGCTAAATTAATCTACTGATCTCACGTTTTTTTGAATTAACAGGCTTCGCAACTTGTCAAGCGGAAACAGTGTCACTTCCCCACCCCCCTCCCCTGGTCCCAAGTATAAGCTTGCTGAACATCGGTATGGAAAGGAGGAGATGCTAGCATTGTTTAGTGAAGATGTCAAGATACCTGAAGAACTGGCAATGTTTGAATCAATTTGTCGATCAAGACCAGTTCTTCCTCTTGCATTCCAGCCATTGACTGAAGAAGAACAGGTATAATTATCTGTTCTGTTAAAACTGTATGACAGTCAAGTCTCTGTAAGGGAACCTATGGGACCAGAACTCCAGGTGTCTGTTTTAGTGAGGCATCTGTCCTATTTGGGTGTCGGTTAAGGGACAGTTGACTGTATAGCCAATGAATTACCAACTTTGCCTCAAGAGAAAACCATAATACTAGATGTTGCCAGTCTGTTTGCTTTTTTTCAAATAGAAAAGCATGTCTTATTTTCTTGTTGCTAAAAAGGTGTTACGGCTCAAGACTTTTTGTGGCAATGTGCCAACTTGTTAGTGCTCAAAAGAGATTTCTCAGCATAGGTAAATAATATATTAGTAATTTCTTTCTTCAATTTTGTTGTTTTCAGCGGAACTCGGTCGGGTCTGTGAACAGCAATGCAGTGTTGAAGTTGATGGGGCGTGGTGGGGTGCGAGGTGGAGGTCCTCCCAGAGGGCCCGGCAGGGGAGGATTAAGAGGTCAGTACAACTATTACTATTGGTTGATAATTGACAAAAGGAAATTTGGTCATCATTTCTCATGGCTTAATAACAGTGATCAGTGGTATGAGAACTGTGCCACTGACTGTATTTGCCAATTTTTTATTTTAGTTTTAGACTTGCACTGTATTCTACTCCCTGACTCATTAACTGACTATAAAATGGTGGTAGCACAATTACTGTTAACCCAGCAGTTAACACTTTGGCCCACCAATAAGGACAGAAACATATCAAGGTTAAGATTCCCAACTGGACAGAGGTAACGCGGTTGGTGATTTACAGGCATGACTGAGGAGTTAAACTTGGAACTATTGAGAACAAATCCAATTTGGTGTGGATTAAAGTCAAGGCCTCCAGCACTCTAATACTCTGACTGCTTGGCCACCTTGGGTTCTTCTATTCTTAGATTCTCTGTCAGTGTTTTTCAGGCAAACAACTATCTAAGTAAACACAGTACCTTTTACTTGCAGCGATTTACATGCTATTTATAGCCGTTGTTCTATTGCAAATACATTTTAAATCTGTACATTAACTATATATGTCTTTTGTTACTAAGGTCGTGGCCGAGGTGATGGAGGATTCATAAGGCAAACGTCTTATGAAGAGACCAGAGCAGAGGGAGGTGGAGGCTTTGGTCGTGGCGTTGATACTCGCAGGCAGGGATGGAATGAAACTGGGTGAGAGCACTGGAAATAAGTTCTTGGGCATTTAGAATCGCATTTATGGCTAAAACAAATGTCAGATTCAAATTTACACATGCTAACCAACTGGGCTAATCCTTCCTCCTAAGGACAAGTAGACAGAAACTATGAAAACATTCTTGTAGCTGAACCTGACAATAAAACTATCGGTCCATTTATTTTTTGTGTAGATGTAGTGAATGATGAATGACAAGTATAGGGTCACTTGGCACAAACTGCAGGGTCCGAAATTAACTTTTTAAAATGGGCGCCAACTTGTGAGCAAGGATAAATTTTTGGTCGCCAGAGGGCAAATTATGGTCGCCAAAAATTCCCCTTGGCGGCTTGGAAACTTTCAACTCGTATTGATCTTAGCTGTTGTAGAGGTATATTTACAGGAAGATTAGTTTCACTTTTTAATTGAAAAAATATCAGCAGGACAAAAAGACACTTGTTGGCAAATAGATTCAAGGTTTCAATTCTTAATCATTTTCTCCAAACATGAAAGCCTACAATAACAACCAGCTTTACAAGTCGCCAGCTGGCGACCAGTCATGAAATTCTGGTCGCCAGAACTGAATTTTTGGTCGCATTGGCGACCAGGAAGGCGCAGTTGCGGACCCTGAACTGACATTTGCCTTTGACCGTTAACATGATTTGAAGTCTCTCTGGTATCTTTTCGTGGTGACATAAATATCGTTAGTTGGAAATTGTTAGGTTAAAGTGAAATAGTCAGCTCTGAAAGAAAGTGAGATTGCAGCTACAGAATCAAAAATGCCTTTTTGTTTGCATTACAGTCGAGGAGGATTTGAAAGATCACCAAGCCTTAGAGAAACAGGTTTTGTACTTTTTTTAGTGTTTGATAGCTCTATTCTGAAGGGAACGTTGTGTTTCGGTGAAAGTTAAGAAGGAAATGAAATGTTATGGAAATCAAGATAAAATTTGTTTCATTTTATTTGATCTATCTTTCTGCCCATACAGGTCCTTCTGGTCCAGGCAGAGGGGGTTATGATCCATCTCGACCTCGCCTATCCAGTGACACTTCATGGGAAAGGCCTGATAGACGATCAGACAGTGGAAATTGGAGATCTGGCCCCGGTGGAGAGGATGATGATGGGTGGAGGATATCGGGGCAACGGTCTGCTGACAGATCTGATAAATGGAGAGGTACTCTCTGACTCTTTGTTACATTCCTCACTGTCTACTCTAGGCTAATCAGAGTCTGTCAGTGGTTTGTCCTTGGCCCTATTTCTGTACAGTACATGCAGTCATTAACTTTCTTATAACCTGCGACTCGGGTTTAGCTAGCAAGGGGCAGTCTTCTTTTATTAATGCAAACAAAAGTAACCGAGCACTCCAAGCTGCCACCATTTTGGTCGCCATGGTTATTCAAATTTTTTTGGCAACAAAATTTCAGTGAAAGACACCAATTTGGCGATTTGTTTTTATAATTCACCTCTCAGACCTTGGCTTTTCTGGTTTTAAGCCTCGAGATGTCAGCTCAGCCTCCAAAAATATTTTTGGGGGCAGCCATTATGATTACTTCCAAAATAACTTTTCATGTAATATTCAACATTTTTTCTGGAAACCCTTAATTCTTATTGTCTGTCTGGTGACCATTCTGTGATATTAGGTCCTCAAAAGGTGGCCTTGAAAAAAATTGAGCTTGGAGTACTGATGTCTACTTTTGTCCCAAAGTGAATCTCGTGTTACCTTCTTATAACCATGGCATCAATCAACTTTTAAGGTGGTACTACAAGAGGGAGGGCACCTTGGCGAGGAGGACCAGATTCATATCGAGATCGAAGTACTACAGATGATGAGTGGCAGACAGCGCGGGGCAGTCGACGTTCTTATCATGAACATGATGATGTCAGGTGGAGCTCATCAAATGAACGACTTCCTGAATGGAGTAATGATGATAGCGATGATTTTGATACCCCTGGTACTTTTGATTCATCTGGAGCATTTGTTTCACACAAGGTTTGTTCTGCTTTTAGTCTCTGGAGCGTTGATGACTTGTGTTAAGTTTGTGTTAACTCTCTCACTCCTAGGCCAAGTTATGGCAAGGTTGTTTTTCATGTTAACTTTATTACTACACTTGAACGTGCTATCTGTCCTCTCACTGCCTAAGAGATATTGGAAAACCTCATCCAATAAAATTAATGTTTAAAATCTGTGGATAAATTATATGTTGTTACCATTCAAATACACTGTACAACACATTTTGACTGAAATTTTGTACGGTGCTATATTTATTTCTTAGTATTTAACAAAACCAAATTTGATTTATTTAGGTTTGTTTTCCTTTGGTGACCATTGTAGGAGTAAGAAGTAAAAACATCCATATGCAAATTCTCCAGATTGACTTCCATACTTTCCTTAAAGAATTAGTCGAGAGAATTTTGATAAATGGTCAAAGTATTTTTCCTGTGGTGATCATTGAATTAATTCTCATAACCATTTCTATTGGTTATGTATTGATACAGTTAGGAGAAAACTGATGTTGATCACTCTTGGGACTTAAAGGGTTGACGGGGCTGTGTGTTCAATTTACCAACTGGTCACAGTTATAAGGAATCAAAATAATACCATAAATCCCCTACTGAGCCCTCACTATCACATAAGCCCTCTCTCTCTATTAATTCCCCCCTTTTAAGAGGAAGAAAGTTAATGAACCCCTCTCACTCTCTTTTTTAATCCCACCCTCCCCTTCCCTTTCTCTTATTATCATTCACTAATAAATGACAGACTGTATTGGTCAATCACCACTGTAAAACTTTATGTGGACTGATCCTGGATGGCTTATTCACCAAGGCTGCTGCCTAACGGGCGCCCGGTCGCCAGAGGCGCCCAAGGTAAGAGCATGGGCGACCAAATTTCGGTACAAGGAGCCCGCGCGGGCGCCTGACTTAACACACGGCATTAGACTTAACCTCCTTGTACATTATATTCCTTTAGCTGGAGTAGGACTTTAAACAGTGGAACTGTTGATATGGTTAGCGATGATGCGATTAGGCAGTATAAAATTTCCACAAATAAACCGTAAATTATGTAAACCTAACGTGTTCAACTGTGAAGCTTTGTCGAAACGAACGAAGCCATCGTTTCCGAGTCCGGATGGCAGTTGAAGACTGGGTCTGAGATTTGACTTCCAAATATGGAATAGCAAAATTATGGGCTGTTTGTTGCCTATGTTGACATTCGTGCAGTTCATCGTTTGCTTTTTTCGTCGATTTGATAACTTTTTGTGGCGAGAATGGGAAGCTATCTTGCGTGCTATCGACTGGACGTGCTTGATGTTCGATTTCATGTACCAGTTTGCAACGTATCAGCATTTTCAAGAGACTTTAAAAACAACACGCCAGAGAACGCAGTATGATATTTCATATTTGTAATGTGATGTCTTTACCTTGAATAAAGAAATTAAAGTAATGATCAACTTTGTGTTGGTTGTATTTCTGCCTTGCTGCACGTGCTTAGCGCCCTTTCCCGCTAAAATCGGCAAAGGTTCTGCTTTTCCCGCTAAAATCGGCAAAGGTTCTTCTTTTCTCGCTAAAATCGACAAAGGTTTCAGCAATTTGTCTTAAGCCCAGTGACTACAATGGAATTCTCGCAACAGGTAAGCAATGTTTATTTCTTACGACTCCGTATGTGAACATTTATATTAATATTGTCCACCGCAGCTTGTGAGCGAGGTTTCAGCTCCATGAACCGCACTAAAACTATTCAGCGTTCAAGTCTTGCAACTAGGACACTGGACAACAACTTGCGTATCTCAGTTAAGTACCACAGCCTGAACAAATCAGAGAGAGTCAAGGCCTTCGCTCAATCTGGGCACCTTGCCAATGCAGTCAAGCATTGGCGAGAAAACAGTGTCAGAGCCCGACGAGAGAACTGGGTGGACAAACATCCAGAGGCTAGAACCTGGAGTTCTCTTAAGGGGACAAAACCAAAAGACTGATGAACATTGCTCAATGCTGTGATTTAATTGTAAACTACACTGTGAATTCAAAGGATCTGTTTTGGACCCAAAATTGGGAGTTTTTCCTTGAGTAAAATACAGTACTATTTGAGGGGCTAATTAAGCTCTTCTAAAATGGAGCTGTTTTGGACAACTCCGAGCTGTTTTGGAGAACTTATAAGACTTAAGAAAATGATCTTTTGAATTTACAATGTAGTTACATTGACATAAAATTCTTTTATAGCACAGAATCAGATAGGAAAATGTTATTCAATTTAAATGATTCCTCAAATGTTTAGCACTTCATTTAATGAGATCCATCCAGGCTAAGGTTTACATAAGGCACTTGATGTTCTGTTCTGTTTTTCCTGTTCATGTATAAAAAAGGCAAGGAGAGGATTGGTCTACTTTAGAAAGTTTTTGGAAGACTAGTTAAGTTGTCATGTGGAACACAACTGTTACTGAACAAATGTGAAAGTCAAGTAAATAATTCTGAGTTGAAATTACCTACTGTTATGTTATTCTTTTATTGTGAAAATTGTGAAAATTCCTTTTACACGCAAATTAAGCCCCTCAAATATTTTTCCGGCTCATGAATGTGTATAAGAAAGGTAAGAAGCAGTTTAATTGTTACATTTTAGAAAATTCTTTGAAGGCTCTTCTAGGTCACATTGAACACAACAGATGTGGAAGTTAATTGAATAAATTAATAAATGAAAGTAAATAATTCGGTTAATTCTTGTTTACGTGTTATTTATTAGGCCCGGCGAATTCTTATTAAAGTGTGCAAGAACCTCTATAACCTATGTAATGATCTTGGAAAAACAATACATGGATTTCAAACTGGGCTCCTAACAATGTGGCTCGGGCTCCTAACTTTAAACTTTAGGAGCCCGAAGGGCTCCCTAAAATTTTTCTTAGGCAGCAGCCTTGTTCACCAACTGGAAGTTCAGATTTGTTTTCGATCCTCAGCTGCATGACCTCCAACTTCTTGTTCTTGAGCTTTTCCACTTTGCATTCTAGTTCTTTATGGAGAACTGTTACCATTGCCTCTGATAAATTAAATAAGCAACCCCAACTGGGGGCTTGACAGAGGATTTACAGTATCAAAATGGTCCTTTTAAAACTTGGCCAAGTTGTAAGATTTGTACTTTGTTAAACTGATCTTGATGGTTATTCTTTACCGGCAGAAAGAAGAAAGAGACCATAGTAAAAGTGACAGAAAATCCGACGAATTTAGAGAAAACACAGACAGACATAAGAGAAGTCAAGTGAGTCTTTCTTGAATGAGTTGTCACAAAATTTTGGAACTTTTACAAAGTTCTTTCTTTGTTTGGTGTATAGTGTTTCTCTTTTTTTATGTGTTTTCAATGTCATGAAAGATATTGTTCATCATGGATAATGTGTATAATGGGCTTTGTTTGTCTTGCGATTGTCACATACTCTCTAGATGTTACAGGTCAAATTTATATTCAGGTCTTCATCAGGTGATAGTGTCAATTTACTGAGTAGAACTATTTGTACCTCCATGGTTGTATAAGATTCCTTGTGAATGCAACAAAGTTTACTTTGGTGAAATGGGAAGGTGTATGCATGAACGGATTAAGGAGCACTTTAGGGATATGTGGGTTTTGAGTACTCAAACTTCAGCTGTTTCTGATTATGCCAATATGACCGCGCATTATACACTCTGGGTCGAGGTTAAGTTTATTGACCAAGACCCTCACTGATACTCTCATAGAGTTAAAGAGGCTATTTACATAAGACTTCACCTTAACAACATCAACAGGGACTGTGGAATTCAGATTCCGGAAGTGTGGATGCCTATGATCAGACAACATAGCAGCCGATCCCTACCACAAACGACTGCTGAGGGAACAGTTTCCTCCTCTAATAATACCAACAATACTTTGGATCAAAACCCACCAAACATGAACAAGGCTCGTGATACTCCAGTCACAAGCAACCATGGTGGTACAAATAGTTTTACTCAGTAAATTGACACAATCGCCTGATGAAGACGTGCAGTACCTGGTCGAAACATTGTGATCAATATCTATGTGACAATCATGAGACTAACAATAAACCAAACCCTTTAAGTGTTGTCACTTTCTGGCTTGTTCTTTTTCCCCAGTCGGAAAGTGATAGATCGCAAAATGAAGACGTAGATGTGTGGAAAGAAGATGAAGAAGATGATGATATATTTTCAGATACAGGTTTGATGGATGTTGTTTCAGCTTTGTGTCTTAATCTTTCTTTTGCCTTTCAGCATAGCTGTAAAATGAATTGGATAATACAGCAACTTTGTTTTATTTGCTAAAATTGATTAGCTCAAAATATAAACAGAGACATGCAAGTCAATTTAAAATAAGTTTTATCACCTGTTTCTGCAGTTGTCATTGGTTATTGATTAGAGGAATGATAAATGAAATAATTATGTTTTCATCAAAGCTAGTGGTGAAAAATAATTTCTCACACACAACTGGGAGCCATACCAGGCTTACCATGCAGCCCAGCCTTTATTTTATCGACACCACAAATCACTAGTGTAACAGCACAAGAAGAGAGGTAATGAAACAGATGACATGAAACTAAACTGAGACTAGACATAAGAATAACCAGAACTAAGGTACTACTTGAAATCCTACGACCCAGAAAACACATGAAGGGCGGGTGGGTGGGGCAGGCCAGGCAATGGTGGAAGGCAACAAAAACAACTGAACTCTAAAACACCGTGCGACCTGAAGACCCCTTGCACACTCAAACCCATACTCCCTGCCCTGTGTGAGAAAAATGTCTTCCGCTTGTTTCGTTCCCCAGCCAGCAGAAAACTACACTTAGTTACATAGTTTAACATGTTTGTACCTATGGAAGCTAACCTCGTATTATGCATGATTTTTTCTTGTCTTAGGTACCAAAAATATCAACGAAGAAAGACCCTCAGAAACAACTCAATCATCATCACAAAAATCACCACCTGCAGAACCAAAAACACCTGACCCTTCTTTATCTTCCATTCCACTTGCTTCACAACCTCTCAGTTCCGTCTCACAGAGTAGGCAACCAACTTCAACACAATCTCCCTCCCTTAACAAACCACAATCAGTTGCTGAGCTCGCTCAGGCTCATATATCACCTCAGCCGCAAGAAGATGCAAATGTCAAGAAAGAGGAGGAACCTAATATGGAGCATTTTGCTCAAGCAGCTGAAAACTTAGTGGCATCGTTAGATGATGATGATGAGGTGATAATTATAGTGTGTTACTACCATTAGCAAGGGATGCAGTAGAACCTCTAGAAACAGCCTCCTTTCTAAAATGGCCACCATTTTGTACCGGAATATACAGTACATTCACTATGACTGCCATGTATTTGTTCCCCTGGTGGCTGACCTGCCCCCAGACCTTTTTACTGTCATTATTGTTATCATGTCTCCCTACCCTGCCGGAAGTTACATGAGGTGGCTATGAGGCTGGTGGAGTCCCAAACCGCTGCTGATTGCAATTCATAACCTTGACAACCCTGAGAGTGGCATCCACCCAGGCACCGTCACACTTACTGGGGGGGGTGGTGGGGGAAGGGGAGGGATGAGAAAAAACACTTGCCAAGAAGGAGCCATGGCAGGCCCAACAACACGTGAATGTAATGGCCTGACCTCAAGAGAATGGTTGTAAAAGACCATTGAGCCCCTGTGGTGTGATTAGTGTGCCCCTGCATATCTGACAAGATAGCTGGCCAGCCATGTCTCGCAGTTAACCTAGCCTAAACTTCATTTAGCCAAATTTAACAATTGCTGAATTAAGTGGAGACTTGCACTCTTCAGTTGCACAATGTTTTCAGCTATTTTTGAAAGTGATAGAAGGTTCATAATGTACTGTCTTGCACATGTATACTGTACACTCTATAGATCAGCTGGGTCAAAAAGGGTTGACAGGTAAAAGAAAGATGGTAAATTTTATCCTTTGTAAAGAAAATGTAAGCATTGCATGGAAAAAGAGATGTAAGTGTCACCTGTTTAATGTGAAATAGGAACTATGAAGTCAATCTGAACTAGAATAGAATTCCCTTTGGTTTTCTAGGCACCTCTATAATGAGATAGGTGTAGCATTCATTGTGTTATGAGTATAGGACTTGTCTAACCCCAGACACCATTACTTTGGCTGGTTCAGCATCTGAGCTCAAATTTTGCATGTGTGTGACCATGATGTTGAACTCAACAGGAGGACTTGCACACACAAACAAGCAAATGTTGCCAAACACAGCCAATCAACATCAAGAATTCCGCAGCTCTCCAACAACAGCAGATGAAGTGCAGTGGAGTTATACAGATCCACAAGGGAAAGTTCAGGGTAAACAGTGGACTTTTAGGCAAATTGTAAAATAATACTCTGTCTTTGGCCAAATTGATTTATAAAGTGATGAATTTATGAATTTTGTGTGTTGAAACCATGAAAAAAAGAAATAAATGCAAAGAAGATCATTGTAGTTAAGGATGCAACTTTTTTAAAATTTAATTTTTTCCAGGATTTCTCTGCTTAACTGCATGAGTTGTTTTTTTTTTTGTCTTCTTTGCTTTTAGAATAAATAATTTAATTAGCCCCAGAGGAATGCTTTGTGCTCTTAATTCTTTTTCAATGTTTTGGTGATTTTTACTAAAAACACTTAAGAGCATGATAAGAGCTAAAATTATTCATTCCTTTAATCCTTTCCCTCCAGAAGAGGCCAAAGTCTGACTTAAACAAATATTTATTGTAAATTCACTAAAAATGATACCACATGAAAGTACTGCAGCAATAGAGAGTTAATTTGAATGATCACTTCCCCTGGCCCATAGGATTTTGTCCAAAGACCCAGAAGTTAAAATATTTCTAAGTCCTTCATTCAGTATACATAACTCCATCCCTCAATTTGAGCATGAAAGGGTGAATTTGCAATCTTTGCTTTGGTTATCAATAGCTGCTAGACTACAAAGAACATGTGCATCTTCCTACAATTGAGTGGAATCTTGAGTTCTTTTTGGGAATCATAAATGAACTGAAGAATCATTTCACCATGGACATAAAATAGCTGACATAATTATTTTCCACAGAATGTTCTTAATTTTTATGTCTTTTTCTCTCTAATAAACTAGTCAATTCCCTTCAGAACTGTGAATGGTGTAGCTAGCTGAAGTTGTCATAAGCTAAGTTTATGTATTGGATATGTATGTATTTACTGAAATTGCATATCGTCATCCCTTCACAGGTCCATTTTCCAACTCTGAGATGGCAGATTGGTTTAGTCATGGTTACTTCACCATGGGGCTGTTAGTCAAGAGAACAACAGATGAGGCTTTTCAACCACTAGGTGAAGTTATTAAACAGTGGGGCAGAGTTCCCTTTGTTCCTGGTCCTCAGCCTCCTCCATTCAAGGTATAAAATCATAGCTTAGATCAGGATGGTGTTTTTCCATTTTCATTGTGTCATTTCCGAGTCTTAAACCATGTGAACACTAAACCATTTTGACCAGGAACACATCCTGTTACTGTGCATGTACCATTTTTGATTTTCTGTCAGGATGTGGCAAATTCAAAAGATTCAAGTTGTGTCAAAGAACCTTCAAAAATCTGTTTGCATCGTGCACAGTTGAGTTTGATACTGCATCAAAGTTCCTCAGAATAATACAGATCGAAGCTGTGTCGTTCCCATTAAATTTCGATTTGTGTGAAATTAAGAGTTTTTAATGTTGCTTTCATTGCTGTTGGCCAGAAAAGGTAAGCACTTTGATGTCGGTTGAAGGTGATAAAATTTCGAGAAGTCTTCTTCCCTTGAGCCAATTAGTAAATAAGATGAACTGTTTTTTCGAAAGTCAAAAATACTACTTGAGAATGTAAACAACAGATCTCCGTCAGCAGTGCGGACCTCAAGGAAATCTTGTTATGTCAATATGACAGTTCTATTGTTCTTTTAACAAACAATAAATAGATGATGTTCACTCGTGTGCATAATTGAGATAGTGTCCCTTTAAGATTGCTGTGGCAGAACAGTGACCACACCCTTATCAGTACTATCTACTTGAGGCTAAAATAATGTGCAGCTCAAAGACGAGGGCCCAAAAACTTGTATGCTACATGTGATTGTACAGAAATCTTCATCTGTGTCTGAGATCATATGCATCACCAACTTTAAAATGTGATTGTTTGGTGAAATGACTGGCAGGGTGTTCCAGAACACATTCAGCGGCAGCAGCAGCAGATGATAGCACAGCAGCGGCAGTATCAGCATCTAATGCAGCAGCACTATCTTCAACAGCAGATCTTTCATCAGCAAGCACTTATGATGCAGGTAAAGACTGGTAGGAAAGTGCTGTCCACTAACCCAGGGCTATTAGAATGGCCAACCATAGTTCATTAACCATTTTAGACAAAGAAATTGATATTCGGTTTATCTGGGGCTTCCTCTAGAAATTAGTGCCAGTGAAGTGAAGTGAAGCAGTCTCTTGCCTTTTGGGCAAGTTAATTTTCTTATTGTTGTCTTAATCGTACAGTAAGCCTTTGCTAAAAGTGAAACTCCAACTTGCTAAACCAGTCAAGAGTTGCAAAATTTGCACCTGTGAGGGAAGATCACTTCAAAAGGAAGTACATATATATGTGTACATGTACTCTACCCTGACATTGTTTGTCAAAATCACCCGTTTAAGGTCCTCTATCTGATATTATGATTTTCTTTTTACCCCTGCAGCAACAGCTTCAACACAACCAACAGCAAATGCAACAAGTTCAACAGGCTCCCCAGCATTCATCTCAAAATACATCACTGGCCAGTCCACAGCACTCCCAACCACAAGCAACACATAGGGGTACACTACCACAACAGCCTGCAAGACCTCAAACCATATCACCTCATTCAGAGTCCATTTGGGGTTCAAATACACCATCACATGGAGGTCCATGTAAGTGTTTCAGGGTGACTTTAGTTAGAGACCTTTAGATTCTATTGTGAGGATGACTATGAGGACAGGATTTTCTCAATACTAAGTTGAGCACAGGTGTAAACAAGCATCATTTTGGTTGGGAACTTGATAGCTTTTGTCATTCAACTACAGGTTTTAGTGAGAATGTCGTAGTGGCAGAAACAAGTTATCAAATGTTAGAAGTTTTGTTATTTTGTGATCGGGAGAGGGCTTAACCTCCTTCAATAAAAATAATTGTGATAACCTTTCTGGTGAAAAAAGTACATTGAAGATTTCCAGTTGTCTGCCAGGGGTCTTATTAGAATTCAGGAAGATCAAGTCCTTGTAGTCGTTCTCGTCATTCTCATCCTCAAATCTAAAGGTCTCTACATATAACTGCATTTGCCAAAGGGAGGTTGGTGTACCTGGTATTTCTAAGGGTTTCTACTGGAGGCCTGACAACCCCTTACTAGACCTAGCACCACTTGGCTTATGGCTGTTAATGTCCATAGCCCAGTCAGGACCCCCAAGACAAGGCTTGTAGTTGTGCATAACACTTGCTAAGTAGTGGATAACATAAGTGTTAGGGTAGAGGAAGAAAGGCTACTCAACCAAACAGCACAAGATCTTCAGTGAAGCTGCTTTGAGCTTGCTATGACATGACCGAAAATAAGCCATGCACTGATACAGCGATCACTTCTTCCACTGACCACAATGTACACCGGGCTTGTTGTTAGTTGAATGGGTTGTTCTTGATGTTTAAACCAAGGAGGGCAAACAGACCACACCCATTTTGCGCAGTAACAAAAATTTTGCATGGTAGTATTTCCCAGAGTTATGAACTGCTGTGTGCCGAGCTGCTTTGTAGAGTAATATGCATAGTCAAAATTAAGTTTTATTTGCTCATCCTTAGCTGTGATTTCACCTGGTCCATGGTCCCCTGTCACAAAAACTGCAAATGCAAAAAGGTGGGAGACAGAGAACAGCCAACAGAATGTACCATCATTTGAAGAGATTCAAAGAATGGAAGAAGAAAAGGAAAAACAAGCTAGAGTAAGATTAAACTCATTTCTTTGCTGAGGCAAAATGTTTGATGAAATCATTGTTGGAGTTTTTCTAATTTGTAATTAATTATTTTGTTTTGTTGTTTGGGCTTACCATACTACAAAGAAATGGTATTTTTACTGAAGAAAAATAAGCTCAGTCATCCTCAACTCAGTCACAAACAACCTTATGTATAACTTACCACAGAAAAGCAAAATCTTTTTCCAGTCCTGTAGCACTTTGCTATATTGGGTATCCACTGCTTTAAACCCAGTTTTAAGGTGTGTGGTTATATATTTCTTGCTTTTTCTTTTTTCTCCAAAGTTGTAATAACTTGAACTTTGCGTCTTAGATGGAAATTGAAAGAAGAGAGGCGGAAGAAAGAGCACTAAGGTTAAAGCAGGAGGAGGAAGAGCGGCGGCGCCTGCAAGAGATAGCCATGCTTAAAAAACAAAAAGAAGAAGAGGAAAGGCGTCGGCAGGAAGAGGCAGAGAGAAGGAGAAAAGAACAGGAAGAACTCAAGAAGGTTGGTTGAGCTCTTAACTCTTATGCCCCCAATATCCAAATACAAATTCTCCAAACTGATCTTCATACATTTCCATAAAGAATAAGTTGAGAGAATTTGATAAAAGATCAAAGCATTTTCTCTTAGGTGATCATTTTGTTAATTCTCGTAACCTTTTTTCTTGATTATTTATTGACATTGTTAGGAGAATATTGATGTTGGTCACTCTTGAGATTTAAGGGTTAACTTCTGCTTAATGTTAAAGAGTTTCAGTCATTCTGATGTGGCTCGGTCAATTATTTGCTGAAGTCACCACTGAACACCTTAACCTATACACAAAATGCTCCTGTAGTGTGATGAAAAAAAAGAAGTTATGAAGTAGATCTCAAACAAATTTCATCATGGTGGGGTCATCTACCATAATACTTTTTTTGGGTGATTTTAGCAGAATAATATTAGAACTGAGAAAGTTGGCCTAGTTTTTCAAGTTTTAATCCATCCTTGCTGTTGTAGCAACAGACAACAGAAAGCACTTTCATTGCCTAAATAACACAACTGGACCTTTCTTTGGAATTCAGTTGAGGCAAAGACACATTTTTGCTTTTTGAAACAATAGAAAAAATAGCTTGATGTAGGCTGTTCAAGGTTGTTTAAGCTTCTAATGTACACCGTACCCCCCAAAAGAATTAAATTTGTGATGGATACAATTTCAAACACACACACACTCTCTCAAAGTCAAATATTAATCCAATTTGGGATGCTCCAGGAAAATAGAAATGTTTCCAATTCTACCAAAAATTATTTGTCCGGAACCATCCTAAATAATTTGGGATATCTGAGATGCTGAGTTTCATTATTTGGCAAAATTTGGGATATCCAGGAAACAGTAAAATTGCCAATCGTCTGGGATTTTCCAGACATATGACAACCAAACATAACCCTTTAAACCGTAAGATCAAAATTTGAATTCTCATTTGTTGCCCCTAGTCATTTCCTTCAGAAGTAGTGGGGAGAAGTTGATAAAATATCATGCAAATTCACCCTGTGTGATCATGTCCGTAATTCTCATGACCACCCTGTTTTACAAAGCATTGATATTACAAGGAGAAATTTGATGCTGATCACTCTTAGGGTTTAAGGATTAAGTTAGATTTCAAATTCAAATACAATTGCCCTCAATTCTGTCAGAGGCAACAGGAAGAAGCAAGAAGGAAGCAAGAGGAGGAGATAAGAAGGAAACAAGAACAACAAGAGGCTATAAGGAAACAGGAACAACAACGACAGCAGCTGGAGTTACAGAAGCAGAAAGAAGATCAGAGAAGGTTAAATGAATATCGACAACAGCAACAACAGGCGCTGTTAAGACTCCAACAGCAACAACATGAATTGATGAGGAAAAGAGAGATGCAGCAGAAAGCTGAATTACAGCAACAAGAATTACAACAGAAGTTACAACAGAAGAGACATGAGAGTCAAGTATGAAATAATAATAATCATCATCATCATCATCATAATAATAAAAATTTTTAATGACATCACATATTTTATTTATAACATACTATCTATTAAAATCCTATTTACAAATAATTATTAATTCACTTAAAAAAAACTGTTTCGTCAAAACACTATTTACAATTCCTTTTGTTAAAAAAAACACAGTTTTGATAAGAAAAAAAATTCATTTCATGAAATAAAAATTTTTCAAATTAAGAACATTTCATTTCAATTAAAACAATTACTGTCGAGTAAAAAAAAGAAGAAACTATTTTCAAGGTCAATTGCATTCTTACTAAGATAATCACTAAAAATAATCACTAAAAAAAGAGGAAAATTAAATAGCGTTCACAATGTGTTAATGACTAATATTTGCCATTTAAAAGTAAGGAAACACATCAATAATAATGATGATGATAATACTAATAATAATAGTAATAACAGCTCACTGTAGCAAAATACATAAAGCTAACTTAGTGTCTTGGTGCTTATGTCATCTTGGGGCTTTTTGAAAAGATTATGTAGGATACTGTGCTTCGTTGTTTTAAAAACGTAATTGTGTTTGCGTTCGTGAGGAATGGTCGTTCAAATATCATATTACAGGAAACGTGCTCTGTCTTGACTTATGATAATTCTCGAATTGGTTTAGGCAAATTAATTTCTTTGCTATTTCTATCCATTCGTAATTTCTTTATGTTAATTGCTTTTTGTGTTGATTGAGTTTTACTATTAATGAATATTTTTTAATCGTTAGTAGTATTCAAAATGTTGAAAATCACGATGTGGGAAAATGCAAACACGAATCTGTCACTTTTACTATGTAAACATTCAATTAAAATGTCACAAATTTGCATAATTTGAAAACAACGGGCATTTTTAAAATTTCAACTTATGGTGATTTCGCTACAACATTTACATGCTCAATCTTGGCAAGAAATTACAATAGTGCCAGAATCGTATCTGTAAAAGTTTTAACTTTCCCTGTGGCTACCGAACCAATCTTACGTGCTATAAAGCTCTTATAGCACGTAAAAAAAAGTGAAAAACAGTACACGTGCCGATTAGAATCCGCCACATAACGTGACTGCATTGAAGAACTATTTTTTTTTGAAAGCACGTGGTTTTTGTACAGACTATTCATTGCCAGTTTTTTCATGTCCTCTCAGAGGACTATTTTTTAAGTGACGTTCTTTCATTGAAGCATATACGATCACGTTATCAGATGACTGGTGGGTCATTGTGGGGTGCCTCAGCTCCAGTATCAAGTGCCATGTCACTAGCAGAGATTCAACAACAAGAGGAAAGAGAGCGGAAACAGAGAGAAATTCAACTGCATCAACAGCTGCAAGCTCAACAGCGTGAACAGCAGGCACGTGGAACCCCCGGCTGGGCAGACAGGCCACCGGCAGCAACCCAGCCAGTGAAGTCTTTAATACAGATTCAACAGGAACAGGCTCGACAACTTGACAAGAGACAGCAGCCGCAGGGACAAGCACTGTCAAGATCACAGGTGGGTTGGAGTTTTACTATTTTATCCCTCAATTCGTTTTTAGACGTCATAGAACTGGGCTGCCAAGCTCTCTAAAAATATAGGCATTTTTTGGCACCCTTCTAGTTAGGATTTTGCTCAACACTTTTTGCTTAACAGGGAGCGATGGTGGCGCAGTGGTGAGAGCACTGGCTTCCCACCAGTGTTGCCCAGGTTCAAGTCTCGGTATCAACACCATATGTGGGCTGAGTTTGTTGTTGGTTCTCTCCTTTGCTCCGAGGAGTTTTTTTTCCCGGTACTCCACTTTCCCCCTTCCTTAAAAACCAACACTTTTAAATTTCAATTCGATACGGAAAGCACGGACAAGTTTAAACGAGTTCTTAAGAAGTCCTAAATGCTTTGTAGGTGAACAAACTCACTCTCCCAGAGTGAATGAATCAAGCTTAAAGCTCGTGAGACTGGAGAAAGTGATCAAAAAAGTCTTGATTGTTACCGATTTTTAGCATTACCAAAGCAAAGCTATGGAGAACGGTGGAGAATATACATGCTGATATTAGGTCTTGTTTACTTACTTCTACAGCCAAGTCATAACCCTCTCAGTTCATCAGTTTGGGGCAACACTGGGACCTCACTAGCAGCATCATGGGGACCGGCTGCTAACTCAGCAAATATCTGGGGTGCAGCACCATCCAAACCACCTCAACAGTCTTATGTGGACGATGATGATGATGATGATGATGACGATGATGACGATGATGATAGTGTTGATGAAGGTTCATTCTGGGATGATGCTGTCAAAGCGGCGAGTAAGAGCCGACAGCAGCAGAGACAGCCACAGCCACAGCCACTGACACAGCAGCGACAGCATCAGCAACCAAGGTAAATAGTATTCCCCGCAGCAGTTATCGCAGGCTATGTTAGAAGAACCTATTAACCGGAGGAAACGATTGTGCTGTAGTTTTCCAAAGTCACGCTTTGCACCCTCAAGGCTAAGTTCCAAGTTTCTAACTTAGTATCACAGAACTGGAGTAGTTTTAAATGACTACCTTTTGCTTCATAAAACAAAAACGGTTTTTATCCGTGCGTTTAAACTGAGCTAACTCGCTAACATTTCTAATTCTCCCCACTTTTCAGACAACAATCTTCCAACAAAATGGTAGAGAAACGAACAAACCGAGACGAGGTAAGTGACGTCACCTTTAATACTCAGCAAAATACTCAGACACTCAACTGACACGACTCAAATGTCTGTAGGGAACTGAATGTGTGTGCGTATTCATTAGCAACGGAGTCCGAGTCGGATTCGTAATCAGAGTGTAGAACTTAACGATCTAGTGAAAACAGCGTTCTGATTCCGCTTACGACTCCGTCGTGTACGATCAAGTAAAAACTAGATTGTCGGAGTCACAAGCAGAAGCGGAAGAACTAAACTAATCACAGAGCGTGGGAACGTGCATTGTGATTGGTTTATCGTTCCGCTTCTGCTGGGTGATTTATTGACCCTTTACCGCTGGGGGGTGGGGGTGGGGAAAGGAGAAAATAGAGTTTCTTTTTCTTCTTTCTTTTCTCGCGCTCCGCGCTCGCTTCTGCAAAAGTTGATCAGGAAAAAAAAAACAGGTTTGTAGAAAGGCTATGTCGATACGGGAAGGTCCAACGGCAGCTTGCGATAGGCAAAACCTTGCTGGAGGGTGGCGGCACTTTTGATCATCAAGTAAAGATCGCACTTTTCTGACTTTCTTTTGCCAGTAGTTTGGTTAATCGTCTTCCTTTTCTTTGCAGGAAAATCTTCGGAGACTCTTTCAACCGCAATCAAGTGTGGATGAATTTTCTCAGTGGTGTTACCAGTCTCTTCGAAGTTTAAATAGCGCTTCTACTATAGATAGTAAGTCTCTTCCGCCATAAGGTTGTGCTGCCTCGTCCCAGGGCTTTTCGCATTTTCTAAGGGATCAACGTCTCAACGATAATGTCGCCGATTGTTACGGTGGCCCACAACTGTCACGGCAAAACCAGAAACCTCACGGCAAAAACAAAATACCTCGCGGCAAAACCGAAAACCTCATGGCAAAAACAAAAACCTCACGGCAAAACCGAAAACCTCACGGCAAAAACAAAATACCTCACGACAAAACCAAAAACCTCACGGCAAAACCAAATACTCCACAGCAAAAGCCAAATATCTCACGGCTAAAGCAAATACCCAAGGCAAAACCAAAGCTATTTTGTTTTTGCTGTGAAGTATTTGGTTTTGCCGTGATGTTTTTGTTTTTGCCGTGAGGTTTTCGGTTTTGCCGTGACAGTTGTGGGCCACCATAGATTGTAGCTCCTTGATCGCGGACCCAGGGTACTTTTCCACTATGGCAAAATGATCGTAAATTTCGGTTGAGAAATAAACAGAACGCTTGAATGGTACGCTTGGAAACCGCCGCCTGGTCCTCTTTGACCGGCCTGTCCAGTTTGACCGAAACTTGCCGTTACATTTCCAAAAATTCTTGTTTCTAGTCCTACTTTGCCAAAAAGTGTTCAAAGTTCGGTCGAAACGCAAATGGATCGCTTTGATTCTATTGGAAACTTTGTTTCAATCGAACAATGTCTTTCCATTTTCTCTTGATAATTCCACTGGTTTCTGTCTGTTTGGAAAGCACCCCACCTTTTCCAGATCAAAAGTTCTGTTAAATTATTATTTCAGAGCTCTTAAATAACAGTTAAAAATATCAGGGAGGGACACAGCGGCTAAAATCAAATCCGTGAATCCTGAAAATATGTTACTCATATTTATTGACTTCATCTGCTTGTTGTTGTGTTTGCAGTTCCAACTTTTTCTGGGTTTCTTAAAGAAGTAGAATCCCCATACGAGGTACGTAATTCCCCCTTACATTTGAAACTATTTCCTCGTGAAGCTATCTTTCCTTACTGATAACCGCTACATCTTCGAACTTTTCCTTTGTTTCTCCAGGTGTATGATTACGTCAAGCAATATTTGGGGGACAGTCGTGAAACGAGAGAATTTGCGCGAGAATTTATCGAGAAGAGGAAGAAGCAGAGAGAAAAAGCGCCTGTTTCTGTTTCGAACTTTCCTCAAGTAAGTTTGAACCAGGTTCGAACCGCAGAGCGACGCACGCGAACGTTCAAACCATTTTTATCTGATCCGCTGTGTCCGTCGTATCATTTTTTGAGGAAATTTCTTATGTTGTCCACATCTATGCAACGTGAGTACGTGTCTGGAAACGGGTAAAAGCGGAACAAACTGTAACCAATAGGCCTTCACTCTGAAATAAGCCCTCCCCCCTCCTCAAAAATGACTGAAACAATAAGCCACTCAGGCGCGGATCTAGCTAGACCGATTTTCTAAACGAGCCCCGAAAATGCAAGCTTCTATTGGGGTCCGGGAGCGTGCTCCCTAGGACAATTTTTTGGATTTTAACTCCCTAAAATCGCCTTTCCTGAATTTCTGAGTCATTCATACAGGATATTGGCCAGATTTCAACTTGGAAAGTTAATTTTATATATTAGGAATATAATTATTATGAAAATCTGACCGATTTCCGTAAAACGGTGGAAAACGGTGTGGATCTGTCGCGCCTGCCACTGGGGTGTCATTGGAGAGATAGAGGCATGCGTGATTGACGTCCTTCCTCTTTGCCCACTACCACTAGTGACACGATCAAGGCTAAAAGGCCACCACCATTACCCTGAACCAACCCCTCCCCCGGGGGGGTGGGGGGGCACCGAAGGGAAGTTTGGGTAGAGTTGTTCCGCCGAGGCCTTCAAACCCTGATCCTGTGTAAGACAAATATTGTTCATTTCGTTGCCCTGTTTAAGGCGATACACTATTGCTCATTGAATGACCTTGATTTATTCGCATTTCGCATTCAAAATTAAGTTATTATTATTATAGGATTATATATTTTTATTGGAGAAAGTTGTTGGGTACCACAAGAATAGACTGTTCATCGCCAACCTTCGCTCTCTTTTAAAGGCTTACGGTCCAAAAAGGTACCCTGTTTAAGACTTAAGACTCTGAAAACTATTCCCTGTTCAGCGGCACATAGGGAGTGCCCCCTGGGGAAGCAAACCCCCTTTGTGTATTTACCGGTTTTTGTGTTGTTCTTTCCTCGCAGGCAAGCGTGTGGGAGGCTCCTGTACCTCGTGACCCACCCATGGGGGGTCTCCGAAAACCATTCCCTGTTCAGCGGCACATAGGGAGTGCCCCCCGGGGAAGCAAACCCGCTTTACGTATTTACCGGTTTTTGTGTTGTTTGTTTCTCGCAGGCAAGCGTGTGGGGGGCTCCTGTACCTCGCGGCCCACCCATGGGGAGACACACAGATATGAATCAATCAGGTGCATTCTTATCAGGACCGGTCCAAGAAGACTCTCAAGATGCAATGAATAAAAAGAAGCGAAAGAAGAAGATGCAAAAAGTCGATCCCAGTATTTTGGGATTCAGTGTGAATGCAGCGGACCGTGTGAACATGGGAGAAATACAAACTGTCGAGGACTAAGAAGATCTAAGAAAGAGACTTGGACAAATATAATGTCGGGCGAATAAGCCCCGCCTGAACATTCCTATAGAAACAAAATTGTTTTATATCGCAAATCGAACTCTCTTTCTTCGCAAGGGCTTTTCGCTTGTCACGCAATCCTCATGGACAGGATTGCGTGACGAGTCAAAAGAACGTCTGCGTAGGAAGCTGAGAGGAAATTGCATTTAGTGAATTTTACGAGGTAACCGTGGCGAGTGAGCGATGGAGAAACATGGCGATTGTACAGACTGTAAATGGCGATCAGCAGCGTTAAACCTTGAAATATAACTCAGGAGGTTTTCTTTGAGATGCTTCGTGTTGAACAACGACGTAATTCCTTCTTCCAGAGATGATTATTATGTTTCGCGGAAATACCGCTTGCTAAGAGCCCCCCTCCCCTCCCCCCAGGTATTCTACCTGTTAACGAGAAAAATACATCCGATTATAAGTCCCTCCCAGATACCCCCCCTCCTAGTTCCAATTATAAGTTTCCCTCTGAATCCGAGTTCAAGCTCTCCATTTGTGGCGAACGAAACGAGATGTGAGAGAACGCTTTTTTTTTGCGTTCTGCTCTCGCGTGACTTCTCGCGACTCCCCTAAATGGAAAGCTTGCAGAACTAAAAAGTCTTTGCGTTCATGTGTTGAGACGGGCTCGAGCCTGCGTACCAGTCGTTTCCGGTTTCGTCGCCACGTGGGGACGCGTGAGAGCATTGGACAAAAAGGGACAAAAAGTGGGAGCGGGACCCTCTTCAACCTTAAAGAAGCCACAGGTTGGGTCTCCATACCACCTAAGGCCCTGAGGTGTGGTGCCACAGAGTTGGCAACACCCCTTACAACATTTTTCAACTCGTGCATCAGGAACTATCAGGGAAAGCCACTGGCCCTCCGGTTGGAAAAAAGGAGGGTAGGCGTCAGTTTTCAAGAACGATGACTCCCTCGACAAGGAGAATTATCGACCAGTAGCAAGAAACAAGAAAGATGAACTCCTCGACAAGGAGAATTATCGACCAGTAACATGAAACAAGAAAGATGACTCCTCGACAACTGAATTATCGACCAGTAACAAGAAACAAGAAAGATGACTCCTCGACAAGGAGAATTTTCGACCAGTAACGACAAAGTTTTTGAAAAGATTCTAGTCTATCGGCGCAAGTTACCAGGGGTACTGAACATTGTCTTAACGAATACTAGACAGCCTATAGAAGAAGGCAGTTATGAGACAAACCTCACGGTGTTGGTTGAAAACTGGAGAAGAGCCCTAGACAATGGGGACTGGGTTGTTGGCCTCCTATCAACTGACATGAGTAAGGCCTTCGACTGTTTACATTATCCTCTGTTGTTGGCGAAGCTTCGTGGTTATGGGTTTCACGAAAGTAGCATTAATCTTATGCAAGCAAATTTTACGGATCGATATAATAGGGTTCGGGTAAGAGACATTACTAGCCTGCGTAGCAGGCGCTCGGAAGTAGTGGGCGAAAGAGAGAGCGGGCGCGCGCGAGGGAGACACGCGAGGGGTGAGGGAGCCCGTTTTTTCTTGTGCCCACCACTTCCAAGCGCCTCCTACGCAGGCTAAGACATTACCAGCTCTTGAAGTGAAACTAGGATGTCCTCAGGGATCCTCTTTTGGGCCCTTTTTGTGGAACTATAATCACTATTTAAGAAACATTCAATTGTTGTACAAGTGAATGGTAAATAGTTTTTGGAGTCTCTTGATTGTCGGTTAGTTTTCTAGCTAAGTACAGATACGCAAGCCATTTGATACGTAAGATGAAATATGTTTGATCGGCAACCCCCAATAGCTCAGTAGAAGGATTATGTTCGATAGGTCTCTCATCCATCGTTAGATTCTTAAACTTGGCTTTTGCCAAGTTTTGCCGCGAGCCAATTGTCATATAACTAGTTTTGGAAGTATTGCAACTTAATTTGTTTGTCTTCAGCCAGTTATGCACTACAGAGCTAAATCACTATTTAAGAAACATTCAATTGTGGATATATAACCATGAGCTGTAGTTATGTATGTATCATCGGCAAACATACCAGGTGTTTACTGTGGCCCACAACTGTCACGGCAAAAACAAAATACCTCACGGCAAAACCGAAAACCTCACGGCAAAAACAAAAACCTCACGGCAAAAACAAAATACCTCACGACAAAACCAAAACCCTCACGGCAAAATCAAAGACCTCACGGCAAAACCAAATACTTCACAGCAAAAGCCAAATACCTCACGGCAAAAGCAAATACCCACGGCTAAACCAAAGCTATTTTGGCTGTGAAGCATTTGGTTTGGCCGTGAGGTTTTTGGTTTTGCCGTGACAGTTGTAGGCCACCATAAAGGCAGGGGCGTAGCTAGGGGGGTCCTGGGGTGCCCGTGACCCCCCCTTGGTAGGCCTTCTTTTGAGCAAACAACCTACAATATTCAGGTGGCGAAAACGCCATGACAATATCTTGGCCGTAAAAGCCATTGTTGAAAAGCCCACTTTTTTAAAATTTGTTTTTTGCAAAGTATTTTCGTCAACGGCTCTTGTCTTTAGTTAATATGGGCCTTCATGACGCCATAATACGACTGAGCCTGCTGATACACGAGGGAGAGCAGCGGTATAAACCATATATAGTCGGCGATCCCCGGATGGTGATCTGGTGAGTAGCCTCTGTGACCCCCCCCCCCTTTGAAAAATCCTGGCTACGCCCCTGTAAAGGTATTGTGTGCTGTAGACAGACAACTATCTTATGGGGCACTATAAAAGGTATGGGAGTATGATAGTGAAACGGACAACAAGAGAGAGAGAAATATCAAAGTTAAGGACTTTAGCATTGAGCCAGAAAATAATATCACACTGTTGGGTGTTACTATTGACAACAAGCTATCTTTTGCGGATCATATCAATATCGTCTGTAAAACTGAGAGCAGTGAGAAAGTGGGGGTTATACTGAGATTACGAAATCTTATCCCAACAAACGCTAAATTAAGCTGCTACTGACTCCCTCATCTCACTTATTGTAGCAGTAGTGTGGCACTTTTGCAAGGCCAGTGACTCTAGAAAGTTAGTAGCCTCTGCCAGGCTCTCAGATAATACAGTGGGGACGTATTAAAACGAGCAAAACCTTTTTACTGAACGACTTTTCACCACTAACTTGGAGCCTGGAACAAGCTAGAAAGTTAGCCGTGAGCTGGTCCAGGAAAGGGGATTGAGAGATTGAGGGCTGTATACTGTGATTGGAATTTGTCATGATACAGCCAGTTAGTAGACCGGGCTAACCTTCCAACACAACAACAACAACAACAACAGCAACAGCAACAATCAAGCTTTATTTACGGTATCACTTCATTAAAAATGCTCTTCCAGTGAGCCGTTTACATAACAAAATTTTCAAAGAAACTACATTAATGCTAAAATATATCGATATATTAAGAAAATCTACCCTATAATTAATTACACAAAAGTCAATCAACCTTAAAGGTACATTATGTCAGACTAAATAAATTCTATCTCAACTCGCTCAAGGCAATCCGTGGTTCAAGACAAAGACAGGGCAGACTTGAAAGAGTTGGGATTTATCTCGTCTTTAAGGACATTTTCTAGGCAATTCCACATGACTGCTCCCTATAGCTAAAAGCCGGCTTAGCAGCTTCAGTACGGGGCTTTGGTACAAAAAAACACTACTAAGAGCAGAAGATTACAGGACATTGCAATTACGAAGTTTAAAGTAGGCATCGAGTACATCAAGGATTTATTTAAATAGCTACACTGCTACTGTCTAAGAGTGAAAAACTTTTACAGTTAAGTTTAATACAACAAGAATTATTTAGGCGGCATGCGCAAGAAAGAACGGGTTCGCGAGAGGCGCGCGTCTCCCTCGCGCGCCCAGTTCCCTCTTGCGCCCACTGCTTCCAAGCGCCTACGCAAGCTATTTATTACTCGTATGTATTCGTATGTACCCGTATGTGGCCGTGTGTTACTCGTATGCCCGTGTGGTGTCAAGATCTAAAACGGAGCACTAAAGGAGAGCGGGGCGGAGTGGGATGAAATGAGCTCACCGTCGGCCTGACGTTTGCCAGTCATATGACGTTTTCAGGCAACGGAAGTAGAATAAGGACCCTTTATCCTTTGCCATAAACGCTGAATATGTAATTGCGCCTGACGCATAACTCAAAAGGAAAAATGTATGTGCCTAAAAAAAGGAAACGCTTGAACGCTTTGCTTTTCTGTTTCATTTATTTATTTACCTCAGTGTTTGCAGGAGACCCGCTACTCTTTCGGTATAAACAGACTTCTTATCTTGTCCGCTCAACGTATCTTCAACCCTCGTTAATTTCCTTGGCTCGGCTAAATCTTCTTATCAGAGTCATTTTGTCAGAAAAATGCTTTCACGGAGGGGAGCGAAATGATAAAAAGTGAACGCGATAGAAATATGCTTCCTCCTTACACGTAGAATTGTAATTTTAGGCAGAACTTTTTTCCTTCTGGTGTTTCCTTCTGTATCAGATATAGAACAAAAGATCTTTCAGCGCGCTTAGGGAACTTTTAAAATATACGGGAACTACAGACTTTACGGAAATCGGAATATTCTTATTTCCCGGTGACGTGATACGTGTCCGCAGATGTTGATTTTATACCGTGAAAAGGATTCAGCGATCTATTAACGATCAGATGCCAATATTTTTGACAAGCTGTAAAAAATAAGTCTTCAAAGCCACCACAGCGGTGACTCACAACGGGTCTGATGATGATGTAAATAACAACATCACGTGATCAGAGTTTCATAACATACAAGGCCGATATCATGCTAGGATTATTCCATAGAGTTGAATAGCTCTGTCACTGCGGCTTTTTACAGAGAGGGTTTTCGCGATGTTGTAGGCAAACATTGTGGTGAAGAGTTACTTCCTGAGATTCTCTTATCATTCACCTTCATCTGCGCGGTTTTTTAGTTGAATGCAGCGAATTCCAACCTATAAAAAGGACGCCTGTGTTTGACAAAGCGAGCACCATGCAGGAAGCTCGAGGCCACTCACGCAAAGAAAGCGATGACTTCTCAAAGCTGTGTTTTGGGAATGACAGCGAAAATCTCGAAAGTGGCGGTGAAGGAAACTTCTATATGGACCCAGCTCTGGAACCGGCGTTGTCTTTTCATCAACCTAAAACTTATTTTACTTCTATCTCCTTTGTGTATGCTTTAAGGGATGTTTCGACAACCCTTCGATTAAGTTTAATTCGACTGTACGTCCATCCCGTGGGTGCTGCAGTGGTCTTACTAGCCGCTATTTTGATTCCCGCATTATTGGGCTGGCGTGCTTTTGACTTGAATTATAAAGAGAAGGGAGAATATTTGGTGATAGATAAATCTTTAGAGTCGTTTGAAATTCCGGGACACATCACTTCCGAACATAACGACTTGGTAGACGTCGCGTCCAAGCTGTCGAAAGAAAGCAAGACGGTTCCTCGGCGAGAATCTCCCAGAAAAGGACGGCGAAAACGGTCAGCCGGGATTCCAGACATAAACCCAAAGGAAAAACATGCCTATCCATTTCAACAAAGACCGAAATGGACTCTGGAACTCGTGTATCTTGCTGTGGGAAAAGATGAATCTGATTTGAACATTTTCACGAAAGAGCGCTTGGAAACTATTCATCAAATTGAACAGAATCTGATACGGCTAGAAGACTTTGCTGATTTTTGCTGGAAATGGAGCAAAGCAAAGGATGATTATTTTCTTCCTAACGGCTGTACGCCTCCCATTTCGCTTATAGACTTTTTCTTTCCGTCGATTTCCCCGGACTTGGGTCTACGTATAAATGACGGGCAAGGAAAAGTTAACCTGACGAAAGAAAGCATAGATCAGAGTTTGAAACTGCTACTAACAAAGCCTTACGCGTACTGGTTTGTGGACGACTCGTTCTCCAAAGACCATCGAAAGAGCAGGTTTTTACGTGCCGAAATAAAGTTTGGTTCGCCTTTGCACTGGAAGTATGGGTACCATAGCAAACAACAGAGCAAATCCTTCAACACTTTCCTAGTCAAATATGTGGAAGCTTTGAAGAAAATGTCAACCGAGTAAGTATCTTTTTTCTTCCTAAGATAAGCTTACATTTATTAAGTGGGAAGCCGTCTCTCTTTAACACCCTCGCTTAAATCCTTTTGTTGAATTTAAATACCATGTAAAAGGATTTTCACAAAAATGATATATGTAGATAAGAGCTTCAAGAGCTTTTCAGGTAAAGAAAACCGGCCATTTCAAAGCATTTTCATCGTTCAAGATTATACGGATGTTTTTTTTATGCTTTTCAAGTATAATAATTGCCTTGAAGCTGGGTGCTTAAAATAAAGTGAAGATAAGAGAAGATCGTGTCTGTTTGCATTTTTTAGGATTTGTTTTTTTGAAAAACAGGAATTTGTAAACAAAATTCACGATCAATAATGAACTATACCTAAAAGCGTTGTCGAAATGCTTCGTCATGAAATGCAATGAAAAATCATTGAGGCTTGAAATTAAACCGCACTTTTTTTCTACATTGCTTTATGAGTAGCTTTAAAATGCAGCTTTGAAATTAGGTTATTTAGTTTCACTGATGTTTTTTTTTCGCAAATCAGTCAATTTTTTGAGTACGCTCATGCCCCCCCCCCCTTCCCCTGGGGCATATGTCAGGCATTTGTCAAGTTGTGGGCGTGTGTCATGAAAGTTATGCTTACGGGGGTGGAGTATTAGTTTTGTCATCGTTGAACTTAACATTTATCGAAGATTCCCCACCACCTTTCAAAACGGAAAATGTATTTCATACATAGTTGTTAAGGGCCATAACCTGTAACACCTATTGTAGCTGAGCTCACTTGATGTTACAGGTGAGCAAACTGGAAAGCTATAGGTAAGACAATAAATTTTTTTGAGAGGCTTAATTTACTGCTTGAAAACTTAATGACAGCCCTGTCATTTGAAAAGTACAACGTGTGATTCCAGAAAATATCCATACCCCAGCGTGGAGGGAATTTCACTTAGGACCCCCCCCACCTCCCTGGATTTTCCATATTTGTAAGGAACTGATGACGGCCCCCGCCCCTCCCACCCCTCTGGAATTTCCACAAAGTAAGACAAAGACCTCCCAACCCCTCTGGAAAAGTTTATTTTCACAAAAAAAGATTATCAAAGTAAAGAACAATGCCATTTGTGGTTATGCCGTGGTTTTAATTTAGTTTATTGAGTGGGCTCAAATTAGAAGGTTGTATCTGTCAGTTTACCTTGTTGTGTAAGCTTACGATTTTTTTTTTCCAAATGGCCGGTAGCTGTCTATAATGTTATAAATCGCTTCAAGTTACTCGGGTTTAATTGTTTAATTAAATTACCTTGACAGACGCTCAGAACATAAGAGTCAGCAGACTCTTATTTTTTAACTTCTCCTCGTATAATTTTATTGCGGCTTTGGCTTCACTGCTTGCTGTTCGTGTGCTGTAACTTTGCAAAGAAAGGCCTAGCAAAACCCTGGAAGATGGGGCTGGGAATAGGCGTGCTTGGAATTGACTGAGCCTTATATTTATTTATTCGTTTATTTACTTTAAGGAGGTGGATAGTCTTTGGGCGCGATCCATTCAACCAAAATTTCCGGAAATTTCGGTCCAAAACTCAATGGATCGGTTCTTTCCAACCGTAAAAGTTTTGAAAAAACGGGTCCACCTTTTGAGGTGGTCCTCTTTTCCCGGTCGGATCGGTCTGAATATAAGGTGTAAATCTAACTTCTGCCTTTAGTTTTAATGTTGTAGTCTTGAGGTCTGTGTTGTAACATTAATGTGTTGGGAGTGGACACTTATCTTTAATAATAATGATTTGCATGACAAGTTTACTCTGTGAACTCAGTTGTTAAAACTAAATTTCCTTGCATGCTTAATAGTTTAATATTTTGAACATCTGCCCTATATGTCAAGCATTTTCTGACAAGTTCTAAACACTCTTTAAGTTTTATCCTTTTTGATAATAGCCAGCGTGTAATTTATATTCCTGCTTGTAATTCAAACATACATCCTAAAGTACATTGGAACAGGATAATGATCTCTTAAGATAAAATATGACAACTGTATGACTCTCACCAGCAGGATTTAATCAAGCCCTATAAGATAAGAATAAGATAAAATATGACAACTGTATGACTCTCACCAGCAGGATTTAATGAAGCCCTATATAAAGTCATGAATATTCATAATCTCCCTGCTGTTCTCCTTACGTTTCTTTTGCGACAAAGGGGAGCAATTGATCACTAATCACAAATTTCTTTGTATCCCAGTTTTAATTTGTTATTTTCTCTGAATGCAGCTGCGTGAGATGCAAACAATTTGACTTTTGCAGCAAGCTGTGTGCTTGGATGGGTGGTTTTGTGGCTTTCTTGCCTGTCTTGATCTTTGTCTTGGTAGTGATAGCTCATTAACATAATAAAATTCTTGAAATACAGTAAAAACCTGCGAGTAAGAAGGCTTAAATTTGCCAGTTAGGCCCCCTCTACACAAGAACCTATTTAGCCTAAAATTTGAAACAGGTTCTTATTTTCTAAAAGCTAGGTAAAAATTCTGTATACTTGGGGAAATATAATAAGTGAACATTCAGGATTCTCAGTTTGGAGGCATCAGTGTCTTATCACTCCAACTGCAATGTACTACTTCACTAGCTACCAGTGGATGGAGCAGAGAATAATAGTATTTTTAAGATTAATCTCATATGTTTTAACCCATTCGCTCCTGAACGGCCTGTAACCGCCTGTGTGGATCCACATCCTTTCTACCCTTTGTGACGTCATCAGTTATAATGGTCAAGGACAACTTTATCTGCTAACTTGTGCAGAGTGAAGAGATCTTTCAAACCATACCAGAATGAGCACAATTCAGTCAAGGACACCAGAGAAAGAAGCAAAAAACCATGTGACATTGACCTGAAAATCTCCATGAAAATCTTGTTCCATTGCTCACCTACATTTCCTTTCACCTAATCCTAAGATCCTAAAAGCTGTCCTAAAAACTCTTCCCACCAAAATGAAGCCTACTAAATTCCCAGCAAGAGAAAAAAAATGAAGCAAGAAAAGCGAAAAAAGAGGGGAGGAGAGAAAGCGAAAAGTAAAAGTCAAGTCTGCTGTGTCACTTTTAGACCCAAAAACTTTCAAAATTTTGCTTTCTGCGCATGCCCAAACTTCGCAAGCTGATATTTTGCATCTGGATCAGAAGGCCGCCAAGTGTACGACCTGTAAACCGCTTTGTGGTAAGTTTTAGCTCTTTATACCACGACAGTGACCGGAAAACCACTCGACTAGCTTCAACATGCGTTTTTCGGCAAAATCTCCAGGAGCGAATGGGTTAAGCAAGGGTGTGCTGTAAGGAAAATTAAAGGGAGCACAGTGCTCTGAAACTGTAAAATCCAGGGTGCCCAATTATTGTTTAAAAAAATACGTTTTTCTAGTTGCCCAAGAGCAAAAGTTAGGCGCCAGGAGCCACTGGGCTCTGCTAGAGCACAGCCCTTGTTTTAAGGTACTTAACAATTTAGCTTCTGGTAATCTGATAGTACCATTGCACATTTATGAACCTGCAAGGTGTCCTAATCACTCATCTTCTAAAAAAATGGCAATTTGTTATTGAAGCCTGTGACCTAAAGGCACACGGCCCCAGGGCTTTTTCAGTCATTGCCCCTATCCTCTGGAATGATCTGCCCATTGATATCAGATCGATTGACAATGTAAATAAAGTTAATAAATTCTGGGTTGAAGACCTATCTTTACAGTGAGTTTATAAACTGTCTTAGGATTTTATTTTTTTATCATTAGTCTTTTTTTTGTTTCTGCTACAATGTAACAATAATATGTAAGTTAGTCCAGGATTCCTGTTTTTTGATATGGATTATTTAAAGCATAGCTCTTGGCACTGAAAAGCATAAGGGCTAATTATATATATTGAGATTCTATAAAAGGAATAAACTGCATATCACTGTAGGGATGTAGATAATAGCTGGGAGCTAGGGAAAATACTCGGTTGTCAACTTGATTTTTCCGGCTGAAAAACATTACAGTCTTTAAAAAGGCAACTGCCTTCTTCTCATACATTATTACCCAATGCTCCCCCCGCCCCCACCACCCTCAAATGCCATTTCCCATCTGTTATAAATTTAAGCTACATCCCTGGTGCCACAAAATGCTGTTAGCAACTTGTATTATTTTGTTTTCATCATAAAATAAAAACCTAAGAACCTAAATAACCTAAACTTGTGCTAATTACCATTTATGTAATCTTGAACCTGTCTAGGCTAACTTGGGAAATTGTTGGTTCTTACTCACTGGTTTTTACTTTATCTGAGTTGTCCTTAGATTTTTTAGTAAATCCTTCGAAATCCACTACTCCATTATCTATTGGGCCCTATTCTCCCGTGACTATATTTTATACTGGTAGTTATACCCTTGCTAACCTGATTTCTTTTTCGTTCATATCCAGCAAAGTTCATATCCTTTATGGAGGAAATGATATCTTTGACTATGAGGTGGACAAGACTCTCTGGGCTGACATCAGACTCTCTATCTTCACCATGGTTTTTGTTGCAGCATTTGTGTTAGTCTTCACTAGGTTCTCGTTGTGGCTGACATTCTGGGGGATCTTAAGTCTTCTTACACCAATCTGCTTAGCTTACTTTTTCTTCCGTGTTGTGTTTGAAAAAGTGAGTCTGGGAATACTAAGTGGTATCTCAGTCTTCATCATTATTGGAATTGGAGTGGATGATGTGTTTGTTTTCATTAACACGTTCCGTCAAGCACATGGTGCCAAAAACTTGGAAACTCGTATTGCTCACACTTTGTGCACTGCTGGGAAGGCCACCTTCTTCACTTCATTCACCACAGCAGCAGCATTTTCTGCCAATTGCCTTTCTGAGGTACGAATTTAAAAAATGTTCAACTATAATAAATTAATGACTATGTCAGAAAAGAATGGTCTAATTCTTTTTGTAGGACTGTGAGTCTGTGGAACAGATCAGAAGTCTTTTCTTTGTATCTGTCATTCATCCAGTCAGTGTTTTGTTATTAGTCTCATGTATCAATTCAATGGATCGAAACGCACCAATTACTGATTACAAGTCTTCATAGCCAATAACATCACAGCTTAACTGACAGACGACCAATAACATCGCGACATAATTGACCAATCAGATCAATAACCAGAGTATAATGCCATCAACTTACATGATACAACAGGTTGTCAAAATGTCAGTCACTGGTCAACAACAACAGTCCTATTCAGGACTACGTTCACCCGGACGATCAAACTCAACCTACTTTTGAAATGACTCTTGGGTTCAAACCTTTCACAGTTCAACGTAACAAGTGTGCAGACGATCTGGATAATACAAAAACCATGGCATGTCCCTTTGGTGTTCATATTCACCTGGTTCTACTTTATGTGATCATTGAAACGTAAACTCTTTAGCAGTACACATGTACTTTGACATGACGTTTTAATGTGTAGTGTCCATACTATTCTTACAAAATGGAAGTTTAAATGTAAGTTTTAATGTTTTTCATTGCTTCAAGGTGCAAAAGGTTAATAAACCATCAAATTTCTTTTCTTTTATTTTATTTTAATGATCAGGGTCGTCACTGGGCTCATGTTGAATGACTCATTTCTTTCCTATTACAGATGCCTGCAATTCGTGATTTTGGTCTGTTCATGGCACTTATAGTGAGCTTTTGCTGGTTAACAGTCTTTTGTACCATTCCCCCTGTCCTTAATTTGTGGCAAAGGTTCATTGTCCAATGGGAGGAAGTCATATTCGATTCTATTTGTGGCTGGACCAGTCATTTGTTTGACAATGTGAGATATACCTTACCTGGTAAGTAATTCGCCTTGAGAAATCTGGCCTCCCTTCTGCAGGCATATTTTGCAGTGTGAACAATGATACTAATGTTCTCCTGCCATCTTGGATGTCGAAACTGACAGAGAGGTGGGGCAGGTCAAAAAAAGATTCCAAGGGAGAGGATTTCAAGGTGGCGGACACGATCAGTGTTCCTCTGAGTTTTCCTTAAAAAAAAAAAAGTGTGCTCTTCAAGCTACCTCCCGTCCAGTTTTCACATTCATCAGGATGTTACACCAGAAATGTAGACAAGCTTTTTAAAAAAATTTTGTCATATTGCTAGGAAACCTCAAAAAGTTTTCTTCCCAAGGAACAAGAAAACATTTATGTTCATTAAAACAAGCTTATTTAATATTAACAGTAATGATTAGGATCCTGTAAGTAATTATTGTTACTGTAGTGAGGAATATTGTTCAGTGTTCTATCAAGGTTTCACTGTGAATCTCAAAGATTGAAAGCTCTGGGCGTAGTTGATAAAGTGCATTAGGGTGATGAAATCCATTGACTCCTTTGTTATATGTTTATATGTTTGCCTTTTTTGACTTGACTATGTACATTCCTATTATTTTGAACTTACGGATCAATAGAAACATTGGGTTAATTTATTCAGTCACCATTGTTTTGTGAACAAAAGACATAGGATTGCACATAGTTATTTAGGGAGTTTCCAACATAAACTGTAGCACATTTGTTTTCATCTTTGATATTTGCCAGCTTTCTTAACCAGTCTCCTCTACTAACTGTGCTCTGGGATACAAAATATCGTTGTGTTTTGATTTTGAATCGGCCACTGTTTTGCAGATGACATTGTTCAGTTCCTGTCAGGAAATGACCAAAACCGCACTGCAAGTGAGCCTTCGTCAGCTTCCTCGGTTGAGTTAGAACTTTCTGTGCGGCAATCATTCCAAGAAGAAGATGATGATGATCAGTTACTGCAGCTCGACAGCAATGGATCAAACTCTCAGTCCCCTTCGCCAAGCTCTAGTGACTGTGACTTGGCCATGTATAGTGATCCTAATGGAACATTTGATATGCAACTGTCGACACCACTTATGCGGAGCAGAACCTCACAGTCAAGAACTACAGTTAGACAGACAGGCCAATCTGGCAACTTTCTGCAAAGCTTTTTGTACCATTGGTTGGGAGTTCCAATTAAGAAATATCCTATTGTTGTTGTTGTGTGTTTTGTGATGGTCCTTGTGGCATCCATAACGTTAGACAGTATGATCCACGCTTCTACAAAGCCTCCAGCATTTTTCAAGGAAAGCACCAATTTACAGCAGTTGTTGTACTTGAAGTACAATATGAGTAGTGACAACCTTAATGTGAATGATTTAGGCTTGGATATCATAGGCAATGATAATGTACACTCCAACCAAATTCCTAACCCTAAGACACCAAAAACAACAGCTACGGAGACAAATGGGTTGAAAAGCCCCACAACTATCCCTTCCCCTGCTACTGCTGCACAGCGACCTGGCAAGCCAAAGTCAAGCGGAATACAACTGCAGTCCAATCCAACAAAGTCTACCACATCAGCTTACAGGCAAACTACCACTCTTCCACCTGAGAAATCATCAACTTTAACACTAACACCTGGAACTCAAAAGGCATCAAAGTAAGGCTTGTTTCAAAAAAGTTAGAGTAATGATCTTAATGAGAAAATGACATTCCTTGCATTATTTAAATTGCATGTGTGCTTAGAGACTGGTTGTCATGTAAGGAACTTGATTCTGTGTAATATTATTATCAAGGCTGTGCTCTATGAGAAATTTTCTGGACCCCAGTGCTCTGGAAAATTTGGGTGCCCAGCATAAACTAAGATTTGATCCTAGTCATCCTAAAGCAAAAGTGAGGTGCTGCGGGCTACTGGGCATAGCTAGGGCACAGTCCTGTGCATAAATTTGTATAATTTATTTATTTGTTGGGGGAAGGACTTTATACATTTATATACATTTAGCTCATTTTTAATCTCAAGTAAGATCAAGAACAACAATAGGTAACAAAATAATTTTATGTAAATTTATAGACATCATACAATGCTCTTAAAAAAAGTTCCATTGATAACTCGCAGGTTAATATATTTTGTATTTTTTAAAAATTGAAGAACAGATCTTGAAGAAATTAAGTGTTCTATGCTTTGGCACAACATTGTTGTGTGTTGTATCAGTCCAAACAAATTGCTGTACGTTTTTTTAATGCAATTCTGCTGGTTTTTCTTGTAAACATTACTCGATATGGAGAAAAGAGCATTTTCACTCTCATGGCCAGCATCTAGATGCAAATTTATTGCAACAAAAGAAAGTTTTTACGGAAGAAAAGAGTTCAAATTCCCAGAGGATTGGTTCAGAATACCAACATGGTGGCCGTTTCATTGTTTTGGAACACCTATATGGCCGTTGCGATGTCCTGTGAAAACACTCTATAGGACGTAGATATTTTATACTGGGCTACTTATCTCCTCCTGAAATTCATGTTTCCTCATAAGAGGGTCCATAGTGTTTGCATTCAAGTACTAATTAAAAACATTTGTTTTCGGTCTCCAACCAGGAGCACCAAGAAATCCACTTCTCAGGAGGTTACAGGTTAGTTTACTTTCATCTCTATGATTCTTATGACAAGGCTTTAAATGGAATTTTCTTGTTACCTTGTGTTCATTATAATCCCTGTATCTACTGCTTTGATGTTGTTCTTGACTGCACTCACAAAAAAACCTCCCTTGTCAGAAGCAGAGAATTGCAAGGGTGTACTTATTACAATCTTTATTAAGGTAAAACCTTTTTGTTTTATCACAGAGCCACCAAAGACGACACGAAAACTCAAGCAAGGTAAATGAATAGATATACGGTAAAGTAAACAGAAACACCTTTTAACCCTTTAAGCCTCAATATCCACCTACAAATTCTCCAAACTGATCTCTATACATTTCCTTCAAGAATAAGTTGAGAGAATTTGATAAAAGATCAAGGCATTTTCCCTTAGGTGATCACTTTATTAATTCTCATAACCTAATCTATTGACATTGTCTGGATATCGTTAGGAGAAAATTGACGTTAGACGCTATTGGGACTTAAAGGGTTAAATAATACTCTAATAATAATAAGCTCTTTATTAATTCCAAAAACAAATGTTCCGGATTACAATTGACAGTTAGATAAAATTGAAAAGACACCTTTTGATAAAACAGTCTTAAATAAACATCAGTCCTAATTTGAGTAAGTACGTAGAAATGACCACTGTTCCTTAACAAACGCGACAAAATTTGTCTTGTGTGATCATGTCTGTAATTCTCATGACCACTCTGTTTTACAAAGCACTGATATTACAAGGAGAAATTTGATGCTGACCACTCTTAGGGCTTAAAGGGGTAATGAGTTTTTAAAGTATTTTTAATGGCCTAAGGACTTTTTCCTTTTGGAGCCCACAATCATAATCTCCAGGTTACTACTATGCATGCTTGGTGCTTATATAGCTGCCTTGCAAGCTTCATTTGGACTTCCACTAAGAATGAATGGAATGCTCAGAATGCAATTTGATCTGACGCGCGTTTGGACCTTTTATCACTCATAATCTGATTACGTGTGTTTCCATCATCTATCGCATGAAATTTATGCAAAGCCTAGCGTAGGAGCAAAAGTGTTTTGATCTTCAATCAATTTCGTGTGCAGCCCATAACTTTTGGTTATTACTAATACGTATCAATGGTAAATGTTATAAACTATTGTTTTCACTGCATGTTATATAGCCACCAGCAAATCTAGTACCAGGTCAACCACTTCAACTGGTGACACAACACTACCTACCGTGTGCCCTCCAGGCAGCTGTAAGGCTATTGACAAACCCCTAGTGGATACAGCAGCGACTGTTTATGTGATATTTGGTTTGAAAGGCATTGATCGCAGCAAAATAACTAGAGAACATGTTATTGAGAAGAAGGTAAACTTAAACATTAAATGTTCACATTAAAATCTTGAGTGCAGCAGTTCGTTCATTATTGACTGGATATTAAATAGTACAGTCAACCCTTTAATTTCAAATTTCCTTTTCTAAAACTCTAAAAGAATAATACTACGCAAAAATCCCTATGATGGATAAGGTTTCACGTGAATGGTAACTCCACAGGATTTTGTCTACAAATTTAAATGTTAGAGAAGTGCATTTTTTGGTATTAAGAGGATGAACATTTCTGCTTTAGGGTGACGTTGTTCCAGACTATGATTTCACTGACCTGTTATTAAACAGCTGGCCAACATTTCTCATGTATGCATGCCGGTTGTGCCACAAACTTAGCAACAATTCCAAGCTGGTTCGACCTGGTGGGGCAGATTGTTTCCCGACATGGATCATGGACTACATTAACGACCCTCAAAGACGTCACGATGACTGGAATAAAGATTGTTTAAAGATCAAAAAAGCGTTGCGCAGCACAGGGAAATCGCGTGCGAAGCTCATGAAAATGCCGTCAAAGGACCCTAAACATGGCAACTATACCTACTGGATGAAGATGGCATTTGAATCGGTATTGCTTTTTATTATTAAGTATTTTCTGGCGGGGGTTCTTGGTCTGCAGTTTAATCAAAAAACACGAATTAAAGGTTCAACGCCATTTTACTCCCTTACATCAGGGCTTTCATTGAAATTTCAAGTTGCCAGGTAAACGATACATGTAGGCAGGGAATCAAACAGCTAATGATACTGCTTAGCTTTTTCTTCTTTTTTACTACTTAAGTAAGCGGGGTTACATTCATACTAGCCGGGGAAAATCCCTGGCCTCCTGTCCCTAATGACAGCCCTGCTTATATGTATAATCATTAAATTTTTTTATGAGGCTCATGGCTATGCTGTTATTAAAAGTAAGTTTTGGTCCTAACAACAATTTGATGATCCTGTGGGTGTTCAGTTGAGCTTGAGTTTTGCTAAATAAACTTGCAGATTATTATCTCTCTACTACACCATATGTTTTCAATTTGATAGAACTTGAACTGAGAGTTTACTGAATGGTTTAATATTCTTTTTTCTAGATTTTTCCTTCTTGCAGTAATTATACATTGCTGTTTTTTGTTTTATTTCTTCCAAAGGATGGGTGCAAAAACTTGCCATGATTCATTTTACTAATTTTCGCAGGGCTCTTATCATTCAATAACTGCACTTTTTTCTGAGGAGGTTACCTTGGCTAAAGAACTTCTATTATTTTTTCTTTTATTTATTTTTGTCAGTATGTAAGATACTCATCAGGGCAGGGCAGTCCTCTGGGAATCAAGGAAGTGGTAAAACAGGGAGCCCAGCTGCTCTAAAACTATTGGGTACCCTGCACATAGGTGTTCTCGAAAGGAGAAGGTGGCACCACTAACTTATCTGCTAAATCACAGCCCTGACGTCACTGAGTCTCTAAACCGTAATTTCTTTCGTATTCAAAGGAGACAGACTGGCAAATTGTTGTTGTTGGAATGTCATAACTGTTCATCAGTAGAATGACTAAAAGGTGTTCAATTCCACAGTACTATTGGTTTCGGGCTTATGAAATCCTATTTCATTCATGAAGGTTATTTTAAGTGGCTGTATAGAAATGGTTTATATGACTAAAACAAAAATCAAAGATCTCTTTCATTTGTTGTAGACTGTTTTCATGGGAAAATCTTCTCAAGAGAAGGTAAAGGACTATGACAACTGGAACAACTTCTTAGAAGAAGAACTCAAGTCTTATCCCAAAGGTCTAAAGACAGCCTTCCAGACAAGCAAAGAATGGGTGATGACATTTATGGAAGTCATTGCTGTGAACAGTGCTATCTATGGCATTGCTTTGTCACTCGCGTGGTGTCTGGGCTTAGTTGCCATCTTTACAGCCAACTTCTTTCTGACACTGATTGTTACGATCACCATTCTAAGTAAGTGGATTTCTTGACCTTAAGGTTCAGGCCCCGGTTGTTCAAACGTAAGGTAGCCCTATTCATGTTAACTCTCTAACCAACAGAAAAGCATTAACCCTTGAAGTCCCAATAGTGCTCAAAATCAATTTTCTCCTAACAATATCCATAGACTATCATGAGCAAAGTCTATGAGAATTAACAAAATGATCACAAAGAGAAAAATATTTGATCTTTTACCAAATTCTCTCAACTAATTCTTCAAGGAAATGTATGGAGATCAGTTTGGAGAATTTGTATGTGGATATTGGGGCTTAAAGGGTTAAGGAAACCAGTTGTGTCATCCACTGGATAGAGATTTAGATTTATCCAGCGCAGGACAGCATTATACACCCTTTGAAAAGCAACATTGCTGTAAAAAGAGTTGTAAAGCTATGTTGTGCATTGTGCCAGCCACGTTTAAACCTGTCATGCAACAAATCAGGTCGTTGAAGTTAAGGTCTTCAGCTGCAATGGTACTAACCCCAGTGCTTTTTTCTTGAAGGTGTTTTAAGTACAGTCGTGGCAATATTTTACTTAGCATCATGGCAGCTGGGAGCAGTGGAGGCTATTTCTCTTTCCATCTTAGTTGGCACGTCAGTGGATTACTGTGTCCATCTCGTAGAAGGCTACATCATGGCTGGAAACTCCATTCCTGCACATCTAACCTCGTCGAAGGTTGGTTTATATTTAAATATCTTGTCTGATCTGTCTATTATGTTGGAGTGCATTACCCTACATGTTTGTATCCACTTTTCGTTATTGTATTTGTTGATTATTTTATGGGTTTTGCTTCAATAAATGGAGTATATTGTAAACGCAAATATGTTACTGGCCTCTCTAACACAAGTACATAATTATATTTTACAAGAAATTTGTCTTGCAGCCCGCTATAAATATCTCTCACTATTAACCCTTACAGCAGTGTAGACGTCAAGAGTGACCAACATCAATACATGATCAAGAGACTAGGTTATGAGAAATAGTGAATAGATTACCTAAAAGAAATGTTTTGATCTTTAAACACAGTCTGTAGGGAAATGTGTGGAAATCGGTCAAGAGAATTGGTATGCGGGTACAGGGGTATAAGCAGTTAAGGATGCCTTGAATTTTTCTTTTGTTCAACAAAGAACTCCAATCTCTATTTGACAGTAAATCACTGGCCGACCATCCGAACTGTTCGAGGCATCGTGATGTCACGCACATACATTACGTAACTGCCACTCTCAGTTTCCGCTGCAAGTGGCCACAGAATTTGCAAGTGTTGTCGTTTTATTATGTATTAGTTGGGGGTGTCGGTTTTTAGCAACTGAAAACATCACAAAAACTAAGAACACGCCACCAAAAACGTAAGATAAGTTATCTTTATTCATTATTCGTACATTAAATCAACATTTGGGATCAAAAGGGTGCAGGCAAAATTCTTTGTTTTATGAAGCATTTCTACCGATCACTTGAATCAAGCTGAGAGATTGAGTTACAAAATACAGTAAATGTACGGGATCACATGTCACACGTGACATCGCGATGCCTGGAATAGTTCAGATGGTCCACCTATGGTAAAACACACATCAGCATCTGACCATTTTTGTATTCTCTTGTACTAACAATCATTATGCTTCTTTGCTTTACAGGAAATTCGTGGTTGGAGGTCATTAGCTGCTGTGTCTCACATTGGCACAGCCATTCTTAGCTCAGCTGTAACAACAATAGTTGCGTCAATACCTCTGTGCCTTGCCACAATTCAGCTGTTTGCCAAGTTTGGTCAAATCCTGGCCATCAACACAGCAGTATCAATTTACTACACCTTGACAATCTGTGTAGCATTGCTGTGCTTGATGGGCCCAGTAAGGTTCCGCGCTTCATGGAAATCATCTGTGATTGCTCTGCTGGTTGTTGCGATAGTTTACTCAATCCCTACACTCATTCTGTTTTTTGTTAACTGGAAAGTTGTCACCATACCTGGCCCTGCAGGGGAGCCTTTGTTTCCAAAGCCTAACTGAGTTAGGTTACCTTCTTTTGCTCTCCAGACTGCCCCAACTTAAAATGTATTTAAAGTGTCTCAACTGCATCTTTAAGTGGGATACATCTGTGATTTGGGCATTTACTACTGTGCCATTAACAAAGATGTTGGAAAAAGGTTACCACAGCTGTATTATGTAAAGATGAAAATTTGTTATGATCCATATCTGTCATTGGAGTTCCCATGGCTATGTTATTATGCCATTATGTATTTACTCGCCTTTGTATTTCCAGTTACTTTGCAAAAAAAAGTTAATGGAAGCTTTATGTTGCCATGGCAACTGTGATGTAAAAAAAACACAGATCGTTACAAATTTTCATTCTTATTTAATACAACTATGGTAACTGTTTTCCAATTATATCTATGATAATAGCAATGTAGTAAATACTCAAATTTGGGAGGGATCCCCTCCTAAAAATCCAGTCGAGCCACCATAAAACAACTTAGTAGGGAGGGGTAATTGTTTGCTCCTTCATTCCCCTAACAATAATAATTCACAAAATAGTGCTGCCGCTCCCCAAATACTACTCTCTTTAGTAACAATACAGTAGTTATTCGGTGACATTGTATTTGCTGATGTTGTTTTTAATATGACTTGTCATAAATTTTTCTTGTTGATTTGGATCTTAAAAGGGCAAAGACCTTGAAAACTAACTTCTTGAATAAGTGTTTCCCTCAAATAAGACAATATCAGCAAGGCGTGGCTGCAGCGGTGTTTTGAGTTAATACTGTAGGTTAAAAACCGACTGTTCATGAAAACTGTATGACACTAAACTTGTTTAGCCTGCTTTTCTGTAAGTTATGTCACAAATTGTTGTGAATTTTGTGGGTGAGTCGTGTTTTGGGGACGCAAAGTATGGTGTTTGTATAAATTTTTATTTTAAGCACAAGCTTAGCACATTTTGCAATGATATTATAAATAAATTTATAAGATGCTGTGTAAAGTATGTAGGTAAAGACATGATATTTTTGTACTTTTAGGTATATATAATTTGTTTGCACTTCACTGGGCTTTGTAGCCTTCTTGGGAGGAATTTGTTGGAGGGGGGAGGAGAGATGAGCGCTTTAAGCCTCAAGAGTGACCAACATCAATTTTCTCCTAATAATATCAATACACAATCAAGAGAAATGGTTAGGAGAATTAACAAAATGATCACCTAAGGGAAAATGCATTGATCTTTAAACATATTCTTCCAACTAGTTCTGTAAGAAAATGTATGGAGATCAGTCTGGAGAATTGGTATGTTGATATTGCAGTTTCAGTTCCAGTTTACTCTTTCATTGACTTCATTTGATGACCCTGTGGACATGGAGTCCCATTTTCGAATTGACATTCAACCAATGCAGCCAAACGAACCTTTGCTTGCGTGCCCCTGTTCACTTGTTCAAAAGAGATGTTCAATAAATTTGCAACATAATCTTGCAATATTGGGGCTTAAGGGCTGGATGCCTTTATTCCCCCTCAACCTCTTCCTTTAGATTAATTCCTGCCATGAAGACTATGGACTGTGAGAATGTGACAGTTGTGTTGAGATGTTACTTTGGTCGAAGGCATTTTACAGTCACTCAATCTTTGTTATCACCAAAATTGTCATGTGATGTGCAACCAACAGATGCTTTTTAAAGTGCCAGGATTTTCATGTTATACACTGTACTGTAGTGGTCTTAATTTGTACACGTATTTAACCTGAAGTCGTTGTCGACTATCACCTTTTTCTACCCTTCCACTGCAGCGTACATTGGAAAGCCCAGGATGTTACCAATCGTTTTGTAGCTTTTTGTTACACTGCAGTTTTAAATCCTTTTCTTCGTATACCTCACTATGGCCAGGTTATTTGTCTTTTTGAACTTTGGTATCTATGGGTGAAAAATTGTGAGGTTACCAAACCACTAAATTGAAGCTTCTTTGACAACTTCAAGTAAAAAGTACGTTTTACTTCTTAGCTTTTGCCAACAAGGAACTCTTAACTTTATTGAGTCCCCGTATTGGGAATGAAAGAGTTAGTGTGCTTTTCGTAGTTGTTCAGCTCAATTTCCATCACACAACCCTTGTGATACAGAGATAAAGCTCTGATACTTCTTTTTATCCAGATTTTACTTATGAAGCGAGGAATTATCACAGTCAACTTTTTAGTTTTAAAATCCTGTAGCAAAATGACCAAACATTGCCGAGGGCTGCTCTTTCAATTTTTAGTTGTAAAAAACAGAGTACATCTTTTATTAAAACCAATGGCAGAATGCTCAGATGTTTTATTATGTTACTTATAACTGGCAAACATTAGTTACTGCTGTTAAAACGTCGGATAGTGCCATTCACCCGGAAAAATCACTTTTCATTGGATATTGTACTGGTTTTCCTAATGCTTGTCCACTGAATAGTGATTTATCGGCTGGATTGTGTTTTCCACCTTTTGAGTGAGGTGGACAAACAAAACTATCACAGTTTCGTTAGTGTAATATATAATGTGTCTTAATAAAAAACTTCGTTAAGTTTGCTTGATGTTCTGATGTTCTGTCATGATCAGGCGCGGATCCACACCGGTTTCCACCGTTTTACGAAAATCGGTGAGAGTTTTCATAAAGAACTAGAGTTTTCACGAAAAAAAAAACTTTTTAAGTTAAAATCTGGCCAATATCCTGACTGAATGACTCAGAAAACCAGGAAAGGTGACTTTAGGGAGTAGAAATCTAAAAAATTTCACAGGGGTGCATGCCCCCGGACCCCGCTAGAAGCTTATTCCTTTGGCTCTCGTTTAGGAAAACGGTCAGTATTTATCCTAGATCCGCACCTGATGTTGATCCCACGACATTGAATATTATGAGTAATTGAATATTATTATGAGATTGAATATTATGAGTAATCAAGTCAGCTTCTTTGGTAACCTTGTGAATTTCTTCTATTCTCTCTATGAATTCTTTTTTTTTCCAAAGCTGCAACAGAAATACCCTTGCAAGTTGGCTGTGATTTTAGAATCAATAGACAAACTAATTTGGAGTAATTTTGGATTTCACTTTGTTTCCCAGGGGTGGTGAATTTCTCGTTTTTTCCTCAGATAATCAAAAAGAAAATCACTTTCATTTTGGTCAAGTCTTTAGATAACGGAAATAACTCTAGTCTTTTTGTGATTGGTCATAATTAGTTTAATTACTAAGCTTATGCTATCAATTAATTAATCAATCAATTAATAAAAAAGTTAAATAATAATTCAAGTAATCGTTGTTATTATTAAACCTTTTAAACTCCAATATCAACTTGCATATTCTGTACATTGCTCTCTTTCAAATTCTTGCCTTATGCTATTGATTTTATATTAAAGTCAAAAGCTTTAATCAATTTCTTCACTCTCGTGACCCAATGTTTGGTTTATCAATGATAAAACGGTAATTTAAAAGCTAACAACTGAAATTCATACGGCTTATATACTCTTGGGTTTTCTTGTAGAAACTTTCTAAATGTCTTGTTTTATAATTTTTTTTCTTTTTGTGCTTGTCCTGCACAGGGTTATGGGCTCCTGTCGTGCTTGGCAGGCTACTGCCTTGCAACACAGAACAGTTGGTGGTTATATTAAACTTTGTCTATGGTTGTTTCAGGAGAAGGATGCCTAGGCGGGGGGGGGCGGTTACTCCCTATAACGGCCCATACGGGGAGGCTCCGCCCGAAAGGGATACCCTCTCAGGCTTCAGGTATATGAAAGGGTAGGGATTTCACTAGCTGAAGTATATGAAAGGGTAGGGAAATCGGTCATTGTGGCCTCTAAAAAGGCCTCAAAAGGGCCAACATGTGCATTTTATGTCTCATATGGCTGTGAAAAAGTTGAGAACAAATTGTGATTTACCAGTATTCAAATTTCAAAGACATTGCATTTACAGAAGTTAAAGGGACACAAAGAAACTAGGTATGTGAACGGGGTGCCATTGTCAAAAGGAGGTAATACTAAAAGGGTACCTTTTCTGGCCAAAATGGTTTATAAAATGCTAAGGGGTAGGACCTTGGGGCGGAGCCTACGCGTATGAAACCTTCCCCCAGGAAGGGAGCACTCTCTTTGCGATCTTGCATGCCCTAGATTTCTCTTCTCTTTTTCTCAGCCACTCTGATTAGAGGCCATTAAAAAACGCAAGGGGTTCTTTTGTTCTTTCCTGGGAATGGAATCCAGAAAATTGTGGGTAACCTCACAGTTTGTAGAATATAAGGTATTCCTAAATTACTCAAGAGAAAGTCAAACAAAAAATAGAGTTCAAAACGAGTTGTTTTTGCGTATTTTGGGGGTTACCTTGTGATGAACCACCCACAGACCTCCAATTTCATCACCGCTCTACCATATGGAAATGACTGGGGTTCTCTTGTCACCTTTTTGGGGAACAGGGGAGGTTGAAGGTGATGGTGTTGTAGCGGTCCCCATTAGGCAAATGTAGGAAAGAAAGAGGGATAGTGGGGTGCAAAAAATCAGTGAGTTAGGGAAGGATCAGGGAGAAAGGGCAGCATCTGCTGCTCCTCAGTTTCCCTACTCAATCCCATGCTTGTTTTACCTCTTACCTCGTGCTGGCCCCATTTTTTGCCCTTTTTCCGTATCCTGGAACCTGGTCCAAGGCATACTGAACTAACCAATACCAAAAACCATTTGGTGTTGGCCAACTTTGGTACCTCTTATGGGTGAAAATATATTTGAGCCACTCCCCCTTTCCCCTACACCCACAAACCAGGGTCTTTGTATCTTTGGCCAACTGGTCCTTCTAGGTCAACAGCAAACCAAATTAAAGGAAACTCCATGATTTTACGTTCAGCAGAAGACACAGTATTACCATCTTTCGTTGCAATTATCGTTTTGTCCTCCCATTACTGCAGACACACTCAGGATCACAAATAATTTAGTCTCTTAAGTAGTCAGAGTCCTAGGGGGGGTACTCGGGATTTCAAGTGACGGGGATTATCGAATGGAGCCAAAAGTCAAGACCCAAAAAAATCCCTAGGGCTTCCAGCAAAACCCAAAAAAATCCCTGGACCAAATCCCATTTGAAGTCTTGTACACGGCCGGGCACTACGGGACAATGCAGACTATTGTATAACACGTGCGATGTAAAGCGACACCATAGTTAACTATTACACAACAGCAAAACACGTGTGTTTGTACTTTATTCGCAGAACTACGAAGCCAGGGCACTACCGATTTTTTTTAATACCCCCCCAAAAAAATCCCTACTCAAATCAAGCTACCCAAAAAAATTATTGCCAAATTTTCGTACCCAAAAAAATCCCGAATCGAAAATTTCAAGCCCAAAAAAATCCTTCGATCATCCCGTCACTTGAAATCCCGAGTACCCCCCTGGGGTCAGAGTCCATAATAACGAGAGTTAATTTCAGTCATCTCTAATCTATTTTTGCTGGGGATTCAGCAGCTGTTGACTGTATTATTGGGGTGTCCTTAACCCACATCGCAGACAGCCTAAATCTCTGGTATAGACTATAAATTATTGAGCTCTCTGTCTAGGTCTGGAGCGACAAGTGTAGCTGCACCACAGGTTAGGGTGTCCATAACACCAAACATCCACAAGACAAGATCAGTGGACTGTAATAGAATGGGAGGGACCAAACAAATCCACCTCAAAGCTTAAACAAATCAAAACAACCATTACATCAAAGCAAAACAAAGCTGTAATCTGTCTTTAATACTTTTCACAGTTCCAGAATTACAATAATTTTCAAAACTAACATTCCACAAATGGAAATCTGTGCTCTATTTAATGATTTGTGGAGACTGGGAGCACTGAACCTCAATTTAAACCATAAAAATGACAAAAAATAAATACCAATAAATACTAGACAGTATTGATCACTCTGGGCTTTGTACAAAATTGAACTTTTACATCACTAAGAACTGCAGTTGGTAAAATAAGTAAACAAAATATATATCTCATGTCATCATTTCCTTAGTGGTAAATGTATACCAAACATTATTAACTGGCAGAAAGAAACCTGTCTTTTGCAACATTGGATCTAAAATTCATACATCTGTTACAGTCTGTAACATCTAGAAGGGATTATTTGCTTATACATGTATAGCAAACTCTTTAAATTTTATCGATTATTGAACGTTGGACTTACATGGTAAATAACCCAAAACACTGACACAAACAAAGGTAATTTGCACTGTTCTGTGTCTCCAAGGGAATAAAAATAATTTCTTGATACCTAATAAGCATTGTCTGAGCCAAATTCTCAGGAAAAAATAACACAAGTACCATTTATTTATTTTATGTCAGATATCACCGACGTTGCATGTTTAAAATATAACACTGAGAACTGAAGGAAGACACTACTAAATTGAAATAAGGTACTACGTTCTAGTGGTATCATCTTCTTGGTGGTGGTCTCACATTTGCAAATGACCTTGCTACCAGTGCAGTAGCAGCTGCATCAACATTTCCGTTTGTTCTTTGCAGTTCTAACACTGCTTGATCCCTTGAAAAACCCAAATCAACTATTCTTTGAATGCTTGCCTCGGGAATGCTGGATGTTACTGATGTGGATGAAGAGCTACTGCCAGTTCTCGGACCAGATGTAGCAGGTGGTTGTGAAGTATCTTTTGATGATTGAGCCATTGCTTCCGCAAGTTCTCTATCTTCCATCTCTGCCAGCTGTTTGTCTTGGATCATTTGTTCGCCTTCTCCATCACTAAACGCAAGTCGATCAGTCACTGGCAGCTCAGACTCCGCCAGGAAGGGTGTTTCTGTTCCAGTTGTACCAATGCGTAGTACATTGTTTTTGAGATCAATGCAGCACTAATAACAAAAAGTCATCATACAACTTTAATTAACTTTAATATTCCAAAATTTAAGACAACATATGCAGAGAGGATATTATTCAAGGGGATATTTTAACTCTTGCAAATTAATCCTGAACAGACATTGAATATTTCTTTACTTTTGCAACATTGTGTCACTTTCATTTAATTCCATAGTTGCCACAACCAGAGTTGAGAACACCTTTAATAACTTTTAATCAAACTCCTCACTGACAGCACAAAACTAAATGTCACATCAAAGCAGTGGGGGGCTCTCTCTGACCAAAATAAAGTATCTTGCTACCTCAGCTTTGCAGGTACAGCCCATTTCTGATCCAAAAATAATTATGGAAGGCCTCCCTTAGTTCTTTTCTACTCCCAAGGGTATGGTTTTAAAGAAGATTAGTCTGGTATAGGGTGTGGAATAAACAGAGAGCTTTGGTCTGAATAGGGTATCACCTGCCCAGGGTTGTCACTAAGATTTCAAGTTGCCGGGTAAACACAACAAGTAGGCGGGGAAATCAAACAGCTAGGGATTTTTTTTGGTTCTATTTTTCTTCTATTTTCCAATAAAAGTAGCCGGGGGCCACTCTCTTAGTAGCCCGGGAAATCCCCGGCCCCCGGCTCTTAATGACAACCCTGCCTGCCTAAAGATCGTCTACTAGGTTATACTTTCATTTTAAGTTAGTTTAGAACAAGAAAGAAGTCTGATAAGGGTAGGAGTTTCTTGTGTTTTAAGTCTAGCGTGGACTGCAAACCCCACTATGAATTATTTGTTTGCACATTAATTTTGTACTTGAATAAAATTAAGAATGTCTAACCTGGTGCCTTTTGAGCATATCCAGACCCAAAACTAAATCCATGGGCTGGTCTTCCATGACAGAGAATGAAGACGGCAAAAAGTCATTCTCTATTTGAATCTGTGCCACATGAACGCGTCCAACAATTTTCTGTGTGCCAACACCTTTTGCGATGCCTGCCCATCGATGATCCAACAGCCTCATGATACTGCATCTTTCTGCACATGCTGAACTCATAAAGGTCATCTGAGCACCAGAATCAACAAATGCCTTCACTGGGTGTCCATTGAGCTTACAGTTTATATACAGCATGACGACTTTACCAAAAGATTCTGGGGAATACTCCATGGCTATCTCCATGTTTTGATTAACATTTGTCATGCGGATTTCCTCAGCAATTTGTTTCTGAGCCTCTAAGTCAAATGGATCAGCATTCATGGTGCGAATTCGCTGCATATCTCGGTCAGCCCTTTCTTGTCTCTGCCTCTGAAGCACGGCAGCAAAAGCTTGCAAATCTCCACTCAGTAGTGCATCAGCAAGCTCTGGATTCCTTTCTTTTAACAGAGACAGCTGATGAGGATCAGCTAGGAACATGTCTCTGATGAACTCTGGACTGTCTCTGTCAGCTGCTCCATGCTGTTGTTGTTGAGCTGGAGGGTGGTTACGTGCTGACTGTGGACGAGATTGATTAGGTATTTGGACATCACTCCAGTTTAAACCACCAGCTGGGACACCACCTTAAAACAAATGCCCTTTCATTAGATATTAGATGACTATGAAAACGTCTAAGCCTATTTCTAACTTTATACCACTACATGACAAGTTTCTGCAATTTGATTGGCTTAGAGCAGTGGTATTTCAGCTTAATTTGAAATACCTACATGTGAAAATTACAAACCTTTTGCGGGTAGTGGTATAAACAAATAATAGCATGATTTGTACGTGATATTTGGCATAAATACCACTCATGATATTTCAAAATTGTTTCAAATTTCACTCGCCTAACGGCTCGTGAAATTTCGTATAACAATTTCGAAATATCACTCGTGGTATTTATGTCAAATATCACTACAAATCCTGCTATTAACTATACTAATACTTGAAACTTTTTAACAAACAGACAAGCAAATATATGGGTCTTGTTTTAGAATTTTGGTCTTCTAATTGTTTTAAATGTTAATTAACAAAATTTTAATTTTACTTAACGTAAAACATAACACCGTCGGCATTTAAGTAAAAATTAAATATAATTATGATGTCATCGTCATATCGTCATAACATAAAAGACGCACGTGGCTATATCAAATTTTACTTAATAACACGCAATATACTTTGCTCGAAAATGCTCGAAGAACAATAAATTTCAACTCAAATGCAACATTTTTTTTCCAAACCTAGGAAGTAAACTTTCCTTTCAGTTTAAAACATGCGGCACCGGAAGTTAATTATAGGAAAACTGACTTCAGCTTAAAGCATGTTAAAGCTAGTGTAAGATCTAGTTGTCCTACAAATTTTGTGCCGTATATTACCTGTTGAAGGGGGAAGAGGTTGCGCGTTCAGAACTCCACGCCGCATCAACAGGACGTCGCCATCTTTGATCCCATAGCCATTCAAAGTCTTTTTATCGTCTCGCAGTGCAACACCGTTGTGAAAGATCACGATTTGGGACGACTGAACACCTGATTCGAACTCGAGAAGGGCTTTGAAATTTTCGAGCTCGAGATCATCACTAACGTCCAAATTTAATATCTGTTCGCCTTCTAAAGTTGCGGTAACTTTCATCCTGTTGTTGTTAAGTTGAATGAGAGTTAGACAAATTAATTTTGTATGCGTTTTGTGACATAAGCACAAACCCAATGACTATATTATATGCCGTGTAATAATGACAAGGACAGTTTCCAAAGGATTATGGGATATAACAGCTTTGGTGAGAGAAGCTTGGGTACTAGTTCATTTGGGATAGAGACTGCTGCAACATTTTCTCCGTTTGTCTGTGGGTTATTTGTCAAGTTTTCTGAGTCATTTAGAGTCTAAAAATATGAGTTCTAAGGGTGATTCTGAGTTGGATAAATCTGGTCAAAGGTATATATTGTGTTTCCTTACTAATTTTAATGTTTTAAGTCGTAAAATGTACATATCTCGTGGGTTAAAGTAGGCGCCTTTGACCCGCTCATCGAATTATAAATATCAATTCCCTAGTTTACTTATATAAGCCACCGAGTCTTTGAATATTTTACTAAATTATTTTATTTTGGGATTTTAAAAAGTATGTGTTTCAAAGCAGATCTACACTCGTCCCTAAATTTTTCCCTCGTGTCATGCAAGCTTGCTTGATAACTCTTACTGAGATTACCCTTAGTAACATGTGAGAATTTCACCTAGCAACGGTTGCATTTAAGTTCTCATATTAGACGCCTTTTCCAAGTGTTATGAGGTAGTGCGAATTGTTTATTGTGTCATTATTATTATTATTATTTTTTTTTTTTTTTCATGTCCATGTTGGTGTCTCTTCTGCTTCGTAGAGCTGCTTCGCTCTAACCCAAAATTGCGTGGTATTGTTCCAGAAAATATACATAATTTTCCACTGGAGGGATTTTTGACTTACATAGCCCATTACCCTCTAGAAATTAAATTTAACATTGTTATAATGTTAGCATTTAACAGGGTTGTCAGAAAGTTTTAAAGTAGACAGCTGAGTTGTCAAAGTAAGCAACCGGTCCAGGGACATTTTATTTAAAAATCGCCATCCATAAACAAATGCAAAGTATAGTAGCTGGCCACTACTAACCAAGTAGGCAGCGATTTTTGCCGGCAGCCGGCTACTTTTAACAACCCTGATTTAAGACCCTCCAACCCTCTCCCCCCTTGGGTTTTGCAATGTCTCCCCATTAGATTGGTATGGATATTTTCTGGAATGACCCATTCTTCTTACTGAAGCAGTTAATCTTGAATTGAGCTGAACAAGGATGCATTTTTTCCGGATAAAAAAAATTAACACAGACAGGCAGTGACAAAACTTAGTGACAAGACCTGGAACACAGTAACAACAAAAATTGGACTTCAACACACAAATACTGTTCAATAAATTTATACAGACCTGTACACCAGGAGTTATAGACAACAACAAAACGTTGTGAAAAGAAGTGGATTTTTTTATTTGCAACAATAATCCTCCAAGATTTTCCTAAGTTTCAGTTTACATGAGTTGACTCATGCAGGTCTGTTACATGAATCTGGTGCGCAATTCGACCCACATAAACCTTTTACTCTTTCCATTCACACTGTTTGTTTTCATTTTTAATTTTTAGGGACAATGAAGAATCACCTGAGAAGAGTGTTTGGCTCAATGCTCATCAAGATCCAATGGCATCTTTGTACACTTTCTCCACATCAGTCGCCTTAGCTGATCTGAATGCAGATTCAGATTACAAACTCCTTGTAGCAGACCTGGGCACTGGCACATTTGACATGAAGCTAAAGGTCTTCAAAGGGACAACCTTGTTCATGGAGAGTGCTATTATTGATCTACCAACAGCCCTGGTATCCTTCTACATGGATACAAATGATCCCCGCACCCCTGCTGTTGCTGTGGCATCTGGTCCATTTATTTATGTGTACAAGAATTTGAGGCCTTATTTCAAGTTCACATTACCACCACTGGAAGTCAATGCTGTAGAGCAAGACCTGTGGAACCAGGCTAAAGATGACAAAATCGATGTCCTCGTGCTCAGGGAGATGTTGGAAAGTTTGAAAAATGAAGGAAGCGAGGGTCGACTTACAGTTCGCTCTCTGAAGCTTCTTTCTCTGGAACCAGAAGAGCTAGAAGCTTTTGCCAGTGTCCACAAACATGCACCACTGAAGCGGCAAACTGTGATCACTTGCATGGGAACAATGAAAAAGAGTGTTGCAGATGACGATGCTGTTAGCTGTCTGGTGATTGGCACGGAAAGCAAAGATGTCTTCATTTTGGATCCTGAAGCCTTCACCGTTCTTGCAAAAATGGACCTACCAAGTGTGCCTGTATTCATCTCAGTTAATGGCCTCTTTGATGTTGAGTTTCGCATTGTTGTTGCTTGCCGTGATGGCAAGGTTTACACATTAAAAAGAGGCAGTAAGATGGCTAAAGCTTGCATTGAGCTGGGAGCACAGGCAGTTGGTTTGGAACGCACTGGTAAAAGCATTATAGTTGGCTGTATGAATGACACCTTGGTGTGTTACTCGACTAAAGGGAAGAAACTATGGACAGTTTATCTCCCTAGCAACATCACAACAATGAGTCTAATGGACCACAAAGCTAGGGGATTCAAGGCTGTCATGGTTGCTTTGAGTAATGGTGAAGTCAGAATTTACAAGGAGAAGTATCTTGTGAATACACTGAAAATGCCAGATGCTGTCACTGCTATGAAGTTTGGCCGCTTTGGTCGCGAGGACAGTACGTTGATTTTGGTTACCAAAGGTGGTGGACTATTTGTGAAAATGTTAAAAAGAACGGCAAACTTTGAAGGGAAGGACTTGACTCCAGGCCCACCCCCAGCACAATCCATCAAGCTCAATGTCCCAAAGAAAACAAAGCTCTTTGTTGATCAGACCCTGCGTGAGCGTGACAGTGCCAGTAGCATGCACAGAATGTTTCAGCATGATTTGTATTTGCTCCGTCTGATGTCTGCAAGATCCTACGTCAGCGCATTAAAAAAGAGCTTAAACCCCATTTCATCTTCTACCACAGAACCATTAAAACTCTCAGCACAAGTTCATGGCATTGGCCCAGCCTTCAAGCTGACAGTAAACCTGCAGAATATTTCATCCAGTGTGCCATCAACAAACCTGCTCATCACTTTTCAGTTTGATGACTCGCTGTATGCGCTGTCAAAGCCTTGCATTACTGTTCCTCTGCTTGTTCCAGGGTTGATGTATACGTATGAAACTCTGGTAGAATGCATCAGCGATAAGGGCATTTCAGATTCTATCAAAGTGTTTGTCTTACATCAGGGTAACAGTGTTCCTGTTATCACAGCTGTCATCAACATGCCAGTGAGTGAAGCATTAGTCATTGTGTAAGAGGAGAAGACTTCCTTAACTGAATTAACCTTTTCTTAAATGTGTCATTCTCGTAGTTGATAAGTTGTACAAGACACTTTCCATGTAAAATTTGGCTACCCTAATAAAAATTTGAACTGGCGTATTTAAAAATGAGCCTGTTAATTAATCAAGTTAAAAGGTTGTACAAAGTGTCACCAGGGCTGCCATTTGGGTTTATTATAAGTAGCCGGTCTCTTACATGTAGGCAAAGTAACCTCTCATTTATCCCACAAATTCTTCTATGTTAATTTTGTAATGTTTCTCATATTTAGAAACTTTAAGTAGCGGGTTGATTTTACTGCAGTAGCCCGCTAAACAAGCTGGCTGCTGGCTGTCAATTTCAGTCCTTTTGCATACAAAGAAATTGGAGAAGAGGATTTCAGTCTTCTGAGCCACCTGAAGTCCTTTTATGTCTCAGGAATTTTTTTTTTCTTTGCAAATAGAAGTCAGTGATATAGCTTGGCTATTTAGATCCAACATTTAAAAATTTGCTTCAACATAAAGTTTTCTTTGGCCTTCAAATAAGATGGGGCCCTTCTCCTATTTGTGTAAATATAGAACTTACCGTGATTACTTCATGTATGAAATAACCATTGTAACCTTGTTTAGGACAGTGTGAATTTAATCAAAGTAAGCAAGTTTTGAAATCAAGTATATGGCATCATATTGTAGATAGCTGTTATAATGTTACAAGAGATCAGTGTACAGTGTATATAATATACTAAGATTCCATGTGTTGTGAATAATATCTAGAAAGAAAATTATGTCATGCACAATAAAGTGATGAAAAGGGGCCTAATTCCTCTTTCAACTAAATTGTCTTATCAACCTCGTTCCCAGGGTCCTCTCCTACTGACCCTGGGAACGAGGTTGTTGTCTTTTTTCTTCTGTATAATGTAAATAAAGAACTTTGTGGAAATCGATGTAGATTCTCATTCATTTTGTTAAAGTAATTGCTGAAACTGTCCTCTGTAGGGGTTGAATTGAGAGCGTTTTCTTATGAATGTTGCATCCATACACTACAGAACATTGAACAGTGACAATACAACATTTGCATATCTGTGTTGGACGTTCATAGACATGCCAGGTTCAAAGGTGTGCTTTTTGACGAGCAGGTTGTTTGTCTTGAAAATGCTCCACATTTCACTCTTGCATTTGATAGAAGATGAAATCATTTTGACCACTACACTGCCAAGAATCAAAGCAGTGTCTCTTTTGTTTAAGTTATACTTAAGAAGAGAAGGGGGATACCCTGATTTCCACTATTAATTAAAACTCGTGTATTTTTTAAGCATTTGTTTAAAGACACAGTTATTAAAAAGCTTTGTCCCTTACAACATTTTTGAGCCGATATGAGATAAAATATTGGCTTGGTAATATTTGCAAGCAATGGAGAAGAGGATGGAGAAAATCCCGAGAAAATTTGGAGACTGCATCTTGGGCGCGATCCATTCAACCAAAATTCCAACCGGTCCGACCGGGAAAATTGGTCCACCTCAAAAGGTGGACCCGTTTTTTCGAAACTTTTCCGGTTGGACCGAACCGATCCATTGAGTTTTGGACCGAAATTTCCGGAAATTTTGGTTGAATGGATCGCGCCCCTTATTTTTAAATCCAGTTTAAAACTCTAAAATTCTAAATTTAGTCTGATTTTCCAGAAAAGAGGTTACTTGTTTTTTATTTGATCCACGGTTTACTTAAAGCTACGGAAATCGTAGACTACGAGTAGTCCTCATTTTTCCTTAGGGATAGTAGAGCGAGCGAAACGCGAGCGGGCGTGAAAAACACCCCACGAGAGAAAAGGCGACACGCGGCGGGGACAGAGAAAAATGAACAGTCGCGGAAACCTGGAAAGAGCATAAACTACTGTATGCCCGGTTACCAAGCGAGTTGCTTCCAACATGGCGACCGCAGGAGCATCTGCTCAATCAAGTACAGAAGAAGATGCCACAGAGCTACAGTTCCCTAAAGGTTTGTATTCACCTGTTGCCTTTTTGGCCACTAGAGAACGATATTTCTCTCTCGGGTACTTGGTGCTAGTTGTCAGTTTAGGCGTTGAATGAGCTACAATTTGAATGATATGCTTTTCCAATATGAACTAGAGAACCTGATGTGAGAATTACTTTATGTGAAATATAGCTTAGGCATTTTACTCGTTTATTTTCTCATAACAAGATACTGCCGCGAAAACTAAGATGTATTAACTTAACCTTATGTGACCTAGGTAAGTCTTAAAAGATATAGCTTAACAAATTTCTGTCTAACAAAATGAATAGTCTAAGTCAAGGCTAAACTTTTGTGGAGGGAGATCTAAAAATTGATGTTTACATCTCCTCTTTTGATCATTAGAGGAGAAGGGAGAAAAAAGTACCTTCATTTCTTAGTTATTTTAAGACCCTGAGTATTGTTCCAGTCCTGGGAATTGAACCTGTGACCTCTTGCTTTGCAGTCAAGTACTATGCTGACTGAGAAAATCTTCATGATATAATAGTAACTTAATATAAAACCTTCTCCCTCAATACTCAACACCTGAGTCCAAACCCTATTTGGGAGACTGACAGATTTCAATAAACAAGAAAGGCATCAAATTTTCTTGCAGAGTTTGAAAGTGCAGAAACTCTACTAAACTCAGAGGTTTACATGTTGCTGGAACACAGAAAGACACAGAATGAAGGTGCTGAAGAAGAGCAAGAACTGTCAGAAGTTTTCATCAAAACTTTGAATTATACTCAAAAGTTTAGTAGATATAAAAACAGGGAGACAATAGCTCAAGTCAGAAGGTAAGGAGACTATCTAGACTCTAGACTGTTATGTACACCTATAAATTTACAGACACCTTAAGAACATTCTCTTACATGTAAACTTCCTTTTTCATCTTTGTTGCAGTTTGCTAGGTAAGAAAAAGCTTCACAAGTTTGAATTAGCCTGTTTGGCTAATTTATGTCCAGAGACAGCAGAGGAGGCAAAAGCTTTAATTCCAAGGTGAGTCTCATTGCCTGTGTTTTTCTTTTTAATCCCTTGTATAATTTGAGGCAAATGCGTATATTACCAAGCAAGAAGTTACCTGGTAAAGTTGACCATTATTCATACTGAGTGAGCTTAATAGCCTCTTGTTAATATGAAAATTAATTTGATATCTATTATGAAGATGCAAAAAAGCAATGGTTGATTAAAATAAAAAACTTGAATAAAATTATTTTGAGTTGCTGGTCTGTTGCATTGTTTACGCACATAAGTTGCATTATTTAAGCTTAATTGTTGTTGTTGTTTTTTCTTTTTCATGACAATTAGTGAGAAACCATTATTACTAAGCAATAAATAATATTATTATTTATATTGCCCCTTAAAGAATGAGCATCTAATGGATCCCTGTACAGTGTCTTCCCATGGCTTCCAGGTCAATGTATTTCAGTGAGTCATGTACGTATTCAAAATGAAAACTCACTCAGACCATGTGGCCCAAAGTGTATAGGCCGCACAGAATAATGAGGCCTAGGGACTAGGCAAGGTCAATACCATGCTAATTATATCCACATGAAAATTCTTCATGCTAATGCCCATACATTTCCTTAAAGAAATAGTTTGGAAAATTTGATCAAAGATCAAGGCATTTTCTCTGTGGTGATCGTTTTTTTATTCTCGTAACCTTTTCTCTGAATTCTGCAGTGATATTGTTGTGAGATAATTGATGTTGGTCACTCTCGAGACTTAAACCTTTAAACCCTAACATCAAAATTCAAATTCTCATTTGTTATCTATATACATTTTCAATAGAAGTAGTGGGGAGAACTTGTTGATGTATCAATAGATTCTTGTGTGATCATGTCCGTAATTCTCATGACCACTCTGTTTTACAAAGCATTGATATTATAAGGAGAAATTTGATGCTGATCACTCTTAAGGCTTAAAGGGTTAATGGGTTAAACCATGCAAAAACGCAGTTTTTAACTTCTAGGGGACCGAGGAAACTGACTGGTTAAACTTCTACCGTCAACCAATACTGTTTTTTTTTTCATTTTCATAGTTTGGAAGGAAGATTTGATGATGATGATCTTCAGCAGTTTCTTGATGACATTCAGACCCACAGGAGCTTTCAATACTAAATGGCTATGGATGGAGTCAAGGAAAAGACAGCTTTCCACCAATCTGACTCTTTTATTTAACATTACACTAGTGTGTAAATGAACTTTGATATCCATGCCCAGCTTAAACAAGATATAATGGAATGCCTGCTAGTACAAAACACTAGCAGCAGTCTCATTTCCCCTGCAGATTTTATATGAGACTACCCCACTGAGTTGAAAGAATCCCAACAAAACATACACTGTAACTGTAAATGTAACTGTATGTATTACCGCACCACTGTCCTTGACTCGCTTCTCCTTTCTATGTTATTGACCCCCAGTTCTTTCTTTTTCTGTCATGTACATAAGTTTCTTCTTGGTTTAAAAATGTCTAAAAACAAAACAGTTACCTCTTTTGCTCTATGGCAAAGGTCTCTGGTTTTACGTTTTTAATTAATAGTTTTATTTGTTCTCCGAAACTAATAGTCGTTACAAGAAATATTACAGTAAAAAAGAATCAAAGAGAGGTGGTTTCTAAAGTTTCTACAATTACGTAGGTGAGGCCGAAAACTTTTGATTAAGAGTTATTGAATGGCTTCAAATGGCACCTGCACAGGTTGTCGAAACGTCGATAGGGAGCTTAAGCAACTACGACGGCGACGTCAACGAGAGCGGCAAAAAACCAGAAAGCAAAACAACAACTTTGCACGTGCATCACGCTTTTTTTGTACATTTCTTTGTCGTCGCTGCACGACTACGACATGAAAATGCCTAATTTCACGTTTTGTGGAGAACGTGACCACAAGACAACAACTTTATTTCTATTTTCCTGAACTTCGATACAGTCTTTTAAAATTCAACTCCAAAAAAAATTGCCAACATTTGACGAACTGAACCAAATGGAATAAGCGCGATAAAGGTTGAAGTAGCGCGAATTCACTTTTAAGTGACGTTTTCGTAGCCGTCGCCGTGGTTGTCGTTGTCGCTTAACAATTAAACCGTTAACAAAAGTGCTACTTAGGACTACACCCACCCGGACGATCATGCTCCACCTACTCCTGAAAAATTTCTGTATTTTTGAAAAATTTCCCTCTATTTCTTTTACGGTCCTCTATTTCAACTGTCCCCAGTTGTAGAGAAGAGGGTTTCTTTTCAGTTTTTACAGGCTATTTTTCGTATCAACAGTTTCACTTCTTGTCGAATGTCTTTCAACCTCCAGTTATAGAGAAGAGGGTTTAGCGCAGAGGACAGAAAGCAGAGTGTAGCTGCGACATGAAAAATGCTATAAGCCATCTTCGTGTCAGCGCGGTTATTATTGAAAAACACGATTGAAACACACATTGCTTGTGGTAGGAAGGTACCCCAAAAGAGCAGTAAAATGTAAAGAATTGTGCTGACAGATTTTCGGTACTTGGTTAGATTAATAGCAGCGGGCTGGCCAAGGTTTTGACTGGCTTGGTTTATAGCCACGACCTGAAGCTGTTGACGTTTGATGATGCAGAAAACTTTAAAGTAAGAAAACGAAGTTATTGCAAGGCAAATTACACTCAAAGATCCCATTGTGAAAAGATCGAAAAAATCGCGGATGGATTCTTGAGGGACTAGCCAGGGGCGTAACATCGAAAACGGTACGAGAGCTAGAAGAATTGTCGCAAAGATGAAATAAGCACGCCGCACTGTTATGAACGAACGACGACGCATGTAGAACCATCTTTCTATTGCCATGACAGTGGCTGTAACAATTGTTACAGAGTAAAAATAACGGCCAATAGTGTTGAAAATTCTTAACGCAGTGATGCGAAGTGCCTTGTTGTCAAAGAGGCTGGGGTTACCAAACATATAAGCTATAAAGGCTGGCTGGGTGATTAAGCCTGTGAAAAAGTCTGTTATCGCGATACCATCGAGGAAAATGTAAGATGGCGTTCTGAGAGAGCTGTTTCGCCATATCGTTGCTATGATCAGTGCGTTGCCTACCACTGCCACCGGCGATGATACAATGTTAAAACCACAGATTAAAATAACGTGTGCTCTTTGCAACTGAGCCATGAATGATAATGAAAAATGAAGGTTGTCTTTTCGAAAAGAAATCGAAGAGTTTTCAGTAGTGGCTGCAATTAGCTTGTAGTGAGGATATTACTTCAACGCAGTTCCTGAGCACGCTAACGAAAAGTGTAATGTCCTTGAAAGTTCTTTGAACACGTAGATCGAAGCAAAAATTCTGTGGAAGTAGTAAAAATGAGCTCTTTGAACTCGAGTCTTCGCCTCTTGAAGGGTCATGGTCATTAAAAATATATGTTTTTTAAAAATTTACATTATTTTATTATTTTTGGCAATAATTTCGACGAAAACTACTTGAACCTGATTTTTCCTTTTTTCATTAGCATTCATAACTTGTCACTTTCTATCCCTTTTTAATAAGTTTTTCTTAACGTCCGTCAAAAATTGACGTTGTTTTGTTTAGTATAAAAAATCGTACGTGAACGGAGTTTCGCTGTATTCTTTCTCTTACTCCGTTTGTTTGGACGTTCGCCTTTAATCGAAAGGAAGAGTTCAGTATATAGTCGCGCTATCTTCGCACATGTATTCTTTGCTTCAAAACATATGTAGCTTAACTTTAACTTTTCCTTTGCTCAAGGAAATTAAAATAAAATATATACTTGTTCAATTAACAGTGACATTACATAAGATATATCGATAGAATTTAATTCAACTGCGCCTAGTTGTACCTAGTTGTCAGTGCTAACAGGAAATCGTCTTATTGTGAGCATTGGAAACTTATATGTTTCTTTCAGAAAAAAAGAAAATGCCCTATTTAGGAAGCTTTCAATTTAAGACATCTGTCACGAAAAGAATAGGTTGTAATTAAAAGGGCTACTGGGAATTTATTGAAGTCAATTATGAGCTAACATTTTTCAGGAAGCACGGAGTAAATAAAATGGGAATGTGATGAACTTTTCTTGGAAGATTACAGTCAAACCAGGTCAAGCGTTCCCGTCGCTAACAAACTAATGAATTCATTAATGGTAAAATGATTTCGTTTGTTGATTCAATAATCCATTCATAAAATGAATAATCCAACAGTCAAATTGGACCTCGATTCAATAATCAAATGTTGATTTGGTTTATGAACAAAATCTACCTGTTCTTTATTCTTGTCTGTTGTGTTCAATCGTATTTGCTTCCTTTTTCCTGCCGTTTACGATTGCGTTTTTCATTGCCTTTAATCAAAATAACAGCTAGAATAGACAGACCGCAAACGCAAAGAAACTATGAGAAACTGACAAAGGCCGAGGATCGAAATCCACCAATCACCGCACATACACTGACCTTAGTTTGACCGTTGTGTTTTCTAAGAGGTCAGGCCTAGGTCTGTTGCACTGATTACTGGCAGCAAACTGGCGTACATGTAACAGTTTGTTTGGGTTTGAACTTCAGAACTCGCCAGCACTCGACTCTCAGAAAAAAAAAGAGGAAAAAACAAAATTCTGAGGTCAACTTGTGGAAAGTGTAGTTTTTCAAAAAACAGTAATCGAATCAACATTCGATTATGGAATCGAGGCTAAATATGATCATTGGATTTTTCATTTTATGAATGGATTATTGAATCAACAAACGAAATCATTTTTCCGTGAATGAATTCATTAGTTCGTTAGCGACGGGAACGCTTGACCTGGTTTGACTGTAAATACTGGAAATACAATGATTTGACTCTTTTTGGTGGTTCTGTGCGAACATTTTATTTCCTCTCCAGTGAAGTCAATGGTGATGGAAAGTGTTTAGTGCTCTTTCACTGCTAGACGAATTTTCTTGAACTTTCTTTTGTTGTAGAGTTAAAGCCTACAGAAAACTACGAGCAAGGCAAGCGCGAGACGATCAAAGATGGCGAGACACGCGCGACCTTGTAAGAAATGAAAGCCTCGCACGTCGCGCGTATCTTGCGCTCCACGCCGACGTACCTCATCCCTGTCTGCGCTCGCCAAACTTAAACACGCAAGATAAGTCTATTGTGCATGCTGGTATACGTAGTTGCGGTAAAAGTAGCAAGATAAAAAAAAAAAAGCATGGCTCCTGTTGAAGCCGAGTGTTTGAAACTTCAAAACGTAAAACATGTGAAAATTGGCAAATCCCGGAAATCACTGAAACAGCAAGGTAGTTTACAGAAGTATGAGCAACAACTCATCTAACATAGTAGAGATAAGGATATTATTCACCCTTGTGTGTGTATTATACATATGGCTCGTTTATCGTTTGTCTCAGCATATACAATTCTGATTGGTCGCGACTTTTTGACCGCCTACTGCTGGTCTTCAAAAGGCGATGGTGTCGATTTGCTGTGCAAGGTTATAAATAGCGACGTTGTTACTAGGCGTTGGTGCTTTACGGTTGTTTCTACAGCTGATACTAATGATTGGTGAATTACGAAATTAGTGGATGGTAGGTTTCGATCCTAGACATTGTTAGCATTGATAGGTATGTTATTGTTAGGATTGTTGCTGTAAGAAGCTGATGGTGGGCATCCAAGGTACTGCTTCCTCCGGTGATGTTGTTAGGGGGAAGAAGTTTTATGTGCATAGCCTCTTAGGATAGTATACAAGTAAGGTTACGATCAAGTAAAGGTTTCGGTCAATACACTTACCCTAGCCCCTATCGGCCGTTAGTGCCCGGTCTTATTTGCGTTTTTTGAAGCGCCTGAGGTCGGAGAACGGCTTTCACGAAGTCAGACCCAGGTTAATAGTTCACCAATCAATAACAACCACGTGTAGATCGATTATCGAGAAATATTAAGTGCTACCCTCAATAATGATATTTCTTACTTAAACACGGCGCTACTTATAGTCAAAGACAGCGAAAGTATACCATCACCTCATGAAAACACGATCCTATCAAGTGTATCTGTAAAGTCAACACGCTTAGTACTGTAATATCAGAAGACTTGTTTATTAGTAACTATAATCCACTGATTAATTTTCGCGCGATTTTATAAACCCTTTTTTTGGCTTGCTGACAAATCGAAGGATAATGCCCTTGGCTGAAAGATTGTCCTCAAAATTTCACATTTGCTCTCGAAGCTTTGCTTCTCGGGCAAATATTTATTTTTCGGACATTCTCTCAGCCGCGGGCATTATCCTTGGTTTATTTACTAATTTAAATTATAGAAATCTACGGTCCCTTGCTGTCGTGATAACGTGATCCTCTCTATCTTATGTTTCTCCAATCAATATCAGCAAATTTCCTTGGTACTTGTGAGAATGCTTGAGGAGGCTTTGGTATAGGAATCTGCCATCCCTCGTTCAAAGCATTGTTAGCCGACATGATCGCACCTTCAGCATATCCCCTGTAGGGATGGTAGGCACTACCAACGACGTAGATGGACTCCCCCGGAAATGGTTTCTTAGCCCAGCTGGTGACTTGTTTCATTGACACTCCGCTGCCCGGTCCCTGAAGGTACCTGGAAAATGAGAAATTAGCGGTACTTGTCATTGTAATTGATTAAAACCTGGAAGTCATGTTATAAGTAAACGGAATATGATTAGAAACAAACATTCCAGCACTGAGTAACACACACACACACAAACCAACCCACGGCCTTACTCCCAGCACCCTGGCAAAATTGTGGCACGAGTGACAGGATTGACTGGGGCGACTAGGAAAACTGGATTGACATGAGCGACTGCAAAGAATGGACTGACTTGGGTGACAAGCAAGGGCCCGGTGACTTGGGTGATTAGCGGGGCCACGGGGGTGAGTTTTCCTAGCTTTCTGAGACTAATCCTGCTCTCTCCGCAGCCGGCAACTTCTTACCAGGCTCCCTCGTCCCAGTACTGATAGACGGTGCTGATGGGCCTAGGAATTGTCCTTTTGAACTTGTATTCCAAGGCGCGGTGAATCTCATCATCAACCATGGCTTTTGGTAACTTGAGAACCGCCCCCCATTTGTCACCACAAGGGCCATCCTTATATGCTACATGAAGCACAGCTTCGCCATTTGGACCACGTTCACTAAAATCAGAAAGATTCATTTGATACGTTCTTAGTTTTAATTTTTTGGGAGGTAAGATATAAAGTTAGATATAATAGTTTGGCCTGGGCAGAGAGAGAAAGGCTTGTAGAATTTAAGACTCCTTTAAAGCGCTTTAACAGTATTCCTCAGTAACTAATCGGCTTTTGTCTTCATCCTCTCTTAAGTACAATCATTTAAACCACGATTTGACCAATATTTTCTTGTTCGCCATTGATTAAAAATTCGCGACCTTCTTCAAGTCGAAGGCCTCAAAAAATAGAAATGATATGCAACTATTTTCCTCGTCCTTATACAAGAAAGCAGAAGCCTACAGAAAAAAAAGCACTTTTATTTGAGTGTCAATGTATTTAGCACGAAAGTGCTAATTGGGGACACTATATGCGACCTCCCGCTCTGCAGTCAAGCGCTCTACCGACTGAGCTAACCCTGCCGCGGTACAAGACTCCTGAAAAGGGTCAAGTGACTTGCCTGTGGGGTACCGTCGACCCCAGACAGTCGCTATTGGATTCGAATCTCTCCATGGGATACAATCGATCCATCTTATTTGTGTACTCCTCCCACCACGCCCTTGAATAAACAGCCGCCCCCTTGAATGCCGGCCTCTTCATAATCGACTGGTAAACAGGATCGTGCTGAATCCTTTCAGCGACGTTACCCCTTACTTTGCTAAACGAGCCAGGAGGGGCGGCGATCACAAGCTTTGCTGCTTTGACTTCATACTTTGGTGTCTTTATCACGAACAAACCAGCCCGTTTGTCTATTGAAACGGTCCTGTAGTCTTTCCCCGCAAAAATCTTCGCTCCAAGGTTTCTTGCAGATCTAGCGAGAGCTTCCACGAAGGCGGACATTCCCCTTTTCGGGCGGAACTCTTTTCCCGAGAGTAAATTTAGCTGCTTGTAGTATTCCACTACGCCTTCAGGACTTCCCTTGAGGTCCCCATCGTAACCAAAGACATCGAAATAATACCTCGATCCCTCGGGTGTCAGGAAATGGTGTTGAAATGTTTCAAATGTTGCGAAGTTGCTGATTTGGCTCATATGTTCTGGTTTGACGAGGTAGTCCAACATCTGTGAGCAGCTCATGTCCCTAAATGTACTGCGAGTTAAAGTTGGAAACGACTGCCTTTTTAATTCTTGTTCATCTCGGGATGCGTTCCCTCTGGTTTCTGTGTTTGGGTTGGGATAAAAATTCCACTCTGCAAACGGGATGTTTAACCTGGAAATAAGTTCCCTGAAGAAAAGCAAATAAAAAATTAGTTCAGGGAAGCTAATAACAGTGAGTTTTAAGTACATGCTTGTTATTTCCAGATCGAAATGAAATAATTTGGAACAGTCGGAAGTGTTGCATTGATTTTTTTCAAGAAAGGGTAAAACCAACAATGTGCAATCTCGATCCAGAGCTCCTCTGCGCATTTAGAGGAGAGAGATCATGACACGCATTCCCAAACCCGTATAAATAGTGGGGTCGAGAATACAAAAATTGCGAAGTGCTCTCACCAATGCGCATGCATCGCCCCCATCAGGCCTCAGCAAGAACTGTAAGAGGACAAGTTTTATCGAAGGACAAGTATTTTCTTTTACTGTTTCTTTCTCAGGGTACACCCCAGCTGATGAATTCCTGGCGCTCATGCTGACAGCAGAGCGAGCGCTACCTAGATGAAAATCGTTTACTTTTATAATAGTTAAGTTTGTTTTATTTACCTCATGTTGTGATGAACCTTGTCAATTCTCCAAGCTCCAAGACCTGGAACCAAAATTAGTATAAGTTAAGGACCAACCGACTCGTTTGTCATCTAAAAGTCGCGAACGTGTAGCCAGGAAGCCGAAGCATGGATACCTCACTTTTTTAAAACGTACTTCTTCTTGCTACATAGAGAAAGCTTTCACCTGTGTGCATAAAACGGCTCATCGGGGCCAAACACGGAAGAAGCCGACCGTTTATTTTCCTTCACATTAACATTATTGTTGTCTAAATCAGTTAAATTTATTGTCACTGATCCTTTAATCAATGTCAACCTGTCCCTTCTCCTTAGTCGAAGTCACTGTGCCTTTTCCATCCTTCTTTTACCAATCCTCAGCGCAATGTCTGCAAAAAGTTGTATCTCTGGAGTCTGTGGATGGAATCCCCCGGGGGGGGGGCGGGGGGACTCCGTACATGAAAGGGGTGGAGATGCTCGTCGTCTCGCTTAGGGGTGTAAATTTCGGATTTTGGTCTCACTTAGGGTGTTCTGGGCAAAACGCCATCATATTTAGCCGTGAAGGTCTCGTTTAGGGTTGCACGCGAAAAAATATAAAAATACATCTATTGTCTGAGTTTTAACATGGTCTCTTTTAGGGGTTGTAAAAAGCTTGGGCCATTCCCAGATCTGTCTCCTTTAGGGGTTTAATTCAAAATTTCCGACGAGCATCCCCACCCCTTTCATATGCGGAGTCCCCCCCGGGTGAAATCCTGTGGTATGGCCATCAAGTTGAAAGCTGCTTAGCACCTATGACATGGTAATTTCTGCTTTACTGTTTTGAAGAGAATGGAGTTTAGCATCATTTCTATCAAATTTTAATTTATCATAGCATGGGAGAGAGTAATTAATTGCTTGACGGCTTGAATGGAAAAGACTCCTAACCGTCTCACTCACCTACTACAGTATCCGGTACCTGGGGAAAAACATAATCGTAGATCCTTCCTCCAAGACGGGCGTCCCTCTCAAAGACGCAAACTTTAGTTTCTTTGCCGTGCCTCAGGAGGGACTCGGCTGTGTAAAGGCCGCCGATACCTCCCCCAACAATAACCACGTCACAATTCTTTGGCACTTCTCCTCCACCCTCTCCTCCCCCACCTGTTTAAAGCAAGTCATTGATTCACCACTCTTATCATCACTGTACTGACGTTGCTACTAAAATCAGTATTGTTTAGCTAGCACTTACGAAAGTAAGAATCAACAGAGCGTGGTCCTATAATACCTACGGTAATACTATAATTATAATGACGAGGGGAGTCGTGGTTGCTTTAAGGGCGCAGGACCAAGAGTGGTGAAAATTTATTGGTAGTCTGTTCCAGTCATTCAGATTGTTATTGTAATTGTAATTTGTTTACTCAAAGAGATGTGAGCAGGAAAACCAGCGAGGGTGTGGGGTAGGGTGTGACAGCGAAGGAATGCGCTCTTTCCTTTGTACTGTTCCAATCATTTTTTCGAACTTTCTGACTTCGCACCACACTCCCCTATATGAATACCCTACGCTACGAAGGAGAAACCACTGCTCGCAGGGTACTATATGAACGCCTGAAAGAGGCTATAAAATAAATCGATTGTCACTGCTTCGGGAGATAAAATCTAAAATTACCGCCTTTAGATTGAGTTGTGGCCGCCTTAACAAAAGATAATTTACTTGAGATTTTACGAATAGTACTCTCGCAATTCTTATAGGGAATTTCCCTTGGATTGGATCAGTTCTATATGTCTATTTGGCGCAACTGTAACGTTACAAATACAAGGGCGAATCAGAAAAATTCTGATTCACTTTTAGTTGTAGTAAGGTTATTCTTAATAACAGGAATGCATGCAACTCATTAGAGCTCTTCTTTATTAGAGCTAAAGTACATGTAATAAAAAGGGCTCCTAAACTATACTTACAGAGTCCACAAGTCTTTTTACAGGCCTTCCTAATGTTCACCATAGATTTGCAGTATGTCTTGTAATGCCTACAGAAGGTTGCAGGCTGTAGATCTTTGCATTCTGGAAAACAAGAGGCTGACATAAAATTAACAAATTTGGGAACGGCCAAAAAAAACTGTTCTTTATTTGAGTGTCAATGTATTTAGCACGAAAGTGCTAATTGGGGACACTATGTTTACGTCTAAAAAACCAAAAAGCTTTCTCTTTTCTTTTACCTTGTGACGATGAGACACAGATGAAACTTAATAAAATGAGAAAAAGAAACCCCTTCATCTTTTTCTTCCGACAAGCTTCTCTTCACAACTACTACTAAGTTCCGCCTGTTGTCATATTTTTCACCTGCACACATCAAACAGCTGAATACATATATATCAAGCCTAGAGAGTGCCTCTCCTTACGAATGCCCGAGTTCACCTATCGTTACAGTAGGAGTTCACGTGAAGTCCCCACGGATAAAAAATAAATGAAAGTACCTAACGACTTAACAGACTATCACTATACCTATACACGAAACCTTAAATTGATATGATTCTAGAGTTTTCAGCTGGAGCAAAAGGTTTCTGGAAGAGGGTACCTTTAGGCGATTGGGCGGGGGTCCCGGTATTCAGATATCTCTTCGGGTAGGTACGTACTCTTATCGCCGCCCTGGCCAACTCCGAATTTGCACCTTGGGTTAGAAAGAATGACTTTGCCTTCAAAGTTATACTAGATGCTTGTCCTAGGTTTACATTTCGTTGCTTATATTGTCAATTTTTTATGCCTGCGAAATATCACAGCCCGTTCTGAAAGAAATATATTTGAATATTGATCCCCAGTTTTAAATGAAGAGTCCCAAAATCACAAACCTTATAATGGGTGGCACCCACCATTGTAGGGGGTGACCTCTCTCCTCCCCCGAGTTGCCACATCCTTTGAGTTTCCTGCCATTTATAGCCTGAAAACCTTAAGGCAGCTGTTGAGTCACAGCTGTCCTTATTTTCAGTCACAAATAACATGGCTTTGATGTGTAGCCAAAACATTCAAACAGTATTTGTTTTGTGTGAAGGAAGATGTTCTTTGCATGCAGTAAACTTCATTGGTTTTGACTTGGCACATGTTAGTTGCCGTCATTCGTCTTTGTGGTCTTGTCTAGGGTTTCTTCCGCTTTTAGAACCTCAAACTCTAGCTTAGATTCATTGCATTTTCCATAATTCTTTGCGCCGCGGCAGGATTAGCTCAGTCGGTAGAGCGCTTGACTGCAGAGCGGCAGGTCGCGGGTTCGATTCCCGGGGCCGGACCAATACTCAGGGTCTTAAAATAACTGAGAAATGAAGGTACTCCCTTTCCCCTACAGTTGGCTGGACCTTCGCGTGGCTCGGATGACCACGTAAAATGGCGGTCCCGTCTCCATTAGGAGACGTAAAAATATAGTGTCCTCAATTAGCACTTTCGTGCTAAATACATTGACACTCAAATAAAGTGCTGTTTTCTTTTTCTCTTGGTTTTACTGGTCTCAGCAAGATCATGAATGGCGCACCTGCAAGTTGGGAAAGAAAAATCAACGGTCCATGCTTTTGATCAATTCAACCAGTATCGCTGAAGTCCAGAACCAAGCAGACATGCTGTGGTCCACATTTTGTGATATCGTACAGGGAGAGGACTGCCATGAGAGGAGCATTGCAATGGGGCAAAATGTTCTACTCTTCCGATAATTGTGTATAAATAATTTTAATTGTTCTGTTGATTTTCGAGAATTTTCACGGTACACAACAATAACAAAAAATATTATTGTATTCCCTTTCTATGTAACTGATAGCCTGCGCGCAGACGAAATTAAACTCTGGTTAACTCCGTCTGCGAAACAGCGCCGAAATCCTTGTTCTGGACTTCCAGCTGTGTACCCAGATTTGAGTACGCGCCACGATTGGCCAGTTAAAAAAGGCCTTTGTTTTGTTTGTCGTGATCGCCAATCAGGTTGAAGGGGAATTCGAAACGTACTTCCGGTAATTCGTTGAGTCCGTTGGGGGTCCAGAACAAGGATCTCTGCGCTGCTTCGCAGACGGTACTAATCAGAGTTTAGTTATCGTCTGCACGCAGGCTATGTAACTGAACGATCTGCAAAAATCATGCAGTTGAAATGCCTCAAACAGAACAAATTTTGTTCCCTTTTACAGTGCTTCCGTTTCTGAGAGCTCACTTATTTTACATTTGTAAAAATATTTGACTATCCCACGCCCACCTGCAGGTCAACAATCACTAACTATCATTTCATGATGCTTCGTTGTATTTTTGCCACGAAAGGGTCACAAATCAAACAGAAATATAGGCATGTTTGTGCTCGCGGGGAGCCCTGTTTATACAGAAGCCCACATATTGATAATGAGTTGTGCTGGCCTTCCTGTCAGACAGGCTCCCTTTCAGAGAATGGACACCCCAGACACCCCGCTCGTTCTTGCTTTTTCTCCACCAGAAAGAGTTTGTTTGTAGCAGTCTTCTCCTGGACTTTGTGACCCTGAGATCGGATCGGAGTTTTCCCCGCTCCGGCAGGGTACAAGATGTAGAATAAATGAAGAAAAGATGAAATAAAGGTTTTTTTTAGCCATTTATGTTTTTATAATTTTAAGGATAATTCATTAAAAGTTAAGATGAAGAAATCCTTGAAAAGGGTTTTTGGCAATTGCAAAAGAAAAAATCTTCCCGAAAACTCCTGTTTGTGTCTTGTTTTCCGCAGTCCAATCCAGATAATTCTTAATATGTATTTATTTATTGAAAATTTGCCCTCCCCTCTCAGGCAGGCGTTGGTGGTATAGTGGTGAGCATAGCTGCCTTCCAAGCAGTTGACCCGGGTTCGATTCCCGGCCAACGCAGAGATACCTTTTTTCGCCTTTTCTTTTTCTTTTTCTTTTTCTTACAAATCAATTCATTGTTATAATAAGGCATTTTAAACAAAAAGTTGCTATTTTAGTAAAAACATGTGCAAAAAAAACTACGGATGGACCCTACGGATGAAGATGAACATGGTTGAGAACCCAGGCCCCACACGGTCGCTTAAATGGCCCCGCGCGCTATTTAAATGATAAAAGCTCGCAGCAAAAACAGAGTAGTCGAACGAAATTCGAACGCTTGAACAACTGGTAAAGACGACAAAATATAATGTTTAATTGTATAAGATTTTAGACAAACGTTGGTAAATGAAGGAAAAAAATGAACGGCCCGACCAAAAGAAAACTAAGAAGAAAAAAAACAAGACCGCAATCGACTGCCGCTGCCTTTACTTATTAACTTATAAATTCAATACAATAAAGAATCTTGGCTTATTTTATTTATGTATAGTGCTTACAGAAGATTCTTTTTACAATAATGTTACTTACAATATTATAGCATTTTTTGACAATTACAAAGAAACAAAGAAAGAAAAATGTTGTACCAGAATGTTTTAACTTAATATCACGATGAATTGATAGTGCCAAGTCTACTATCTATACAAGATTCTACTAGTTCCGGCTGTCATCACCGATTTGTTACTGTGGTTTTGCCTACTCTAGACTAGTGGTTCTTGTTAAAATTAATAAATACAAACATAAATAAAAGAATAAAATGTATATCAGGGAAAAGAAAACAATAATAAATAGCATATGAACCTAAGATACAGTACAGCTGCGCTCTCACGCACCCAACTGGAGGCCGCAACTTGGTCCAAACTTCTTCTTTGCCAAGATCATTCATGACATTAGTGGTCATGATCACAACAGTTTCAGTTTTTCCAACAGATGATGAGTAATCATTTCTTGTCTCAAATGTAAAAGTGATATGCCTCCACTGTACAGTTGCTGCGCCTCCAACACGGCGCAAATTGCTGCTCGTCTTCGTTTTAGCTTAAATTTTGTGGGCTGCTTGGCAGGTTCGGTTGGGCCATTCGTGGTCGAGTAAGCTTTGTCACCTTGAATGCCTTCACAGATATTGAGCCTGAATAATGGAATTTCTCTTGACTGGCCAGAAAAATTGTTTGAGTGTCGTAGACACCCAGAAAATTGGGTTAAGGAACCCTCATAAACTATTTTCATCAGTGGTGCCGTTTTTGCCAATTGACTATGCTCCATGATCGATCCTCGCTCTGTGACTGAACAGTCCTAACCAAAAGGGAACGTACGTGTTCTGATCTAATTATGATAAAATCTCTCTATTTATTTGTCAGTTGCTATCGTATCGGCAATCTTTACCGACTGTAAAGGGATGAATTCCAAATGAGACAAAACGCAAGTTGGGTTACGCCTAATTTGCCAAAAACATGGTTAGTTGAAAACTCAACCGGGTACATCGTGACCTATGACGTAGAGAACACGAGTCCGCCATACCCAAGGATTTTTTCCTGGGAATTCCCTGGGAGACATAACCCAACGTTTGTCATCAAAACGTGCATAGTTGAAAACTTAACCGGTAGAGCTTGACTTATGACTTAGTAGAGCCAAGGGTTTATTTCCTGGGATTTCCTAGGGACACATAACCCTAGTTGGGATACGCCCAAGTTCACCACCAAAACGTGTTCAGTTGAAAACCTAATCTGGTGAAGCGTGATCACTGGTTCCCAGGGCTTTTCTTTAGGTCCTGGAAACGAGGTTGTTGAGAACACACGTAAAAAGGAACACTTCCATAAAAACTAACCTCAATCGTTAAGCTAAGTAACATTAGGAATATGATCGAATAAGCAAATGTAGTTTTAGTTGGGATATTGATGGCGACAAAGAAATGGGCACGTGAAATGAATATTTAATTTTGTTAGCAGTTTAAGTTCTTTGACGTCTGACCGGTCTCTTTTAACTTCAAAGGTTTCTAATGCCCCATCCATTGAAGGGGGTGAAACCACAGGCGGCCCAAGCTCCGTATGAGAATTCAGATACGTGTGGTCTCATATTGCGTAATCCTTAAAATGGCCGTGAACATAAAGGATTTGTATGGGAATTCAGGTAAAAGATTCCAGAAGATAAATACTCGCTACAATTTTCAATAAAATACACCTTTCTTTATTTACTTTGCTTGTTGCTTGCTATGTGGTTATTTTCCCAATCCATTGCCAGGGTTCTATCTAGGATTTATCGTTTGGGGGAGGATTCCCGAGTGGCCGAAGGCCACGAGCTTTCTAGGGGGTTCATTTTTTGAAATGAAAATGCCCTGAGATGCAATCTGGTGCATTTTGAGACACAATTTTGAGAAATATTACAGCGTTTGCACCGACCTCGTTGCGTCTGGATGATTTTCCGATATAGTTACTGATATAATGATGACAATATGTTGTTGGGGAGGAAGCTGGGTATTTTGGGGGCCTACCCTACTGATAGAACCCTGATTGCGATTTAAGCATTTCCTTTAAATCGCAATGGGAAAATAACCACATAGCGATAAAAAATAAGCAAAGTAAAAAAGGCAAAGTGTATTTTATTCAAAATTCTATCGAGTATTTATCTTCTTGAATCTTTTACCTGAATTCCCATACAAATCCTTCATGTTCACGGCCATTTTAAGGATTACCCAATATGAAACCACAGGCAGCCCAAGCTGGAAATATGAGCATCGGCATTGTTGCGTAACATTCGAAATATAACTTTGTATGGGGAAAAACCTATCGTTTCTGTAACCTACGAAAATGAAAGAATTTCGATAAAAATCAGCTTACCTTACTCAAAATGTGTGTTACTTCTCTCCTGTGTGGTCCATGGGCCGATTTATGGCCGTTTTACAGGTTGTGATGTAACCGGTTTGCTCTATACATATCCCATTTCACTTCATACAGAGAAAACCCAGCAATTTGCTGGTTTTCAGTTGTCACGCCATTCAAAATAGATCAAAATATAAATCAAAACCATTTGACAGATAAAGTCCAGAATCTGGAAAATGAAAGGAGGTAAATATACAAAGACCCTCACCAAGATTTGGGTCGAAGGAATAATTCGTATACAAGATATCCGAGGAAGTGTTTTACCCAAATTTATAGAGCTTTGTATAGAGACGCCATGCTGGAGCTCATCCGGATGAGCTCCAACATCGTGGACGAGCTGAAACCAGCAGAAAGAAACATCTGTTACCGAGTTTTGCTGCAAAAGCGTGAATTTACTCGTAGAGGAACTAATAAACATTAAAGTAATACTTTTTTTCATGATACTTGAACTGTTTAGATAGCAAAATTTCTCGAAAAAAGTCACTTTTTTAACCTAAATGACAGCTCTCTCGGCCGTCATGTAAATGCTGCGTCACGCAAAAGCTTATAAAGAATTTCAAGGGTACTCTATTACAAAACCAAAACCCTTTTGAAGCGAAAATTTTTTTGAAAATTAGTTTTCAGCTGCTTTAATACACCATGAAAGTAAAATCTCAGTAGGATCGATAGTTTTGTAGTTTGATTTTTTTTGACGTCGTGTGAACTATGAACTACACATAGCCTGCGAGCAAGCTCTCCTATTTGGGCGAGTGAAACGAGTCTCGCAGCTTGCTCGCAGGCTAAACTACACAGGACAGATGTAACCCACAATTTATGTAAGGTAAGCTGTTTTTTTATGGACATCTTTTCATGTTCGTAGGTTACACAAACGATAGGTTTTTTCCCAAACAAATCCTTATATTTCGAATGTTACGCAATATTTCGAGCTTGGGCTACCTGTGATGAGAGATTTTTTAACTCTCAAAGGGGACCTGTGGTGAATTCCTGTGGTGAAACTTCGTCGATGAACGAGGAGGACTAAGCTCTAGTTTGGGACTTGGGACGTCGGGACTGCGAGCCAACCTTTGTTGACCTTTTTTTTTTAACTCTAAACGAACCCGGTTATTTTGAGGATGATTAGCTCTGTTTCTTTTTCATCAACTTAAAACAAGGTATGTTTCATCTCTTAAATATAAATATCAAAGTTTTTAATTTTCTACAACATATTATTGTCTTAATTCAGTCATGATCTGTGGTTCGCATGCATCGATCGTCGGATTGTACTTCGTTTTATAAAATTTGCCTCATTTATAAGCTAATAAATTTGCCTTTCCAAGCTTTGCCAGTTGTCCTACTCAGAGAGATTTTTTAGCCTTGAATTATCGTTGAATTTGCGTGCAAACTACTTGCAGTGTGTTATTTTGTTCGCTTAATAGCTCTGAATTGGACGTTCAAGGTGATCTTCAATGTATTATATTTATTTGATAATCTGGTTAGAGATCATGTAAAAACACAGTTTAGGAGTCAAGTATATGGGGCGTACAAGAAACTGTTGATTTTTTCAGTTGTATAACTGATGGTATAGCGATTGTTCTTGTTTGTAGACAATGTTTGTACCAACCACTGTATCAACAAAAGAACCTATTATTTCAGAGCCAATGCTTACGTAACAGGAGGGCATAACCATTACTGTGAGGGGTATATTGGGGGATACCCAATACCGCAATGCCGTAAGAAAAAGTGGCAAATACCGAAATACGGAGTTGAAAATCGACAAAATACCGATACTCCATTTATGATCGGTCACACTTACTTAATTAAGTTGTATCCATCTCACATGTTTGATTATCTCAAGCATAAATGCACCGAGATATGCACCAGCAATCAAACTCAGCCACTGCGAGAAAATGTGAGAAGACCTTGAACTGATTGCTGCAACGATTGAAAACCCCGCATATTGGATGCCCTACCAATTTCATTGTAGATTTAGTGTCCAAAAAATATTATCTGTATCAGACAGGAGAGCACAAATGAATAGTGCCTTAACACCACGAAAGATCTTTCACTGAATACCGTTAGCCAAAAGGATGAAAAACTGCAAACTGCAAGGCTAGATGAGACTGCAATACCGTACATAATTTAAAAATTATCAAAGTTACTGAAATACCGCTTGAAAAAAAGTTCAGTACCACAGTACCGTACACACCAATGTCCCCCTCTAATGTGTTCTGATCTTTTACTTATGATATGCTTTTTAAAAGGTCCAGAAATATTTCTGAATGGATAAACTGAAGCAAATACTTTGATAACAATTATTTTTTTTTATATTTTGAGATTATTGATTCAAACCAAGACTCACTTTGTTTCATGATACGAGTCCCAGGACTCGTCACTGCAATTTGTAACAAAATCACAGCTTATGATGATATTTCTACTCCAGGACATTGCACATTTGATTCATTGTTGAAAAGCATGGCCAGTGAGGTAGATTCTAGACCTCAGAAGCTCATTGACATTATCAAGGAGAAAATTGAAAACAACAACCAGTTCTTCTCACTGGAATTCTACCCACCAAAGACATTCAATGGCGCGACTAATCTCATGGGCATCATCGGCAGATTGAATGAACATTGTACACCACTGTTCTGCAACATAACATGGAAACCTTCCCAAGATCCCATGTCAGATAAGTGTCAGCAAGAACCAAGCACTTTGTTAGTTTCTGCAGCGGCAAAAGACTTGTATGGACAGGATATTATGATTCATATCCCTTCCGCAAACACAACCAAGAGTCAGGTTGTGGAGCATCTCATTCGTGCTAAAGATCTTGGGATTAGGAGTGTGCTGGCAGTTAGAGGACAAGGTATTTGATGTTATAGAATAAAACCCAGTGCTATATTATTTTTCCATAGTTAACTCTCTCTTGATGGACACCTCTATAAGATGGACACCTCTGTAAAACGGACACCCAGAGTTGATCCTTGACTTTCTTTTATTCCTTTATTGGACTCTATATAACACAGACCACTCTTGTAGGTTAACACTTAGTGTCCGTGTTAAGGCTGATTTAGACCATACACTTTTGACCACCCACATGCGCACAATATTGTCTCTTACGACATCCACAATGTGTCTTACGAATGTCATGTTGTCCTCTACCGTGAAAACTGATGATGTCACAAGCGGTAGAAAGCACGTGGACCGGCATGGGTGGTTACAGGCAGCTCGGGGGCAAATGAGTTAAAAGAAATAAAAGTGGGTTCCCATGAATTTTCACGGAACCAAAAAATGGTTACAGATGGTTTCCCATGATCTCTGGACATGGAACTGAAAAATTGTTATCCATGGGATTTGAAATCCTCGGGCTTGAGAACAATAGACCTCATTTAACGCTTAGTGTCATTGCTTAACTGTTGTTTTATAGAGGAGGAGTCACCTGGATTGAGAGATGATGGATTTGACTACACTGTTGACCTGGTCAAATTGATTAAAACTGAATTTGGAGATGATTTCACTGTAGGGGTGGTAGGTAAGTTGGTAGATCAAAGTGAAGGGTAATTAATTATTCATGAATTAGGGCTAGGACACAAAGGAAATTGAGAATCAACCTAGGTTAAAAAATTTTAACTTAAATATAATAATATTTTGGCCTGTAAACATATATACTTTTTGATGTCTCTTTAGCATGTGGAATTAGCTTTACATTCAAACTAGTAAAATCAACCAAAAATAATAATAAACTGTACTTAAAATCAATACCAGCACTTGAAAGACCAAATCTTACATGTATTTGGTAATTTTACAAAAGTCCACGGATTAGCTTGTGAAGAATGTGTAGTGTAATAGTAGAAAACAGAAAGTCAATGACTGGAAAAAGGAGAGACTGGAGTTATTATGCCATATATCCTTTGGTTTCAAGCTGCAGGTATTCAAAGACATTCGAAAACTTTTACATGTACATACATATGTTCAGACAATGAAGGCAACCTTATCGCTAGACTGTATTACCAGCTGAGAAGCCTGTGGGCAAGCTGTCCATTTATGCATTTATGGCGACCAAAGTGAGCCGTGAGAGAACATGCAAGCGAGTGGCAAAGCTTTTAGGGGCAAAGTTCCTTTCTTGCATGACTTCTCATGATGTCCTGAGATGGGAGAGCTTTGTTTGCAGTCTACCAGCAGAGTTTAAGGCTGACCTTACAACGTATGTGTGGTTTCAAACACCTCTCTTGCACCAACATAAGAATAAAGGGACCAGTGACATAAATGAGGAAATTCTGAGTGTGCAAAACACCTATAGATAAGTGTCTTGGGCAAGAGGCCCTAGCCCTCCAAGACAAAAATTACCTGGGGCACAGTCTCCCCCCCCCCATTTGTTGGTGTCAAAAATATCATAAGTGACATTACCAGTGGCATCAGCGACATCAGAGCGCACATTGTATGCCCTCAGAAGACTCAAGAACTACCTAAGAAGCACCATGAAGCTGGACAACCACAACAACTGCCTACTGTTGCATTGTCACAGATCGATTGCAGACACACTTGACACTGTGAAGATTGCAAAGAGGTTTGCTTGTGCCAACAAATAATGCAGAGGGCATTTTGGGAAATTTGAGACGGGGTATGGGCATTGCTGAGTGAGAGATAAGCCCTCCCTCCACCTCCCCTACATTTCAAAATGCTCCACTGCCTCTGAGTTGACAAAGGTCTTTGAAAACATACCGGGCCATAGAAATGAATTATAGCTCTTCAACTTCTTTGTCTCCAATTTGTTGAGTTATTTGTTTGTAGGATACCTAGCTTCATCAAATGTTGAAAGTTATGAAGAAGACCTTAAGCATCTGAAGGAAGAAGTTGATGCTGGAGCAGATCTTATCATTACACAAATGTTCTTTGAAGTCAAGACGTTTTTCAAGTTTAAGGAGGATTGCCAAAGATTTGGGATTAATGTGCCAATAATTCCTGCCATTTTCCCAATTCAGGTAAAGTTTTTATTTGCTTACTTTCATCTCATGGCCTGTGTGCAAACATCTATGTCACCGACGTGAGACAGATGATTGTAGGTTAACCCTTTGAGTCCCAATATCTATTTACAAATTCTCCATACTGATCTCCCTGCATTTTCCTAAAGAATTAGTTGAGAGAATTTGGTAAAAGATCAAAGCATTTTCTCTTAGGTGATCATTCTATCAATACTCATGACCTTTTTATCTGATGATGTGTTGTTTTGTATGGAGAAAATTGGTTTTGGTCAATTCTGGAAAAGAAAAGGGTTAACCTTCCCAGTGACAATGGCCCTCACAAGTTACACCCATGTTGCTTATACTTATTATCATCAAAAGCCGTACAAACTACTGTGGGGTTGTTTTTTGACTGATAACCCTAGGATAAAATTTAGATTCAGTGAGTTGTTCTTTTCCGTGTAAACCATTTGTTAGTGGGGTGAGGGTGGGGGTGGTGAGAGCATTCGCTTCCTACCAGTGAGGGCCGGGTTCCAACCGCGACGTCGACGACGTATGTGGGTTGAAATTGCTGTTGGTTCTTCCCTTCACTCGAAGAGGTTTTTTTCTGGGTACTCTGGTTTTCCTCCCTCTTCCAAAACTAACATTGCCAAATTCAATTTCGACCAGGAATGGTAGACGAAGGACCAAAATGTGGATGTGCTACCTCTAAATTGTTATTTATTTATTCATTTATTTTACAGAACTTCAATTCCCTGCGCCAGTTAAAACGATCATCTCGCGTGGACATTCCCCAGTGGTTACTGGACATCCTCACCCCAATGAAGGACGATGATACTGCAGTAATAAATTATGGCATCAAATACGCCGCCGAAATGTGTAAGCAGTTACTTGAGAGTGGTCAAGTACATGGCTTACACCTCTACACTTTAAATCGTGAAACGTCCGTCTCGGAAATCCTTAAAAAACTCTGCATATATCACATGACCGATGAGCAAGATTCGGGCTTGCGCAAATTTCCTTGGATGCCAGGGCCCGCTCTTGCGAGGCGTGGTCGGATGGAACACGTGCGCCCGATTTTTTGGACGTCAAGACCTCGCAGTTATATGATCAGAACCTCGGACTGGGACGAGTATCCGAATGGAAGATGGGGCGATTCTAGTGCAGCGTCGTTTGGAGAGTTAAAGGATTATCACTTAGCACTGCTGGGAACGCATAAAAGTCAACAAGAACTGTTGAACATGTGGGGCCGAGAGTTGAACTCTGTGGAAGATGTTTGTGAAATTTTTGTTTGTTATCTGACCGGGAAGAAGAATAGACATGGATTTCAGGTTAGCACATTCCTTTGCTGATTTGTCAAATTCGTTCTCGTTAATTTTAAGGTCCCATCTGACAATAGAGAGATAGAGTACCGCATAGACCGGGAACGTCTGTAGTTAGCTGGTGATTTATCACTTACAAGCTTATCACTTGTGCTCTTTCTGTGCGCAAACCTCTTGATCTCAATATCAAAAATGCGGGAGGGCCTATACTAAACGATCGGCATTCCCACCCGTTCCTCTGGGGAGTCTCCCCGGGGGTTTATTGCCAATATGTGTCTTAAACGAGTCTGAATCTCGAAGAAATTTCGTTTTTTTCCAGGTGACAGAACTTCCTTGGAATCAAGACGAGCTGGCACCCGAGACACTGCCCTTTGTTGATAAGCTTGCCCATATCAACAAACATGGCATCCTTACAATTAATAGTCAGCCCAACGTAAATGCAGCACCTTCAACAGATCCTGTGGCAGGGTGGGGACGGCCTGGAGGGTACGTCTTTCAAAAGGTGAACATGCATGACTCTTTTTCTTACTAAATACTTTTTAAAGGGCTCTATATCTCAGACTTATTATATGTTTTGTTCGACCTAAGTAGGCTGTTTGAATTAGTCGCCGTTCCAACTTTAGAATTTATAACATCAATTTGGTTCGTCATTTGTTTGTGGGAGTTGTAACCCAGCCTAAACAGAACTCGACACATTGATTGTGTTTTCAAGTACCTGCTGATAAGCAGTATTTTCTCTCAATACTGTGCACTGTGCTGTATTATGTGGTTTTAACTTTCGAGTCTGTGATTGAAATCTTAAAAATGTGACCATTCGTGTGAAAGCGACGGAGCAGTACTTTCTTGTGGTGCTGTTTATCATGCTATATTTTATAAGACGTGGCTTTAAATTTTGGAGTCTGTGGATGAAATTTTGTGGCGTGACCAGTCAAGTAAAAGTTACTGGTGTTAATCATGATGTAGAAATCTTAAACATTTGAGGGCTGAAAGTTGTATGCTGTGGTTGACCTTAATTTACTCGACGAATCCTATGGATGAAATGTTAAGAAATTTTATAATTACTCTTTTAGGCATATTTAGAGTTTTTCACCAGTGAGGAGATTGTGATGTGTCTTTACGAAGTACTACAGGATTTCCCACTGGTTAATTATCACATGGTGAATTTCTCGGTAAGGCTTAGTTTTATAAACCTCGACAGTTTCACACCCAGAGTCTTCAAGCATCTTGCTCCACGGTCGCCTCGCGGGTGATCACCAGGGCGAGGAACCTAGGGACGCTGGGTTCAAGACTGAAATTTTGCCCGATGTGAATGTCCACACTTAGTATTCCGTTTTAAACGATAACTCTTCGGAAAATAATGTAGATAAACGCAGAACCGATAAGTTAGTTATGAGGAAGAATCAGACTAAACCCACATGGAAGTTAAAGTGGTATACTAATACCAAGTGACAACCATTCCCATGACTGAATTTTGTTACATTTGTGATAAATTTGATTTCAGATGTAGTGGTGGTGGTGGGAGTGGGGGGCGGGGGGGGGGGAGGTGGGGGTTGGGGGGAAGTCATGAAGTGCCCCCCAAAACGCAACGCAGTTGATTTTACTACTTGACACGCGTATAACAACCATTATACTACTACATGAGAAATTTCTGCAATTTGATTGGCTGAGAGCGGTGGTATTTCAGCTTAGTTTGAAATACCTACATGTGAAAATTACAACCCCATTTGGCATAAAAACTTGTGATATTTCAAAATTGTCTCAAATTTTGCCTAATTTTACGTATAACAATCTGAAATATCACGTATACAAACAACCAAAATTAAACCTCGCATCAACTGCTGCGGGTATTTTCGCTTTTTATTACAGGGAAAAGAAGATGCAACGAACGCGAACGTATACTCCTCAATAGCTGTGACGTGGGGTGTTTTTCCTGGATCAGAGATCATTCAACCCACCGTAGTTGATCCTATCGCTTATCAGTTTTGGAAGGTAAGACAAGAAAATCTTACGTTTAGCGGTCAAACTAACAAAATATCATGTTATACCATGTTATAATGCTGCCCCTGGGCTCGATTTCCGCCGTCCCCCGAGTCTAGTCTTTAGACCTCATCGTCTTTCGCGGGAATGAGTGCGGGTTTGTCGATCGACCCTATTCTGGCCCCAGTTGTTTGAAAACACAGTCTACTAGACAAAGGGAACTTAACCAACGACGACGGCGACCGCAACGAGAACATCAAAAACTCAATAGGTTTAGAATGGCAAAACAGCAAAACAACAACTTTGCACGTACATCTAGCCTGCGAGCGAGCTCTCCTATTTGGGCGAGCGAGCCTCGCGAGAACGCGCGAGCGAGGGGTCCCTGTCCCTCGCGGCTTCGCCGCTCTCTCGTGCGTTCTCGCGAGACTCGCTTCGCTCGCCCAAATAGGAAAGCTTGCTCGCAGGCTAACGTGCATCCCCTTTTTGTACATTGCTTTGCCGTCGTTGCACGACTTCGACGTGAAACTTTCTAATTTTACGTTTGATAGGACGTAGACACAAGACAACGATTTTGTTTTTCTTTTTGTGAACTTAGATACATTCCTTTAGAATTCAACTCCTGAAAAAATGGCCAACATTTGAAAAAATTAAAATGGCTGGAATAAGAGCGATGAAGTTTGAAGTAATGTGAATTTACTTTTTGGGTGACGTTTTCGTTGCCGTGGCCGTCGTCGTTGTTTAAGCTGCCTAATAGCCTGCGAGCAAGCTCTCCTTTTTTTGCGAGCAAAGCGAGTCTTGCGAGAACGCGCGAGCGAGCGGCGCAGCCGCGAGGGGCGGAGGAAAGGAGCCCCTCGCTCGCGCGTTCTCGCGAGGCTCGCCCAAATAGGACAGCTTGCCTGCAGGCTAGCTGCCTAATGACACCACCTCAGCATCTTACGCTAAGGGCCTGTTTACATGGGGGTGGGGGACCCCAGGTAGGTGAGGTAACCTGCTTAAGGGGGGGGGGGGGGGTAACCCTCCTGTCGCTATAATGTCTCATTTTAATTTGATCACGTTTACATGATAGGTGGGGTGACCTGCCGAGGCGAGTAGTCCGGACTGCCAGACCGGGTAACCCTCTCAGCCGGGGTCAAATTTTGCCATGTAAACGTTTCAAGGTAGGGTAACCCGCCTGGCCGGGGTCGGATTCGTGATACATCAAATTTGCGCGAAATTCACTTTGGCAGTGGCTTTGCATCATTATTAAAGGTAACAATAGAAAGCCACAGCACTGAAGGTTGCAGCAAGAGCAGCAAGTGAGGGTAGAAGAGCATTAACCACCAAAACCCTTTGTTTGCCAGCATTTTTCTTGTTTACGTGCTTAGTGACCATTCATTAATCTTGAGAAAGTGCACCCCTGGATCGCGGGGTTGTAAGATTGCATGTAAAGGAGGGTTATTTTTTACCCCACCTGAGCGGGTTACCTCACCTACCTGGAGTCCCCCACCTCCATCTAAACAGGCCTTAATTCACCCGGGCTCACATCAACACCTTTCACCACACAACGTGTGAGAGGTTGCCTCGGTCTGCCAACCTTGTTCCCAGGATGGACTGGGAGTAGAGAGGCCCTGGGAACGAGTTGGAAGCAGGTTTATGACTTGTATTTGTTCTTTATTAGGACGAGGCGTTTGCTCTTTGGAAGCATCAGTGGGGAAGTATTTACCCAGAAAAATCCAAGTCACGTGAGGTTATCGACACAATACACAGTACTTATTATCTGGTGAATCTTGTTGACAATGATTACGTGGCCGGAAATCAACTCTTTGACATTCTAGACATAGTTTTGAAAAAATTGGGAAAAATATAGTGTGACGTAGGTGTATTAAGCCCCGTCAAACGGTGTGTGATAGTTCGAGGTCGCGCTCCTCTCCTCAGTCTGAACACGACCTTACATAAGGTATTTCCTTCATGAACTATCCACGCTATTTCGATTTTCTTTGAAAAATTCTCTTGAGGTGATACTAGATGATGGCATTCCTGTGTACATAAGGAACAGTAAATTTTAAGCTACTACTTGTCTGAATTTGGTGAGATTGAAAAATCTTTCGCACTTTGAATGGATAAAGTTCATGTGAAGACATTTATGTTGAGTTTAAAAGAGAGCTTGGCTGACACTGCTTGTAGCGTATGCAAGAATGAAGAAATTAATCTGATATTGACAACGAAATGGCTATAAGTTTTAAATCTCCACAAGGGGTAATGGACAAAAGGAATAAAATTAATGTTTAAAAAAGTGATTGAAACACGTAATCATGTATAATGGTCAGCAAGCAAGTGTTGCGGGGAGAATTCTTTCCAAACGACTGGAGTGTGGTGTGGAAATCTACACATCAATATCAAGCTCAATCATTTTCCTACTGAGGTCGAATATGGTGTTAATGTCTCTGGGTGCCAGAGACTTTTCATGCGCTTCCGGTTTCGGTCAGGGTATGTACTGTAATAAGAGGGCAGATTTCCGACCCTTGTGACGTCGCGACCTTGTCAGGTGGGTAGCACCTTCGTTACGAGGGTCTCTCAAATCTTTGTTCAGGCTAAGAAGCCTGGTAATGAGTTTGTTCGAGAACCTTGCTCAAATAACCTATTGGACAAATTTATTTGCTCGTGTAGACGACGCAACAAATGCTGGCCGCTACGAGTGCACGCATGCGTTTTGTGGTCACAAAAACAAAACCCACTGTATTGACTGACCTTGACTACCACAACTAAAGGAACCTACCTGCTAATTCGCAAAAACAATTCGACACAAACAAGAAAAAAAAAAGAAACCGCCAGCATTCCTTAACTCTTTGCGCTCCGGGCGCGAGTAGTAAGGCATAAAAAAAGAACTCATGTAATTCAATGAACTCTTCATATTTTATTTGCTCAATTCGGCTTAGCACTACAAATTTTAACTAACATTTAAATCATACTGAACGGAAACCTCAAGTACCGTCATTCCTTTCTTAGAGTTGTTGTTTTACAACTCCGACGAGTCGTGATTAAGAGTTTTAGGTGGATACAGACATTTGTCGTTTTGAGGGATAGGTATGGGTTTATTGATGGGAAGAATGAAGCCTTGTTTGCGTACAAATAGCAAGACCTCCTGTTCATATTTCAGCTTGAAGGTCGCCACGTCTCTTGCAAGCACATATAGTCCCATCTTGAAAGGGTCAGTAGCCACGGAGTACTCGTAAAGACCGTCTTTCTCAGGACCAAGGCTAATCACCCAGTCTGGTAGAAGAGAATAAAATCGGTAAGCCCCTTTAACTGGTATGACAACAGTGTGGAGAAAATGGTATGAACAATTTGCACGAAAGGGATTTAAACTTGCCTCTGGAATGGGCTAGAGAAACAAACCACTCAAGCTTGAAATCGGTGACACGTTTTGGACTGGTGTCTCTGAGGTAACGCATTCTTTCGGTAACAATGCCCAGGGATGGAAAATGTTCGGGGAAATCTTCACTTAAGAGTCAGAGATTATAAGGGAGTGGAAACGGCACCCAATAAGCGACTAGTCTATGGCGACAATATAATACTTTTAGCCAATTTAGAGTTTGAATAAAACAGTCTTTTTGAAATGCGATAAAGAGTGATAGATAGAATTTCAAATAATCAGAGGTGGGTATCTTAATCCGGAATGTATTTCTCGTCCCGGGGTTCTTCTTTCTAACTGTCCATGTTCTGGCTTTGGTCAATATTGTGATAGCATAGTTGAAAATTATACCCATCTTTTTTGAAAACCTAACAACTCACAAAATGCTACTTACATGGAACAGAGGTAGGGAGACGATCGAACTTAATGGTGAACTTTCCGCCCTTTCCATCTTGTACAGCGGTTCCTGGGAAGGGTTCATCCAGCGGTCCAGTTTCACTCTGTAGGCGTTGAAGGAACAATAAAGCAACAGTTCCGTTTCCATTGTCGGTAACTTATGAAAAAAAAATTATACAATTTCATGTTAGAGATTACTACAAATTGAAAGCTGGATCAAGAAAATGACATGGCGGCTTGAAGATATGATTTTATTTTGTCTCGGTAAGAACAAAATATATTACTCGCTGTGCTCGTTCTTAAGATATATTTGTTACTACCCAAAAATAACCTCTGTACATGTCTAATATGATAACACCAATGAATACCAATGAAATACCAGGTGAGCTTCCGCGCGAAAACTTGTTATCTTCACATGTGAAAATATCACCGTTGCTATGGCTACATGATAAATTGCGCCTTTGACACAAAAAACTATCAAAGTGAAATGGTTTGGTATATTATTGGTGTTTATATAATAAATAGAACATTACATGGCCGCTTGGAGATACAAAATTTCTCTTCGAGTGTTGAAAAAATATTTTTCAACACTCGAAGAGAAATTTCGTATCTCCAAGCGGCCATGTAATATCCTCTATTTCTTTCCAAAAGTTATTGCTACTTCACACTCGGGTAGATTCCATGTAAAATTTCAAGGGAAAAACCGCTATCGCACTAATCGCTTCGTGATTCCTTTGGTGTCATTTCTTTAAGGTTTTCTCCGATTAAATGCTACGTCGAACTTTCGTAACGTGACGAAACTTAGTCCCTTGGCCGGTTTTCTGGAAGCTAAATATTTTGAAATAATTTTGGATGAAAAAAGGTCAGTTAGCAATTTCGGAGGGGGAAATGAGTTTTCAATCCCTAAAATTTTCTGCCTCTAGCATATTCAGCTAAGAAATCCGAACAGATCAGGCCACCTATAGCCCGCCTAAATACCTGTTCAAAATGTAAAAAAATGATCTGCGAACGCAAGAAACAACTTTTAAACATTTTAATGAAATTTCCTCGTTGGGTGCCCGTGACGTATGTTATAGGAATTTGACACGATGCAGTGTGCAATGGTCCTTTTCTTCTTTCATGGTAACGTTCATATTGGTGTTCTGACGTTCTGTGCTGCGTAATTTAAGAACATGGCAAAAAATGAGAACATTCACTTTCGGTTCAGCGTCGGCCCCAAAATTAGATGTTCTTATATTAAAAAAAGGGTACACGTCAATAGCGGGCGAGTTCACTGCTGCAGGAGGACATCTTTGAAGGAAGGTCGCAGAAGTGAATCTCAGTTTCCACGAGCCAATGTCGGCATAGACAATTTAAAGAAGAAATGTCATTTTATAAAACAGAGAAGCGTGAGGTGAAAAACAAATGATTGCATAGCTTGTTCGGTTTTATACAGGAAATTCCGTGCAACCGACTATAGCTTTATCGCTGTATAAACTGACGGAAAGTAGGACTGAAATAATACTGACCGAAATCAGTAAATATACTTACATTGCGCTGTTGTGCAAAATATATCAGTGCCTTGAACGTGCGCAGCAAATTGATTGTAGTACATCTGAATCATGAGAAACAACGAGTTAATAGTGATACTGAACAATACACCGTACCTAGGAGCAGGACAAGTCTTCCATAAATTAAACGCCCCAGAAATGAGGGAAAACGGTGACTATTTACCAGGGTGTTTAAGCATCGACGAACTGCTTCGCGATTACTGCGATTATTCCGTCTCGTTCACGTTGTAAAGTAAGGGCGAAGTAACCCTTGACTAAATTGGTAAGAACGGAGTTGAAGTAAAGATAGAGAGTGAAAGATTCACCGTCGTGGGATCACGTTCTCCACAGAACCTTGAATTTCTTAATTTCACGTTGTTGTTTTGCAGAAGACGGCAAATAAATGCACTAAAATGTTTAATTAACGCTCGTGTAGCACGATTTAGCAATTTACTATCCTTTACCGAGGACCTAAACTCTGGAATTCGTTGCCTATTTCTCTAATTAGCTCTCCTTCTATATTTGTTTTTAAAAAGATTGAAAGGATTATCTCATTGATAGCCGATCGGTCGCTTACCTTGTTCTGATCTTGCTCACTAGTTGAACTAGGAAGCCTATTAATATAAGCTTCAAGCTTCGTTAGGCTTCCTTGTCACATTAATTTATAATTTAATTAACCACTTTTCTTCACGTTGTATAAGGTTTTGTGAGTGACTAAATAAATAAAATAAATGAAAATAAAACCTATTGCTCTTGTGGTGTTCCCGTTGTCTTTTCTTAAACTTCCCACTGGAGCTCAACACTGAATTACGCCTTATAACCGATGGAATACGGTAGATCGCCTGACTATCCCCGTAGCCAGAAATGAAGATTACCTTTTTGGATGGGGAAGGCGAAGCAATTTTGGTTTGATGCAAACTAGTAGCATAGTCACTGCATAGTGTTGACATGTTCATCATCTACATTATATTATAAAATACAAACAAACCAAACAAAAACCACTTTCTAACTTCCAAAACAATTTAGAAATTACTCCATACCATGTACTGAACTTGCTAAACAGAGAGAGGAAGACAAACAAACGTGAAGACCCTTGACAAGACGATGGTAGGACCGCGATCCGATCAGACCTGACTGAACGTTATTTGATTGCCACGAAGCTACTTTTGCGGCTAAGAGCACAGTCTCTTTCGAAGCCTTTTGTGCTACGCATTTCTTCCTGCCTATGCAAGAAACCGTTCCTTTCGCAGTATTTGTCTTAGAAGTGATTCACGGGTTCCCGAGTTCCTGACCTGTGATATGAACCGCTATGCAGACTCAAATAGAGAGAGTTTGTTAAAAAGCTCATAAAACCTGTTCAGGGAAAGAAAGAAATAATCCTTGCTCTGGAAAATCTTGTTCCTTTATCAGGACTGCCAACTAAACATTTTGAAAGGGATTTTCAAACAAGGAGTATGAAATCATTTTCACTCTTTTAAAATTAACTTTAGCAGTTTCCTTTGCTTTTACTCTACAGTGGTTTTTAATAGAACTTAGCTTACCTCATACCACCGACCCAAATATTTGGTTATGTTCAGTTCCGCCACTGGAGTGACTTTCACCGTTGGGGGATACAGACATTTGTCGTTTTGAGGGATAGCTATGGGTTTATTGATGGGAAGAATGAAGCCTTGTTCGCGTACAAATAGCAAGACCTCGTGTTCATATTTCATCCTGAAGGTCGCCACGTCTCTTGCAAGCACATATAGTCCCATCTTGAAAGGGTCAGTAGCCACGGAGTACTCGTAAAGACCGTCTTTCTCAGGACCAAGGCTAATCACCCAGTCTGGTAGAAGAGAATAAAATCGGTAAGCCCCTTTAACTGGTATGACAACAGTGTGGAGAATATGGTATGAACAATTTGCTCGAAAGGGATTTAAACTTGCCTCTGGAATGGGCTAGAGAAAGAAATCACTCAAGCTTGAAATCGGTGACACGTTTTGGACTGGTGTATCTGAGGTAACGCATTCTTTCGGTAACAATGCCCAGGGATGGTAAATGTTCGGGAAAATCTTCACTTAAGAGTCAAAGATTATAAGGGAGTGGAAACGGCACCCAATAAGCGACTATTCTATGGAAACAATATAATACTTTTAGCCAATTTAGAGAGCGACTGAAAAAGCCAGATCTCTCCAATTAATAAGTTCAAAGTATTTGAATAAAAAAATTCTTTTTGAAATGTGATAAAGAGTGATAGATAGAATTTCAAATACATCAAAGGTGGGAATGTTTTGCTCGTAGTTGTTCCTTCCTAAGGGACCGGACATTATTTATGTAAAGAGCGAGGGGGGGGGAGGGAAAAAAGAAGGGGGGGTCAAGGCTATTTCAGATTGGCAATAGGGGGGGGCCAAACCTTTTTTTATAAAGAAGTTTAGGGAGGTCAGCAAATTGATCGCGATGTGAACAGGGGCCAAGATGGGTAAAGCAGTTAAATAGTAGAGCAAAAACAGTATAATTATGTGAAACAGTAATGCTAAATTGTACAATTTTATGCTAATCCTATTGCTTTTTGTTGATTTAAAGCATCACTATTTTGTACAACTCAGTCATTTGTGTTTGATAGAATTCTGTTTGCACTCTAAACTTCATTGTTATTTCAAATTTTAACTAATAAAATCCGGGTTTGACTGAATTTTCTTTTAACGAAATGCTTGTGTCACTTATCCCAAGCCTGAAAAACATGATGAAACAACAAGAAAGTAGTCCTTTTACAACTGCAGGAAAATCATTTGAAAAGAATTACATTTTGCACGGTTATTACATTTGTGTTTACCATGAAGGCATGATTTGTAAAAATCTATCAATTTTCCTATATTTATACGCTGATTTTGTGATAGAGTAGGTTAGTTGCATTTTTATGCAAAGTAACTATAGTAGTCATCTTATAATAAGTATGTTTATTTACCAATTAAGTCTTCACTCTTAACAGAGTATTGTTACATGCATTTTAATAATTACTTTGTAGAGCATATAAGAGGAGATATGAGGGGGGGAGGGGGTCATCAGAGTAAATATTGAATAAAGAAAGGGGGTCTTTTGCTATTTACATGGTCTGCAGGGGGGGGGGGGCTTACAGAAATTTTGATCTTTACAACATATTTCCCCACCCCCCCTTCCCTCTACATAAATAATGACCGGTCCCTAACTGTCCATGTTCTGGCTTTGGTCAATATTGTGATAGCACAGTTGAAAATTATACCCATCTTTTTTGAAAACCTAACGACTCACAAAATGCTACTTACATGGAACAGAGTTAGGGAGACTATCGAACTTAATGGTGAAGTTTCCGCCCGTTCCGACTTGTACAGCGGTTCCTGGGAAGGGTTCATCCAGCGGTCCAGTTTCATTCTGTAGGCGTTGAAGGAACAATAAAGCAACAGTTCCGTTTCCATTGTCCGTAACTTATGAAAAAAAAAATATAGAATTTCATGTTAGAGATTACTACAAATTGAAAGCTGGATCAAGTCTTTTCGATATCTGTACCATGAGTAAAGAATTTAAAGAAAACGATTGGGATGGTCTTTTGGACATATTGGTCGGGTAAAAGCATCTGGTAACTACGAATAACCGAAACCAACTTTACTATGATCACTTCAAGTACAAGCAGATCAATTACACGTTACCCCACACCCTTTTGCGATACAGGCAAAATAGTTTTATTGGAAAATAGACCCCTCTTAAAGTTCACACGAAAATTCTTCCGGGACTCGAGTGGCTTTTATTTTACACATCCCGCTCACTAGTAAGGATATCAATGACGTCATTTGAGATAACGCTCATGTCCATCTGACAATGAAAAGAAAATGATATGGCGGCTTGGAGATATGATTTTATTTTGTAGCGGTAAGAACAAAATACATTACTCACCGTGCTCGTTCGTAAAATATATTTGTTACCACCCGAAAATAACCTCATGTCTAATATGATATTCTTTATAAAAATTATCGCTACTTCACCGGTAGATTCCATGTAAAATTTCAAGGGAAAAACCGATATCGCACTTATCGCTTCGTGATTCCTTTGATTTCATTTCTTTATGATGTCATGTCATAACGTTCATATTGGTTTTCTGACGTTGTGTGCTGCGTAATTTAAGAACATGGCTAAGAACGTTTCAGACTCAGAACATGGCAAAAATGAGAACACTTCCACTTTCGGTTTAGCGTCGGCCCCAAAATTAGATGTTCTTATGTTTAAAAAAGGGTACACGTCAATAGCGGGCGAGTTCACTGCTGTAGGAGGACATCTTTGAGGGAAGGTCGCAGAAGTGAATCTCAGTTTCCACGAGCCAATGTCGGCATAGACAATTTAAAGAAGAAATGTCATTTTATAAAACAGAGAAGTGTGAGATGAAAAACAAATGATTGCATAGCTTGTTCGGTTTTATCATAGTTAATTGAGTGGAATGGTTATGAAACCCGTCAGACGCCTTTGTTATATATTTTTGTGGACCTGAAAGTGCACAACGTTCAAAAGAATTCCTATCATTTTGATTGTATTGACCAATAAAAACGTTGCATTAATTTATTCCGTAACAATTTGCCAACAGAAAACAAAGGATTGTGCACTTTCACGGTGCTTTGAACATGAAGTGCAGCACTGTTGTTTTTATCATTGATGTTTGCCGCTTTTCATAACCAGTCTCCTCCAATAACTATGGTTTTATTCAGGAAACTCCGTGCAACCGACTATAGCTTTATCGCTGTATAAACTGACGGAAAATAGGACTGAAATAATACTGACCGAAATCAGTAAATATACTTACATTGCGCTGTTGTGCAAAATATATCACTGCCTTGAACGTTCGCAGCAAATTGATTGTAGTACATCTGAATCATGAGAAACACCGAGTTAATAGTGATACTGAACAATACACCGTACCTAGGAGCAGGACAAGTCTTCCATAAATTCAACGCCCCAGAAATGAGGGAAAACGGTGACTATTTACCAGGGTGTTATAAGCATCGACCAACTGCTTCGCGATTACTGCAATTATTCCGTCTCGTTCACGCTGTAAAGTAAGGGCGAAGTAACCCTTGACTAAATTGGTAAGAACGGAGTTGAAGTAAAGTTAGAGAGTGTAAGATTCACCGTCGTGGGCTCACATTAGGGAGCTTTAGCAACAACGACGGTGACGGCTACAAAAACGTCCCTTAAAAAGTGAATTCGCACCGCTTCAAACTTTATCGCGCTTACTACATCTCGTTTACTTCGTCAAATGTTGGCAAATGTTTTTGGAGTTGAATTCTAAAGGACTGTATGAAAGTTCAGGAAAAGAAAAGAAAGTTGTTGTCTTGTGTTCACGTCCTCGACAAAACGTGAATTCAGGCATTTTCACGTTGTAGTCGGGCAACGACAGCAAAGAAATGTACAAAAAAAGCGTGATGCACGTGCAAAGTTGTTGTTCTGCCAATCAAAACCTATTGCTTTTTCGCCGTTCTCGTTGCCATCCGCGTCGTCGTTGCTTAAAGCAAATAAATGCACTAAAATGTTTAATTAACGCTCGTGTAGCACGATTTTGTCTTCATCATGTTAAACCTATTGCTCTGGTGGTGTTCCCGTTTTCCTTGCTTAAACAGCCTACTGGAGTTCAACACTTAATCACGTCTTATAACTGATAAAATACGGTAGATCGCCTGACTATGCCCGTAGCCAGAAATGACGATCACCTTTTTGGATGGGGAACGGAAAGCAATTCTGGTTTGATGCAAACTAGTAGCATAGTGTTGACATGTTCATCATCTACATTATCTTATAAAATACAAACAAACCAAACAAAAAACGCTTTCCAACTGCCATAACAATTTAGAAATTACCGCATACCATGTACTGAACTTGCTAAACAGAGAGAGGAAGACAAACAAACGTGAAGACCCTTGACAAGACGATGGTAGGACCGCGATCAGACCTGACTGAACGTTAATATTCATGTTTTTGATTGCCACCGGCGAAGCTAACTTTTGCGGCTAAGAGCGCAGTCTCTTTAGAATTAAGCCTTTTGTTCAACGCATTTCCTCCTGCCTTTGCAAGAAACTTCCTTTCGCAGTATTTTGTCTTAGAAGTGATTCACGGGTTCCCGAGTTTCTGACCTAAGATATGAACCGCCATGCAGACTAAAATAGAAAACGTTTGCTAAAAAGCTCATAAAACCTGCCGTTCAGGGAAAGAAAGAAATAATCCTTGCTCTGGAAAATCTTGTCCCTTTATCAGGACTGCCAACTAAACATTTTGAAAGGGCTTGAAATAATTTTCATTCTTTTAAAATTAACTTTTAAATAGCAGTTTCCTTTGCTTTTAACTCTACAGTGATTTTTAGAACTTAGCTTACCTCATACCACAGACCCAAATATTTGGTTATGTCCAGTTCCTTCACGGGAGTGGCTTCATTAGCTTCAGTAAAGGAGAAGATCATCAGCACCACGCAGATTGAATGAAGATTCATCTTGGATTCTTTATTCAGCTTAGGTCTGTCAATGGCTTGATTGGGGAAAGCGTTGACTCTAGATGGAAACACACGTGTTTTATATTCTTTTTTAACACGTGTGTGGTACTGCAAACAACGTGATAAAGTGGCTGGAAGCATCCATAAATATCGTTTACAGGAATAACGTAATAAAGCAGGGTGGGTGTGAGCATTCGTAAATATCGTTTACCAGGCCGAACTTTCATTGTCTCCAAGGTCGCTAAGAAAGCTACGTGTTTGTTTTCTTGACAGGGAAATGCATTACGCGAAAGAATTGGAAGTTATGTAATTGGGAGGATAAGAATTGGCTGGTAAAGATCCAAATTTAAATTGTCCTGTGGCTGGGCTGGAAGATGGCAATGCACTTCACATTTTTCATCAAGTCACGGTTCTTAGCTACCAGCTTGCTTCAGATCACCATTGAGGGCAAGTCGGTCCAAGCTGGCTTGGCTTCAACTTAGTCGTTTACAGCCAATAAGAAGTGAACTGTAAGGTAACCAAGGAGGACCTGGCCTTATGACTAATGTCCTTCTTTATCACAAGTGTGTGGTATTACAAACAACAAAATAAAGCGAGTGGAAGCATTCATAAATATCTTTTACAGGATTAACGTGATAAAGCATACCCTGCGAGCAGTGGTTTCTCCAGGCCGGACGCTACGCTAGCGTCCGGCCTGGAGAAACCACTGCTTGCAGGGTAGATAAAGCAGGTTGGGCGTGAGCATTCGTAAATATCGTTTATCGGACTAACTCTGATTGTCTCCAAGGTCACTAAGAAAGCCAGGCGTTTGTTTTCTTGGCAGGGAAATGCATTACGTGAAAGAATTGGAAGTTATGTAATTGGGAGGATAAGAATTGGCTGGTAAAGAGCCAAATTTAATGTAACGCGTTCTAAAACCCTCGGGGATATTTCTAAACACCTTTTCTAAAACAAACAAAGCAACTTGTCGTTATTTGTTCCATAAAAAAAACAGAGTTATAGTAATAATTCTGCTTTTACATCATATTTTGCCATACAGCTAGAATCGCTTGCAGAAAAGCACCTTTTTTGACGTCTTATTGACAATTTTGTACAATTTCAGTTCATTCAAAAAATGCGAATTTTCCTCTATTCTTACAAGAAGTTGATGTTCGAGTCCCACAAGTGTAAAAGTAGTGGCAGTTCAATTAAACTAAAATTGTGTTTTTTTCCATATGTAAGAAAAAAATGGAAATAATCGCAAAATATATCAATTAGTTTTCAAAAATGATTGATGTTGTTCATGATTTTCGGCAGTAAACACCATTCAGGGGCATCCAACGAGAATATAGTTCAAAACCACTTAAACATAGCATTGTTAAACGTATTTTAGTATTTAAACCGTAGATACAGGCATATTTTTATCCCCTAAAAATTTTTCATCTGTTCGGATTTCCTAGCTGAAAGTCTAGTGATCCGAAAATTATAGGGATCAAAACTTACTTTTTCGAAAATTTCAGCCAGAAAAAAGGCTCCCGAAAATTCTAGGTGACCTTTTTAGGGTAAAAATCCTTTAAAAATGGGCAATTATAACATTTTTTAGATGTTCGAAAATCCTAGGAGAGGCAGGCAAGCACGAAATCTTACAACAAATGTTCCTAAAATTCTAGATCTCAAATCGTCTCCCGAACAGATATTTTCCGAAATATGACGTTGGGTGTCCCTGACCATTCGGTATGAAAAAAATGTGAAGCAAATTACCTGGCTTACACAACGGATAAAGAACACGGAAATTTCCATGTTCTTTCGGTAAAAGACTAAGGTACATGCAGGGAAACTTCCACGTTCCTTTATGTAGCACAACGTAAAGGCACATGGAAATTTCCATGTTCCTGTAGCCCGAAAGAGAGCAAGGTTTGGTGCTTGGAAATTTCCATCACCCTTAAGCAAAAAAAAAAAGAAATGAAAAGGAACAGGGAAATTTCCAGGTTCCTTTAACAAAAGAATGAAAAGGAACAAAGAATAAAAATTTCCATCTTCCTTTAGCAGAAGAGTGTAAGGAAACAGGGACAACAGAGCCTGCTCACATTTGTCTTCTCTGAAAATGGCACATGCACTTGCAGGTAAAACTTTGGTTATTATGAGTACAGTCAACTCTCTCTAAGACGGACACCTTTGGGACCGGCACTAGCTGTCTGTCTTAGAGAGATGTCCGTCTTATAGAAAGTCAAATAGAGGGAGCAAAGAAAGGCAGGGACCAACTCTAGGTGTCCGTCTTATAGAGGTGTCCGTTAAGCGAGAGTTGACTGTATCCGAGTCTTCTTTTATTTAAATACGTTTTTACATTAGTCCCGTTTCAGTTGCTCTCGCTGAAAAGGTCAACTACACAACAGTTTCGTGAGATTACGACACAGAATGCAGGCTTTCTGCCATTAATTTTTTTTCCTTGGATTTTTTTGTACGTTTCTTTAAGGTATTTGTAGGTCCCATTGCTGAGCTTGTTGCGGGCATTCAATTTGAAATCTACTAAAAGAATGCAACCACTGCGATAACTAGACGACTATTGTGCTTTACGCAAGGATTCTCGTAAAGTTTCAAAGAGTTTTTTAATATAGTTGTGTATAGGTATTATACTACGCAACGTTTGCTGAAACTTGTTCTCGCGATGCCGCAACAAAATTGCGAAATTTTAAAAAGTATATTGTTACCACCAGTTTATAATTCGATGCAAAATGGGTGCAGAACTGAACAAACGTGCCTAACTCTTAGTTTCAGCTTGAGTATGTTACTAATAAGTAACTCAACGTATGTAAGTACTCAACATTCTTATAAAAAGATTAGCCGTCAACCTACGTCACGTCCGCCCAATTATAATGCTTGCGAGCAGTGGTTTCTCCGTAGCGTCCGGCCTGGAGAAACCACTGCTCGCAGGGTATCATTGCCATGAAATGCGTTTACATTGTTTTTTTTACTGTCAAGCGGCTCGATCATGTGGCGTTTGCCGGCGGAAATTCCATGGAAAAGGCATTTAATTTAAGACTTACAACCCCGATCACGTAATCAGCCTTAGTGGTGTAGTGGCAAGGTAAAGTTGCCGCGAGCCGAAGATGCCGGGTCTGAGTACAAGTCCTGCTTAACCAGGCGTTATTTTTCCTTCTTTGTTTTGTTGTTGTTTTAAAAATATATACCTAAATAACTGTTATTTAACTAAGTGCAATAAACAGCAAGAAAAGTATTGTTTCCAGAGAAAAGATGGTACATTTAATATATGGATAAACAATTTGAATTTCTATCATTTCCTACAATTTACTGTGGGAATACCAGAGTTGATAACCATCTGATTATTTCTAAACAACGTTCCCACGAGTTGACGATAGTCTTTTTTTGATTCCTTTTCCTCGCCCAGCCAACTTTTCGCGTGCTTTCCACTTTCGCGTTTTCCCCACTATCTGAGAGCCTGGAACAGGATACACTAATCCTCACCCTTGGAGCTGCGATTCTTTTTGACCTACGACTGCGATAAGCGAACGTCAGGGGCTTAAACATTGTCATCATCTAAGACAGCTCAAAACCTACGGAAGTCCAGGGGGGCCAAATAGTGATTTCGTTTTTATTTTTCACTTTTCCACTTTTCACTTTTCCGAAGTGAAAATCAAAACGTTAAAAACGAAAACGGAAAAGTAAAAAATAAAAACCGAAATCTCAACCAAAAAGCTAAATGGCAAAGTGAAAATCAAAAAGTGAAAAAAATGAATGGAAAAGTGAAAAATAAAAACGAAATCACTATTTGCCCCCCCCACCCCCCCGTGCTTCCGTACAAAACCAATACTGAGCTGCGTGTCTCGATAGTTTCTTTGTGCGTCTATAGGTGGTTTTCACGTTACGTCATCGCCGCCATGCTGGTGGACGGTAAACAAAAGATCGCTCATTAGCTCGTTTTGTTTGTCCACCAGGATTTGTTCATTTCACCATCGTTATTTGTGTCTCCCGAGACTGCATGAAAACCACCTATTGAAAGAAATCAGTAATCAGTACCAGTCTAACTATGAGAACCTCGGAAAGGAGGTTGATTAGAACCTTCCCTTAATTCTCTTTGGAAATTTGGTAAAGTAACTGTGTTATTCTATAGAGGTGAACGCTGCTACGCTGATAATTACAGGTCCACTACTGTGCTCCCAATGATAAGAAAAATCTACAACCACTGACCCACTTGTTTAGACCGTACCTCACAAACAGGTCACAAATCACAGCGTTTGGAGATGCTCACTCTGCACCTACCGAAAAAGGTTGTTAGGGGTACCCCTTTGTTTTTTATTTACGTACGTGAATGATGTCCCGAACTGTCATCTGGTAGGTGATATTTAACAATTATTCCTCGAGCCCGAATGGGCTCTGAGTCAATAGCCATGAGGCCATGAGGGCGAGAGGAATAATTGTTTTAGTAAAATCCAACTAGCTGGTCAAAAATATCGAGAATAAAAAAAGTTAAAGCCAGACTTTAATCCTTTTTTGCCGCCAAAAGCCCGCGCTTTTCGCTACTAATGGGCTATAACATATAGCCTAGTAATAGCTCAACCAATCAGAACGCAGCATTGATAATAGACCACTAGTTGAATTTTACTAATATTCTTTGTGCGGACTACACTGGAGAACAAGACCTATGACACCGTAATATCTTAGTGTTATGAATATATTCTGCTTCAAGCGTTCATTGGCCTGTGAAATCCGACCGGGGGCATCCCAGTATTTTAAGTTAATTTACGTAGCCACCATATTGGTCGTAACAGGAGAGCCGGAAATTTAAAATAGTTTCATTATTCGCCTCTCATAAAGATGTCAACTTGTCAAAGAGTCTGAAACCCGAAAGGATGGTAGCCATCTTAACGCAAGGTGATTTTCGTTTCAGCGACAACCTAGAGTACTTTAAAAATGGATTAAAACAACGTAACCTATGTTTCCAGGGCGTTCAAGTCCATCAGCCGCCGACGTAAACATAACGTTTGGTAGAAGATACCGGACAGTGCAAACCTGTAGGTTGATAATTAAGTCAAGAACACTGGGGACTCTTTCCCTATTCACTTGACATTGTCCAAGGAATCAACTGTCTTATGGCAGATGGTGAGGACAAACTTTTTGTAGCCTACAAAGCAAGTGTATTTTGCAGCGCGATCCATGATTTTTTTTTCGGGAATAATGCTATCCCGCCATCTTGGACGTTAAAACTACGAGATGGCGGCCGCGATCAATATACCCAAGAGCCATTCCCAAGAGTTTCCGTTAAAAAACGCCTGCTCTGCAGGCTAAACCTTACATGAATCGTGATTATCAGTTAAAGTCGTTCTCTTTATTTTAAGCTTAGATTAATCACAGGGTCTGAATGGGGGTACCTGGTAACACTAAATACTTCATTTTTTGGCTCTGTAACATGGAACAGTTTAATTTTTGTTAGGCATTTTAACACTAACTAACAGTAAAAAATTCTTTGAAACAGCAAATTTTTTTCCAGGATCAGTTTGTTTAGTATATCGTATATGCCATTTTACGACAATTCTGGAATATTTCAGAAAATTTCCGAAGGCTACCGAAGATTCCCGAAGACTGTCGAAGATTTTCGAAGACTAACGAGGAGGTCCGACCATTGCCGAAGATGTCCGAAGAACCCTCCAAACTGAAGCAGTGGTTATCGCCACCTAGAAAGCTTTAAGAGTATGAAAGTTGAGGGTGCCGAAAAATTCTCCCATTAGTACAGAGGATTCCATCAAATAGAAAGCTTTGGTACCTTTGAGAAATAAAATGGCTCGTTAAACAGTACAATAAACGGTGTCTAGATGATAGCGTTTGACAAACTGAAAATGGCTTTTACCTTTTGTTACCTGGCATATAGGATTTACTTCCCTTTATTAACCTTGTCGTGACGTCATGAGATAAATTTCATTGAGAGGAAGTCTATGATGTCAAGTCATCGGTAGCTAGAAACATCACAGAGTTCGCCGTTTACTGTTCCTAACACCTCATTACATGAATTTTGGGCGACACTTAAATTTATCGATTTTGCGAAAATCCTTTATTTTGAATGACTTTAATTTCGCGTTTTTGAGTACAACAATTTACATTTTATAGGCAATGTTATTTAACATGTCCTTGAAATAAATAACTTTATCAAAGAAACAATAACGTTGACAGAAAAACGCAACGGCGGGACTAAACTGATGTCAACAGGAACAAAAAAGCAGTTCTCGCAACGTTCACAAACAGTTCATGCTTGTACTTGAATTATTGTTATTGAGTCAACTGATCACAGCACCCATTTACACTAACTGTACTGAGAATTCCTCAGAAAAGTTAAAAACGTGAGTTTGTAAACGTTTCAGAGGTAATAAACTCGTTAGTGGAGCTTGCTTTAGCAGAGCGAGACTCTAAAAATGAAGACGTTTCTTTTTTTTTTCTTTCTTTTTTTTGTGTAAGACCTAAATTGTAGGCCAGGTAGGATGAGGAAATATAATAGCGGGAAAATCCTGTTTTGTGGTGTATTGAGGCGTTACGTTTCTAGAATATTTTCGCAATTACTGGAACTCTACGGTTAAATAGATTCACTTTGTTGTACGTATTTAATTGCTAGATTTTCGCAGTTGTTCAGATGTGAAGTCGTGTCGCACTTTATAAATACTTGAGATATCAGGTATTTACTACTGGAAGCAACTTCAACTACCTGTTGATTTCCAATGTCGCGTGATTTTTTCACGTTCGTAAAATTTACGTTCGCAAATAAAATAGAGGCAATGTATGAAAGGTCGCACGTAAGCGTAAAAGTAGGAACTCGCTCAACTTCAAGTTTAATCTCAAAACTTTACTGACTTTATATCTTGCCTCTACTTTATATACGTGATTAAAATTTACGTGCGTTAAATACGTATTTGTTACAGATGTGTTTATGCGGGTACCGGTATCTTTATACTTGACTATCACGCACTCTGCTTGCAGCACTTCATGTCTATAGAATAGAAATCCCAAATCCGAGCCTGTTCCGGAACAGGTCGGTCCACGAATTCTATCGCTTGAAAGTGTTGATTACTTTGGAACACTCGGGCGATTACATCAGCGGTCGAAAGAAAAGAATAATCTTAATGACCAAAAAATCAGGATCGAGGATCGAGGATCGGTTAAAAAAAACTTGAGAATAAAATAAATAAATAAATCGGGAAGCGAAGTGATGCGGGCCGCAGACGGTAGATAAATTTCACATGACATAACCCTTTTTCCCTGTACTGAACACTAAATTTAAGTAAACTATTCCGAGTCTGACTGAGTCAGTGATTGCTTTGACGAGAAAGTGAAATTTTCCTGGAAAATGAAACGCTTTATCCCAGTGATACTGTGATAGAGTGCATGCTGTGTACAGCTCTAAACATTGTACTCTGAGACTGTAAGGAGATATTAAAAGCAGATACTAAGCAGCTATGAAAAGTGTAATTACTTGCACACGATTTTGATATCTTATAAAACGGACAACTAATTCAGCAGGAATGTGAGACGTGAACTGAATTAACTGTCTGTTGTATAAGGTTTTGCTAAACTTACACATTTTTCATGTCCTGAACATATACAAAGAAGCTATACTGACAGAGTCATGGGCTCCTGATACTGATAAAAATCATCGTTCAATTTTTTGAGAGTAAAATCCCTGAAAGAGTTCTCCCCACTGGAGCGATATCAATATGTAGAAGTAAAGGTTTTCAAAGGTTTCATACCGGTGTGAAGCTAAGATGTGCGGCCTGTCTCTCCTTGCAATTTTTACGTTTTGAGTATTTACATTATGACATATAACACTCGTTTGTATTCCAAACAAAAACGTAGCATAACAGCACCAGCGCCTTCGACAACAAAACTTATCTCCAAGCAAGCGAGACTCACAGCTACTAAGAGCGTTCTTGTTCTTTCTTGATTATGTACGGACATAATGTGAGTCACTTAATTTTCTCGTCATGTTATATTCGCGTCTCATTAATTTCACGATTTTTTTTGTGTCGCGAAATTCGCGAAATTAACGTGTCCCGAAAATTTCATGTAATAAGGTAACAGTATTCTGAACAGCAAACGGCGAACTCAAAATCCTTCAAAATCGCTCAAAAAACCACCTTTGAGGCAAAAGGACGACTATATACCACAGGTAGGGTAATTCAACGTTTATTTAACATTGATTTATATACATAGTTAGCGATATATCGCTATAGGTGAGGCAAACGGTAAATCCAGTACATTTACTACAAAATAACAATCGGCAACCTCGTTCCCAGGGTCCTCTCCTGGACCCTGGGAACGAGGTTGAACAATCGGTTACACCCAGATTGTGTGGGCGCCCTGTGGATACACTGGTGTTCTGTACTGTATGATACATTCATGTCAATTGAACATCATGTCACAGGAATATGCAAGGCAGGCTTCTACCACCTAGCCGCATAAGGAAATATATCAGTCGCCATACGGCGGAAATACTTTGGCATGCTTTCATTACTTACCGATTGGACTTCTGTAATTCACTTGTAACAAACTATCAAGATACTTCAGCATGTTCAATATGTAGCGGCCAGAATCGTTGCGCTTACACCAAAACATGAACATATCTCACCAGTATTACGGGAAGTGCATTGGCTTCCTATAGAAGAGCACATAACTTTTAATGACCTTTAAATGTTTAAATGGCTTAGCTAGTTCATATTTGTCGGACCTAGTTACGAGGTATATTCCCCGGCACAACTTAAGATCAGCCAATAGCCATCGCCTGCTTGATGTCCGATATAATCTACACAACTAGTATGGTTTCCAGTATCTTGGATGTTGCACTTACATGCGCAGTAGAGAGTAACAGTGCAAAATAAGGGAGCAGGCAAAGTGGAGGAAGACTAGGTGGCGCCCTTCACCCCCACGTAGCTCAGTGTCGTAAAAACTTTTTTTTTAGATGAAACAATTTAGTTGAGAAGTTGATCCGTACTGTTGAATCTTAATGTCCTAAGCTCGACCGAAGACCGCAGATGATTGACGGAAGATCGTCGTCTGCTCGATATATCGTTAACATCAGGCTTGACATCCCTGTTTGTTTTATCAGAGACCCGATGGCAGCGCAGCCAGCGACACGACAGAATTTCTTCAAATCCCTGGCGGTAATTCTCACTGAAAACAGCATAAAGAAACGGCGTGAGTGCAGCGTTAAAATGAGCCAGGAGCAGTCTTAGGTATAAAACATTACACGAAACGTGTATGCCATTTTTTCGAAGAACCATCAGAATAAAATACAAGGACCAGCAAATTAGGAACGCTGCTACAACAACCAGAACCATTCTCAAGACTTTGCGATTAGTTTTCTCGCGGCGTCTGCAGGCAGCATCTGAAACAGAGTTTCCTGGAATTCCTCTTCTGTTCATGATCGCTATAATAGCGATGTTGAAGACGAATGTCACCGCGAAGGGAACTGCGTACAATGCTACGAAAACAATCTTGAAGTAGATTCTGCCTGAACCTGCACCGAAGGTTAAATCGAAGTCTACCACGCAATACGTTTCACCTTGAAATGGATGGACATCTGTCGCGAGTGGAGTCGGAATTTTAACGATTATTGCGATAAGCCACATCCCAAATATTGACAACAAGCACGGTTTCTTTCTTATGAAAGTCCGTAGAGGAAACGAAACGGCCAGCAAACGTTCTAAGCTTATCGCAACAATAGTAAGTACAGAAACGATTATTGTTATTTCCATTACAAAAGGTACCATACGGCAAAATATCATGCCCAATGTACCATGCACCAACCACTTATAGCCGAATGACACGATTGTAACGACACGAGGGACCGAGATAACAGTGAATATTAGATCACTGAACGCCATGTTTGCGATGAAGAAGTTGATGGTTTTTCTCATGGTTTTGTTTCTGTAGACTACAGCTAGCACTACAGTGTTCCCAATAACAGCAAACAAGAAGATAACCACGTAAGGGGAAATACGAAGTGTGCGTACCCAGTGTTTATCATATCGATAGCATGCCGCTTCTAAAACTGATTGAGAATCGTTTGAAGTAGAATTAAAAGACTCCATCTTTACGAAAACCCTCAGTCAGCGTTGAAAGTGTGAATGCAGCTGAAATCTCAATCTTCCATAGCACCTACACTGTTCTGAGTATAACTTTCATTAGTATATACACACTCAGTGATCTTGGTGATTTAAGCAATCTGATTGGTTCGCTATCTCGGACTATTCAACAATATTCACCTCCTAGCGAGTGGATAATGTGTGAGCTCGGTGTTTTTCCCGTTTTTTTAAAGAACGATCTTTTAAAAGTCGACAAAATCCTAGGGCTGACTTTTTTTAAGGCAAGAAAAGACTTGGAAGGATTCAATGCGGCGTTTTTCAATTTACTGTAGCAGGAGTTTTGTGCTCGATGGATTGTTTACAACTCCCGTGTATTCGCGTAGAAGAAGCCGTTTCGTGAACTCAGCGTTTTCTAAGAAGAAAATTTTGGCTCAAAAATCGAAGTTTATTTATGACAAACAAATTTAAAAGGAAATGTTTGCAGAAATTCTACATTTCAAGTAAACAGGAAAAAGAATGATACAGGAAGACGACCTCTTACCTCGAGCAACCGAGCCGCCATTTTTGTCAGCACTTCATGCGAAGAACGACACAACATGCCCTTTTGGCTATAAACTTGGCGAGTCAACAGAAAACAACACAGCTCTACTTTTTTTCTCAGGTAAGGAAACAGTTCAAACTTTTAGCGATTCCATTGAAGCCATTACGCTGTTGTTTGCGAAATGAGTAAACTTGTGAATTGCCATGTTTGAAAATTCTGCAAAGATCTATTTTTAAACTTACGCGTGATTTGATCTGTCAATCAAATCCTACTTTTGAATGGTTTCCTTTCTGATTTTGTTGAGATCACTTCGTGTGTATATACTAAAACAATTATTCTTCTCAATCTCGGTGAATAGTGGCTTTGGGAATATTTACCTCGCCGCTTTCGCGGCTCGGTAAATATTTTGCCACTATTCACCTCGATTTCAAAGAATAATTGTTAAATATCCAGATCAGGGTTACTGACAATGTCGTCAGACAATTGTCTCTTTTTGGTTTTGTGTAAATTGTACAAGCAATAGAAGTTTTCGTCGGTAAATACCGAATGAGCCAGGAGTGAAGAACAATTAAATTTTGGTCGTCAACGGATTGTTGGTCATTTATCATTTGTTAGATGAAGTTTGAAAAATTGCCCATTGATGTCTTTTCTAAAATTTTCGAGGGGAATAAGGGTGCATGGTAAACGAATTCCAAATACTAACGTCAAGCGTTTGGAAGGATAAATGTCCTCCTATTGACGTTTTGTTCTTGTTGTCGAAGCGCTCTATTGCGCTGTATTTAAATACGGGTCTAGCTCAAAGTAAATAGAGAAACCCATTGTATAAACACGACAAAGGATTTCGAGCTCAGCCAATTCAGTAGCCTGCGCGCAGACGAAATTAAACTCTGGTTAACTCCGTCTGCGAAACAGCGCCGAAATCCTTGTTCTGGACTTCCAGCTGTGTACCCAGATTTGAGTACGCGCCACGATTGGCCAGTTAAAAAAGGCCTTTGTTTTGTTTGTCGTGATCGCCAATCAGGTTGAAGGGGAATTCGAAACGTGCTTCCGGTAATTCGTTGAGTCCGTTGGGGGTCCAGAACAAGGATCTCTGCGCTGCTTCGCAGACGGTACTAATCAGAGTTTAGTTATCGTCGGCACGCAGGCTACCAATTCAGTTTGCTAAGGAAAGATGACAGTTTCTTTGAAAACTTGCAATTACAGGCCAATTGCGAGACAACTCTTATCCTGTTTCGTATTAAATTACTTTGAATGTATTTTATATAAGGGAATTATCTGTATATCTGCCTCTTACCTTTGTGGCTTCATAAAAGTAATGCTTAACTAAAAAAGGGATTTTCTGTCTATCCTTTATGTTTCTCGACCCAAAGAAAGAAATGAGCAAGAATATGTGATACAAGTGGGGTATTGGCAATAAACCAGAATCGTTTGTCTCTTTCGGACGTCTCAGCAACCAGTTTCACCGATTACCATTATCACTGAATCAATAAAAATCACTTGATTACTACCGATTTTTATTTCCATCGGTTGACTACTCCTGGATATATTTTCAATACTATAGAACTTAACTGTTTCTTATAAACACAACGCCGACGCAACGCCAGACTTTAATATCGGAAAAATTACAAGGATCAGTTTGATAATAAAATTTCTATTACAAGTTTAGTAGAAATTTCTTAAAACAACAACTGGATTTTTCGGCGGATTACAATATTTACTCCTGGTAGTAAACAAATTAAATATGGAAAAAGCGGGCTTATCCGATAGCCTACTATTACGACATTTACAGGTTTTTGCGTCATTAGTCCGAAAACGGATATGGGCTTTGTTAGCCTGTGTCGCAAGCGTTTCCGTTTGGTTTCAGAGCAAAGAAAGACCAAGGAACGGGATTCTCGGCTTTGGCCGCGCGAGAGATGAAATGAGCGCCAAACTCTTGTTCCTCGTTCTTTGCTCCTAGCTAAAGCGCACGGAAACGCTTGCTACGCAGGCTAGGGCTTTGTCTACTTTGGTCTGGAATCGGTTATGGTATTTGAGGGAACTACAGGAGTGTATCAACGTAGTGTCGTTTCAGTTCCAAATGAATAAGATAGGAAGAGCAATATGCGATTAATTCGAAAAGGATTTTAAGAAGTCTTCTTGTTGGGTTTCTAATGTAAGTAATGATGACGTAATTTCTGTCTTTGTAAAAGGTCTGAAAACGGGTGTAGAAAAAGACTTTTTTTGTCTGAGCCCCACCAAAAATTCCTAGGAGTAACCCCCCCCCCTCCCCCCAGGCATGCTATGCCACTTTTGTCATGTGCCTCGAAGCGAATTGCATATCCTAATCCTGTTAGGCGTCGAAAGGGGCAGGGGATAGGGAGGAAGGGAAAAAAGAGGGGGATTGGGGAGAGAGGGTTTTCTCGCTTTTTCGCGCTTTTCTCCCTCCCTTTCGCCTTCTCCTTTTTGCGCCTGCCACGCAGGCTAAATCCTGTCCGCGTACGGCGTTTTCCCAGGCAAAAAACTTTTCATTTCAACCACATGTAGGGTACACTGGTGCCTCAGGAAGGCCCAAGATTCGTGTCACTAACGAACAGTTGACGTATCTTGTGGATAATGGCTTTAAAGGAACGGATATGGCTCGTACATTGTATGTTGAGCATTTCTTAGGCTACACTCAACAGGCGGCTTAAGGATCTTAACCTTGAAATTTCACATTCATTTTCAACTATCGACGATGATGCCTTGGATGGTATTGTTCGAAGTATAAAGGAGGAGTTCCCTAACAGTGGCTATCGAATGGTTTGGGGTCATTTAAAAAGGAGGGGACTCCATGGTTATTCAGCAGTCCCGTGTTAGAGAAAGCTTGCGACGAATTGACCCTGAGGGTACTGTGCTTAGATCATGACCTCACGTAATTGTTACATTTTTGAAATACTCCAGAAAGAACCGTTCTTTTCATAACTCGTTTGAAGCCAAAACAGTCTGAAATTGACGTCTACATTCATCTAACCCTGTTACTGTAGCTAAAAACATCGACATGCTGCCATCAAGTTAAAGTGTTTCTTTTTTACTTCCAATAAGGAAAGTTTATCATTAAAGCATGCAGACAGTTGACAATGAACTGTCCGCATTAGCGAGGTTGACTTTCTATGAGAATCTGGAGAGTGAACAAGTGTCTGTATTAAGTGGGTTTATATTTAGAGGTAATTTAAAAGCTTTCCCCGGGAACAAAAGAAAACTGAGCTTGATAATGAGGTGTCCGTATTTAACAAGGGCGGGTGTACGGATAGCTGGGTTCGACTGTACAGTCCAATCCGCTTTACGGACACCCTAATAATAATAATAATAATAATAATAATAATAATAATAATAATAATAACAACAATAATAATAATAATAATTAAAAATTTATAACGCGCCTTAATTTTTGCATGCAAATATGATCAAAAGCGCCTAACAACTGATGCTGTAGATGTTAAAAGGAAATGATGGCTAAAATGAGCATAAAAATTAAGGCTAAAAGTAAGCAACGCTAAAAATTAAAAACTAAAAACACTAAATATATTACATGATACATAGTAGGTTAAAAACATTACATGTCAAAAGCTAGTCCAAAAAGTTGCGTTTTAAGTAAAGATTTAAAACGTTCAAAATTGTCCTCAAGACGGATGTGAAGGGGCAGATTGTTCCTTAAATTAGGGGCCGCAGATGAAAAAACACGATCCCCTAAAATCTTTTTCAGTTTCAAACTAGGAAGATAAGACCGCTCGCTGAACGGAGATTATAGCGCGGCTGTTCTTTAATAGCAATCAAGTCGATCAAGTAACCAGGCCCATGACCGTAGATAGCTTTAAAGGTAAGAAGAAATATTTTAAAATCAATACGAAATTTGACGGGAAGCCAATGTAACGAACATAGAACTGGTATTATGTGACTGTAGCGAGGAACATTAGATATAAGCCGTGCAGCTGCATTATGCAAGCGTTGCAGTTTAGGTAGATGAACAGAGGGTAAACCAAACGGAAGGATAACAAGACAATGCCCAGAAACAAAAAGCTAGAGCGTCAATTACCAGTTGGAAGAAAGATGCTAGCCCGTAATTCTACTGACATCGCGTCTCAAACAATAAATAACGAGCGGACCACAGTCATCGTTGATGACTCCATAATAAAGAATGTTTAGGGAATAAAACTAGCCAAGACTGTGAGACATCGGGTTGTTGTCAAGCCGTTCCCCGGAGAGCCACAATTTGCGACATGCGTTCGCATGTTGTTCCTACAATTGATAAGTCTCCTGACTCCAAATTTGTCTACATGTGGGTACCAACGATCTGAAATCATGTACACCGAGCGATGTGCCTGATTATATTATAGACTGGCCAGAGAGGTTGAGAATGCTTTCGAGTCTGCAATAGTTATATCTGAACTAACTTCAGGGAATGATGATTACTTCGACGCCGTCGAAGCGGTAAACAAACGTCTAAAAC